ATAGGTTTATAGAAATTTGATAGCAAAACTAAACCTGATCGCTGGGCGCGTATGCAAATCTGATCGGTCACGGTTTTAAAAATTCGACCCGGCCCTTTTCTCGAATATCCCAACAATGCATGACTCGGTCAACAATAGGTAATAATAAACCGTGTTCAATATACAAGCAAATATATATATGACAAATAAAAGAAAAAAAAAGTTTGCCAGGTGCACAATTCTGAATCTTAAACAAATAGAATAAGCAAATAGTGAAATCAAAAAAACTGTTTACTTGCTCTTAATTATTTGCAATCGACTCCTCCGTATACGCTATAATATACGCAAACATAACTCATAAAGGCGTATTTAAATATTTAAAGTATATATCAATTTGACAATTTTAAGATTTAAATTTAAAAACTATTGTAAATAAAAATCTTTTCAAATATCGCTATTTTCAATGAGCAATATTGCATTGTGATAGAGATGAAGAGGGGGTTCGTTAATACAAAATGGTCCATGGAGACAGATTGAAGGGCGTTTTGAAATAAATCAGTCTTTTGTTTTATAGAGCACACCCTAACTGAAAGCGACATCAAATTCTGTGTAAAAAATAATATATAGGTATATGTGCTATATTTATTATTTATACACTAGAAAATGCGCGCGTCAAATATTACATATTTTACCGTTAAAAAAATTGTAATTAATTATTAATTATAAAAATTAAAAGAAGACATATAAAAAATTATAATTATAATTATAAAAATCATAATAATAATGGGTAGTTCAGAAGGGGGTTCAAGCCTTTTGCCACCGACCAGCAAAAAAAAATGGCGATATAATACTCTCTAGAATTAGTATAAAAATGTTAACTAATTGGAATTAGTCACTGCCTTTTTGCTTTTGAATTAGTAAATTTTACTATTAAATTGGTAGAATCGACTATTTATTAGTAAAAGCTGCTAATTCAAAAGCAAAAAATCAATCACTAATTCCAATTAGTAAACATTTTTATACTAATTCAAATTTAGAAAGTATATGTAACAGTGGGGGGGAGGTAAAAAATTATAAAAAATGGAGCTACGCGTAGTTTATATGAACGGACCCTTATTCTAAAGATAATACTTCTAAAATAACATATATATTTTTTAAAATAATGTATTTTAAACAAAATAATATTTTTCAATTTCAAAGTTTTCAATGCCAAAAATAAATATCAGTCAAAAATGAGAATAAAAATATGTAGCAAAGTATAAAAATGGCAAAATATAAAATAAGAATACATATGAACTAAGAATTAGAAATGGAAATCAACAAATTCAAAGTTTATTAATTACCTACATTGAATATGTTACTTTCTTAATTTGAATCAGTTAAAAATCATATAATTTTAACTGATAATCAGTGACTGACTTTTTGCTTTTGAATCAGTTAAAAATAACTGATTTTCAGTAAAAAAAAAACAACTGGAAAATTAGTTAAACATGACTATAATTGAATCAGTCAAAAAAAAAAATTACTAAAACAAAGTAAATGAAATACAAAAAAGTAAAAAAAAATAGTTTCACTTTGGACTTATTTTTTAAATTTTTTGTCCTAGTCAAAAAGTCCAAAGAAATTAAAAATCCAATGAAAAAAATATGATATAAAAATTTAAATAGTTGCCTTGAATGAAATTATTCCTTTTTTTAAATTGCTCATTTCGATGACTATGAATCGAAACTAGGTTAATTTAACATTTTAAATTTCTGAAAATAATTAAATTAATCGAGTAATTTATTTGGAATTGTATTGAAAAAACTAATTGAATTTTTGTATAAAGAATTTTATCAAAATTTTTGAAAATAATTGTATTTCTTGGAATAATTGTTTTAAAAATTTTATATAATAATTTAAATTCTTCTAGAAATTTTTTTATTTATGAAAATAATTGAATTTTTGTTAAAAATTTTTTTATTATTGAAAATAATTGAATTTTTGTGTAGAATTTTATCATATTATGCGTAAATAATTAAAATCCTGCGTTATTAACATTAACATTTTAAATTCCGATTTTATAGCGTAAAAGTAAAAACATATGGCTTTTTCACATGTTCTATTATTTATTTTGGACATTTTTATTTATTTTGGATTTTTTGACGTTGAACATTTTTATTTTGGATTTTTTGTATTTTGGACTTTTTTTCTTGGATTTTTCGGTCTGGATTTTTTGAATTGGATTTTTTTTACTGTAATCCAAATATTACTATTTGAATTAGTGACTGACTTTTCTTCTAAATCTGTTATTTTTAACTGATTCAAATTTAGAGAGTAAATAATTCAATGAATCGAATAATTAGTAACAATAAAAAGATTGTTAAAATCAGGCAATTATTTTAAAACAACTGACAAAATGCAGATTTCCATTTTCATTAAAATTATAGTGTAAAATGAAAAATGTATAATAAATATTCTAAACTTTTAATGGGTCAGGATAAAAAAGTAGACACAAAAAATATATAATGTTTTTGAAAGTTAATAAAATTCGTTCATGTGTAAAAGAATCTAAATTTCAGAGACATTATACACACAAAAAAATTTTTAAGTTTATTTAAATAAATAGAAACAAATTTTTACAATGACATTGGTGAAATATTTTTTTCAAATGATCAAAAATATAAATATTTAATAAACTCTTTTAAATTTAAAACAGCGAATAACATCGCTATTTAAAATTTTCTAGAGAACAATATAGTGACAGCAAAAATTGAAGATCATGCAGAAGAAGAAATTAAAATTCTAAGAGGCAAACATCCACTAAAAAAAATAAAAAAAAGACCGATTTTCCTACCTACTGTGTAAAATACTTTTAACGAAATAACGTCAATTCAGTCATACCACAAAAAAGCTATTCCTACCTATACCCTATATCTATGTACTGTAAACCTACTTTTTAATTAATAAACAAACACTCCACGGTTCTCTCTCATACCGCCAAGGTGCAAAAGCCTGAACTAGAGATATCGCGCCCCGGGGCGGGATTCCGTCACCTTAGCTCAACCCTGCCGTGCAAAAGAAGAAGATAAATAAGTGACACTTTGATAAAAAGTAGAGAAAATTAAGAAGAAAGAAAGAAATTATAAAAATTACAATAATACAACAAAACAAATAGAGAGAGAGAAAAATGAAAACTAATCGAAAAAGAAACAAAAAGGAAAAATGAAGAAAAAGATATCAAGAAAAAAATTACAAGAAATTTACTTTTAGATTTCTTACGTATCTTGTTACTTAATGCACGACAGAACATCAGACTCAGAAAACATAATGTTTACAGACAAAACATAAAAAAGAGATTTTAAATCTGACACAAATATTGTTTTTTCAATTCACATAGAAATTAAAAAATTTACTTTAATTCTGAACAGTTAGTATAAACAATTTTCAGTTTATTTTCAAATTAAAAATATAAAAATTGGAAACATGTCTCAAATTAGAAAATATTTAAAACATGTTTTATTTTCCATTTATAGTGATAGTGATAGTATACTAATTTGTATTAAAAAATAAATGGCAGGTAACTTTATAAACTACGCCACTCTGATAGGGGTGAGAATGCAGGGAGGGGGGTTTTACCGTTTGTTTACAATATATCGAAAGGGGGAGGGGTTCTGGGCACACGCGAAAAAAGGGTTAAAAATAGCGTGACTTAGTTTATAAAGAAAAACCCGTGTTTATGTAAAATTAATACAAATTTTTACCAAATATGTAAAAATATAAATTTTTATTTTATAATCATAAATTATAATTGTAAATTATAATTATGAATTATAAATTATAATTATAAATTATAAGTATAAAAAAATTATAAAATAAAAGGAATATTTAATTTAGAAGATATTTTTGGCCAAATAATCCAAAATATCTTCTAAATTAAATAACAAATCCAAAAACTTATAATAATTATTATTTGTGTCAGAGTCGTCACTATATTGTTTAATGTAATAAGGACTCACCGAATCAGCAACTCCCGCGTCGAAATTGATGAAGAGCTAAAGGCAGCATTGCTCATAGATCCACCATTATCATTGTCCTTTGCTCCGAAAATCCTTTTTGTCCTTCGGTCCTTGCATTTCCAGAGCACAACACTTTCACTAAATATCATTTAGATATTTTTAAACACACACTGAGTCTATAAAAGTCCTTTTGTCCTTTAATTCTTTCAGTTCCAAAGCACAACACTTGCACTAAATATCATTTGGATATTTTTCAACACAGCATTTCGAAATGTCCTATTGTCCTTTGGTTTTTAAACGCGCACTGAGTCTAATTTTTATAAATTATTTAAGTGTTCGGTAGTAACGACTTACTTGTAACAGTCTTTCTATAACAGTTACTTATTTCAAAATGCGTTGAAATTTTACATTTAAATCATCAAATAAATAAGTAAATAATAATTTTCTTCAAAACTAAAGAAAACTCCTTTTTGTTTTTGAATTTAATCAATAATTAAATTGGAAATTAAAATTTTTAACAATTAAATTCAATATGAATTCTGTGAAAATACATGATTTTACGTTTGTTATAATTTATAAGCTATTCTTTAAATAGAAAAAAATATATTATTGATAATGACAAGCTCTGAAGAAAGGTACCTAAGAAGCAATAAATTGTAGGTTATGTTTATAGTTTTCGGAGCAAAAATACAGAAAGAGAATTACTATTACAAACAATTGATGTTCATTACAACCAATAAACTTCAATTAAAACTGGTTTCAAATTTACAAAATTAAAAAGGAGCTTTGAATCAACATAAATCTAACCAATCTAACACGAACATAACCTTCAATTTCTTTACTTCTTAGGTACCTTTCTTCAAAGTTCGATTTAAAAATAAGATAAATAACAATTATAACATTCTGTTATAAAATTGTTATTTTTAAATTAAACTTTAAAAGAGACTTTAAAATTTGCAAAAAATTAAAAATCAAAATCTAGTCACTTGTAAATTGTCACGTACCAATAACACTGATTAATTAAATACTTTCAAAACTTTTTGAACAAAAACAAAACGGTTTAAAAACGCGCACTGACTTATTACTTTTTCTTTTGTCTAGTTGTCCTTTCTCTTTTGTATGTCCCAAATCGTTGTCTCCTTTGTCTCTTTCTTCTCTTGTCTGCTCCTTTGTCTGAAAAACGAAACAAAAAGAATTTAAACATAAATAACAAAGCAAAATTTAATGTATAACTATTATGTTCATAATGTTATATACTTCAACACAGAGAAATAATACAATCCTTCCTCTATAAGGAAGCAATATTTATTAAATTTTGAAAAAGTATTTTACAAATTGGGGAAAAAGTGCGACAAAGCAACTTTCGAAGTATTTAACTCCAAAACTAATGAAACTTTAAGTAAGATTGTACTTAAATGCTCAATGTTTTTTAATGTCAAAAAATAAATCTATATTAATAAAATCAAACTTCTGTCTGTACGAATTTTTGATAATTTTCAATTTTTTGCCAAAGGGTGGAGACTATTAAATAAGTAAAGTATTTTTGAAGAGCACAAAAATAATGAAGCTAAATGCCATGAAAGAGAAGAAAAAATGTTTAATTTTAAGAAATTCGGTTTTTTGAATTTTTGATAATTTTCGAAAATTTTACATTCTTTACCAAACAGTCGAGACTATTAAATAAGTAAAGTATTTTCCAAAAGCACAAAAATAATGAAGCTAAATCCCATAAAAGAGAGGAAAAAATGTTGAATTTTAAGAAATTCGGTTTTTTGAATTTTTGATAATTTTCGAAAATTTTACATTCTTTACCAAACAGTCGAGACTATTAAATAAGTAAAGTATTTTCCAAAAGCACAAAAATAATGAAGCTAAATCCCATAAAAGAGAAGAAAAAATGTTGAATTTTAAGAAATTCGGATTTTTGAATTTTTGATAATTTTCGAAAATTTTAGATTTTTTACCAAAGAGTCGAGACTATTAAATAAGTAAAGTATTTTCCAAAAGCACAAAAATAATGAAGCTAAATCCCATAAAAGAGAGGAAAAAATGTTGAATTTTAAGAAATTCGGTTTTTTGAATTTTTGATAATTTTAGATAATTTTAAATTTTTTACCAAAGGGTGGAGACTATTAAATAAGTAAAGTGTTTTTGAAGAGCCCAAAAATAATGAAGCTAAATGCTATAAAAGAGAAGAAAAAATGTTGAATTTTAAGAAATTCGGTTTTTCGAATTTTTGATAATTTTTAATAATTTTTGATTTTTTACCAAAGGGTGGAGACTATTTAATAAGTAAAGTATTTTTGAAGAGCACAAAAATAATGAAGCTAAATGCCATAAAAGAGAAGCAAAAATTATGAATTTCAAGAAATTCGTTTTGTCGAAATTTTGATAATTTTTAATAATTTTTTATTTTTTACCAAAAGGGAAGAGACTGTAAAATAGTAATATTTTCTTACCGAAATAGCTAATGGTAACTAATTATTATTTTTTTCCGGTCAAATGAAATTCCCGGCTATTTTCTGATTTTCCAGATTGGTAGAAACACTGTTAAATGTATTGGTAGAAACTAAAACCCGTCGAAGACGGGTACGACAGCTAGTAAGTGTATATTAACAATAAACTTACATTTAGCATGGATTCCCGCCAGGGTAGGCGATTTTCGCATCGTTGACTCGGTTCTTGTCGAATTTCGTAGATGAACACTGGCCGCATCATTGAGGGGAACTGGAAAATATACAAAAAAATCATTAAAAATATGGAAAATAATTGAATTAAACAAAGAATTTTTCAATGTTGTAAAATAATCTTGTCTGCTCAAAATTATAATTGAAAATTTGATTAATTCCTTCCAAAGAATGTAATTATTTATGAAAATAATTAAATGTTTGTGTAGAATTTTATTAAAATTTTTGAAAATAATTGAATTGTGAAGAACAATTTAATTATTTATAGAGTTAATTGAAATTTTGAGAATTTAAAAAAAATTTTAAACATATTTGAATTTCTGTGAAGAATTTTATGGAAATTTATAAAAATAATTGAATTTTTATAAAGAATTTTTTTTAAAAATAATATTCAAAAGAATTTTGTAAATCTGAAGAATTTTGCTATTTATGTAAATAATTGAATTCTTGAGAAGAATTTTTTTACAGTTTTCTTGGTCAAATTCAATTCCTGGCTTTTTCCCGGTAAAGTTAAATTCCCTGCTATTTCCCTGTTAGTAGATACCTTGCATTATTACAAAGTATATAGCAACTATTTGTTGACAATTAACACCAGTAACACTGACTAACTGCGATCCTAACCTAAAATAATTAGCGCACTATATATAATCACAATACAGTATTTAAATTATATAATTATAATTATAGATTTGAGAAAATGTCCTCAAAAACTATTTGTCGACAAGCAATACTGGACGAATAACGACAAACCTAACCTCAAATAATAAGCACACTATAAAATCAAAATAAAGTATTTTAATATTATATAGATTTGAGAAAATGTTTAAAAATATTTTCATTATTGAGAAAACAAAGAATAGTCAATACATACGAAGATGTTGCGAATAATATTTACTTTAAATATGAAGAAGAGCGATTACGATTGTCGAGCATGTCTTTGATAATAATTAACAAGGCTGTGCTATACTATCGAACATGGCATCTCTGAACTGAAGGAGCAGCCAAGACAAAATGGTTTATAAAAAAAGTCACTAAGTAATTCTGTAAATGTTATGTAAAACAACTCGAAAAATGGCAAAACTTTCAACGGCAAATTATAAAATACTAATAGACTTGTTTTGATAGGTGCATGTAAAAGTAGCGGTAACTAGACGATGTTTCGTTGGGACACCTATCGGCCATTTATAGAACTACAGCACTGCATTTCCTACATTACCGACACAAATATTTTATTCCCATTGGTCATTTTTAATGAGAGGGAAAATTTGAATTGTTTTTTAATGCATTACCATTTGAACTTTGTTAAGAAAGCAAATAAACACTCGGTTAAGAAAAAATACTACTTTTTATTAACAAAAAGAAAATATGAATCTTGCAAAAATGAAAAAAAACCTAATTTAGTAATAATTAGTTTATTATTGACAAAGCAAAAAACTGGATAAATAAAATAAAAATTTGTTTAATTTTCCAAAAAATAGAACTTCTAATAAACCATTATCTGTAATTGATAAATTATATATAAGAATATTTATTCCTTTAAATTATTATAGTTATAAGACTGCAAAACTGCTAAGAAACAAAATTATTAAATAAACTATCACAATTTTTAACGCTCGACAATCTTAAACTGTATAAATTAGTAGTAAGACAAATTGTGACGTGCTCCCAAGAAAATCTTAAGAAGCAAAAAATTTGAGGTTATGTTTATAATTTTCAAAGTAAAAATACAGAAAAAGAATTAGTTACTATTACAAATTATTGATGTTTAATACTTTATTACATTAAAAATATTCAATTAGAGCTGGTTTCAAATTTAGATTACTAAAAAGGAACTTTTAATCAAGTTGAATCTGACATAAACATAACCTATAATAATTTGTTTGATTTTTAGATATCTTTGGGTGGGAGCGCGTCCCAGTTATAAAATTATTTCACACGCACAATCGAAACTTGCAGGAATATTGATAACAATTTTTCAATATTAAAAATAATGAGAAAATGCGCTGTCAATATTTCTGCAAGTTTCGAGTATTGCGAGGATTAATATAAACTTTAATATACATACTTACATTTATGATGAATTCCCTTTAGCGTAGACAATTGAATCCGGCTAGTGACAATAATCTTCAAGTCATTCAAACCAGGAGATCCCTTTCTATAATAATTAATCAAAGTATAAAAACTTCGAAAACAACAATTTGTTGTAGAAAGACCCAGTTCTTATGACTCGAATTTCTTGTTGCCGGCATCTGCATTTTCCTAAGTGAATAGCGGCCACCAATGGAGTGATCTGGAAAATAAAATACTATTATTATTAAATATTATTATTATTATTATTAAATATTATTATTCTTTGTTCAGCAATAACTCTCAAAAAACTGAAAGTAAAAATATAAGTATAAATATAAAAAAATATAATTATTAATTGCTGTAAAAATCTTCGATAAACTATAAATAAACTAAGGAATTAAAAAATTATAATAAATGATTACCTTTACAATGGTTTTACTCGAATGATGACGATTGAATCCAGCTAATGACGAGATATTCCCGCTGCAAGATCCGGAAATTAGCAGCGCAGCTGGACAATGGCCAACAATGAAGAAATCTGAAAAATACAATACAATTAATAAACAATACAATACAACAACAAAACAAACAAACAAACAAACAAACAAAACAAACAAAACAAACAAAACAAACAAAACAATACAATACAATTTTACAATACAATTTATAAAAAATTTCTTTAAAAATTTGAGACAAATAATCAATGACTACTATTTTGGAACATTCCATTGTTACAAAGTGAGCAGCAACTATTTGTCGTCAAATAATACAGATTCTGCCATCCTTAACCTCAAAAAATATTTATAGCACAATATAGAATCACAATGCAGTATTTTAATTACACACATTTTGAGAAAACGTGTAAACATATTTTCACTATTGATAAAACACAAAGAATAGTCAATACATACGAAAATGTTGCAAATAATACTTACATACTTTAAATATGAAGAAACGCGATGACGATTGTCGAACATGCTTGGTTCTCTGCTATTATCAAACGTGGCGTCTCTGAACTAAAGAAAATGCGAAGACAAAAAGATTTTTTTAAAAAAACACAAATTCCGTAAATATTATGCAAAGAAAAGGAACAGATGCAAAAAATTACGAAACTATCAACGGAAAATTAAAAACTAAATGACACGCTTTGATAGGCTGAATGTAGTAGAGACAATGTTCCGTTCTGACACCTATCGCCCACTTATAGAACTACATCACTGCATTTCCTACATTACCGACACAAATATTGCATTCCCATTGGTCATTTCTAATGTGCGGGAAAATTTGAATTGTTTTTTAATGAATTACTATTTGAACTTTGTTAAGAGAGCAAATAAACACTTTGTTAAAAAAAACACTACTTTTTTTAAAAAAAGTAAATATAAATCTTGTAAAAATGGAAAAAAACTAATTTAGTAATAATTAGTTAAGTAATTTAATTTACAAACGCAAAAAAGTGGATAAATAAATAAAAAATTACTAATTTTGAAAAAATAGAATTTCTAATAAACATTATCTGTAATTGATAAATTATAAGGACAATTCTTAACGCTCTATAACCTTAGACTACATAACTTAATATTAAAATAAATTGTAACGTGCTGTCAAGAAATATACCAAAGATAAGCCAAAAATTTGAGGTTATGTTTATAATATTCAGAGTAAAAATACAGAAAGAGAATCCGTTACTATTACAAATAATTGATTTTTAAAACTTTATTACATTAAAAATATTTAATTAAAGCGGGTTTCAAATTTACATTATTAAAAAGGAATACATTTAATCAACTTGAATTTGACACAAACATAACCTATAATTCGTATGCTTTTTATTCTTTTAGATACCTTTGTTGAAAGCGCGTGCCACTTATAAAATTATTTCACAAACAATACTCGTAACTTGCAGGAATATTGATGACAATTTTTCAATATTGAAAATAATGAGAAAATATGTTGTCAATATTCCTGTAACTTTCGAGAAAAATATATATAATATTCCTTTTTGCGAGGATAAATATAAACTTTTATATACATACTTACATTTACGATGAATTCCCTTTAGCGTAGACAATTGAATCCGGCTACTGACAATAATCTTCGAGTCATTCAAACCAGGAGATCCCTTTCTATAATAATTAATCAAAGTATAAAAACTTCGAAAACAACAATTTGTTGTAGAAAGACCCAGTTCTTATGACTCGAATTTCTTGTTGCCGGCATCTGCAGTTGCCTAAGTGAATAGCGGCCACCAATGTAGTGATCTGGAAAATAAAATACTATTATTATTAAATATTATTATTATTATTAGATATTATTATTATTATTATTAAATATTATTATTCTTTGTTCAGCAATAACTCTCAAAAAACTGAAAGTAAAAATATAAGTATAAATATAAAAAAATATAATTATTAATTGCTGTAAAAATCTTCGATAAACTATAAATAAATTAATGAATTAAAAAATTATAATAAATGATTACCTTTACAATGTTTTTACTCAAATGAAGACGATTGAATCCAGCTAATGACGAGATATTCCCGCTGCAAGATCCGGAAATTAGCAGCGCAGCTGGACAATGGCCAACAATGAAGAAATCTGAAAAATACAATATAATTGTTAATTTATACAAAATTTCTTTAAAAATTTCAGACAAATAATCAATGACTACTATTTTGGAACATTCCATTGTTACAAAGTGAGCAGCAACTATTTGTCGTCAAATAATACAGACTCTGCCATCCTAACCTCAAAAAATATTTATAGCACATTATAGCATAGAGTTATTAGAATAGAGTGCGCAAGCGACCAAAATGTTTCTTAGGCGCATAGACGGAGACAGCCATACGAAAAGAAGACCCCTTTCCTTTCTTTCTCTAATAACGCATGCGCGATAGTGAAACAGCTGATGCATCGAAATAACTGTTGCTTGCTTGCAATTATATTTTTCTTTTATTTACATGACAAATAAATAATTTAAAATAAATTTAAAATTAAAATAAAACATTTATAATATTTAAAACAATTTTTCATGCGATCTTTTAGACAAAAACCTAACCAAAAACTTTCATTCTTGCACATGCGCCAATAAACAAGGTAAGAAAAGGGCTTTTGTCTCTTTCTATGCGCCTAAGAATGCCTCTCACGGTAAAAGGTATAACTCGCGCACTCTATTCTAATAACTCTATGCATTATAGAGTCACAATGCAGTATTTTAATTACACACATTTGAGAAAATGTGTAAAAATATTTTCACTATTGATAAAACAGAAAAAATATAGTCAATACATACGATGATGTTGCGAATAATCCTTACTTTAAATGTGAAGAAACGTGATGACGATTGTCGAGCAAGCCTTCGATACTTTAAGCTTTGTTCTCTGCTACTATCAAACATGGCGTCTCTGAACTAAAGAAACAGCAAACACAAAAAGATTTTTTAAAAAAACACAAATTCCGTTAATATTATGTGAAGAAAAGGAACAGATGCAAAAAATTACCAAACTATCAACGAAAAATTAAAAACTAGACACGCTTTGATAGGCTGAATGTAGTAGGGGCAATGTTCCGTTCTGACACCTATCGCCCATTTATAGAACTACAGCACTGCATTTCCTATATTACCGACACAAATATTGTATTCCCATTGCTCATTTCTAATGTGCGGGAAAATTTGAATTGTTTTTTAATGAATTACTATTTGAACTTTGTTAAGGGGAGGTTCTCATTGCAAAGGCCAAAATAAACACAAACTTTGACAATTTTTTGCAAAGAGCGGCTATGACTTAGCGATGTAGTTCTTTTTTCTAAATAAAGATACATTCTTGAACTTTCAAAACATATATTTCATTTTTAAAAAAATGCAAAATGGCGGCCAATATGGCGCATCTAGAAAATAATGTTTTTTTAAATATGGAAAACGGTGGGCATTCTACACTGCGCAATTTTTAGTCTAAAACAAAAACTCAAAATTTTTTATAAAGATGACATCCTAAAGAATAGGTTATACCTATAAAATAGTTAAAAAGTTAACAAAATGACAAAATGGCGGACACATTTTTAAAAAAACTGCGTTTTTGCATTATTTTTCTATATTTGACCTCTTGTAAAAATCTCTATTGTTAACAATTTTACCATATTATAGGTATAACCCCAGTAGAATTTAGTTACCTTTAATTAGCCGCAAACCCGAAGTTGATTGACTAAATAGTTTAGACGCTACGATGCCCACCAGTTTGAAAAATCTTGTTTCGAGAAAAACGCGTTTAAAGTTTGAGAAACATTTTTGTGCAATAATTAAATTCTTTCCAATTCTTTGTTCAATTAGCGTATTTGATAAATATCTATAGGTATTTAGGGTCACTCTTTACGATTCTGAGGTCAGATTTGCAAAATTTTTAAAAATCGATTCGATTTGCCTGACATTTGTTATTCAGTGCTCGGGACGCCGGTAAGTTCAAGACTCCATAAGAACGAAAATATTCTTCGGATCAAAAAATCGCTATACACACATATTCTACATATATATAGCTTTCAAAAAATACAATAAAAAAGAAATAAATTTTTTTGATTCCCGCAATGAGAACCTCCCCTTAAGAGAGAAAATAAACACTTTGTTATTAAAAAATACTATTTTTTTTTTAAAAAAGTAAATATAAATCTTGCAAAAATGAAAAAAAAACTAATTTAGTAATAATTAGTTAAATTTTTGTAATTAAATCTACAAAAGCAAAAAAATGGATAAATAAATAAACAAATTATTAATCTTGAAAAAAAAAATTTCTAATAAACATTATCAGTAATTGATAAATTATAAGGACACTTCTTAACGCTCTTTAACCTTAGACTAAATAACTAAATATTAAAATAAATTGTAATGTGCTGTCAAGAAATATACCAAGAAGCAAAAAATTTGAGGTTATGTTTTGTAATTTTCAGAGTAAAATTACAGATAGAGAATCAGTTACTATTAAAAATTATTGATGTTTAAAACTTTATTACATTAAAAATATTCAATAAAAGCTGGTTTCAAATGTACAATATTAAAAAGGAACGTTTAATCAACTTGAATTTGACACAAACATAACCTATAATTCGTATGCTTCTTATAGATACCTTTGTTAAAAGCGCGTCCCATTTGTAAGATAATATTTTACACACAATATCGAGACTTTTATGAATATACTTGATGACAATTTTTCAATATCGAAAATAATGAGAAAATGTGCTCCCTGCTGGAAGTAAAGAGATACAAAGAGATTAAAAAAAGGGGATAAAAAAAGATTAAAAGGTATAATAGTTTGGAGATGCAAAATGGATACTTAAAAGAGATACAAATTGTTTATCTCTTTCTATAACCTTATATTTATATATCTTTTTATCCCTTCTAATCTCTTTATATACAGTTTCAGATATAGAAATATATAGAAAAAAATATATAAAAAGAGATAAGAAATTGGGGATGCAAAGTGGTGAATTAAAGAAGATAGAACTTTTCTATCTCTTTCTATTCACACATTGCTATCTTTCTCTATCCATTTTCACATCCTTTCTAATCCACAGGAAAGTAAAAACAGAGATATCCCTTATAGAAGAAATCGATTAATTTCAATTAAAAACTTTCTCTATTGTTGTTAATTGAGTTTCTTAATCGTGTTGTTCTAATTCATTACTATTAACTATAAAAAATTTGCAAGTAAATCTTTAATATATTTTTAGAAAAGTTTCGGTGCTGTGTGAGTTTAAAACTAATTTTGGTTGTCTATTACTGATAAGCATTTATTGGTTAAATATATTTACAATAAACTACAAAAATATGAAAGTTAAACTCAAACAAAAACGTAAAATCGCACAGTGCATAACACACGCTTTCTGATCTACGGATCTACTGACCCGACGCCATGACACATAACAGCTGGGAAAATCGACGCATGCGCGTATATCTTTATGAGTATGTATATAGAAAGGGATATACTATAGTAGATTAGAAGAGATAACTTATTATATCTCCTCAAATCCCCATATTCTTGTCTATCCCTATATATCTCTTCTAAATGAAGTAAGGAGATAGAATATGGGATTGGAAAAAGATAAAAAGAATACCATTCGGAAAAAAAGAATGATAAAAAGGAATAGAAAAAGTTTAAAGTTTTGCAGTCTCGCATTTCTATCTTAATAATGGGAATAAATAAGTGTTAATAAGATCCTACATAAAAAGCGATGGAAGGGTATAAATATGATATCAATAGTTATTAAGAAAAGGTTATAAATGTGGACAAAGAAGATTATATCAAGAACTTCTGTCATAAAAAGATATAAAAGTTTATAGACAGGTTATTAAAAGGTATTGAGAATAGGTTATTAATAGGTATAAAGAATAGTGTCTATAAGGTCTAACATTGAAAGAGATACAAGGAAATAGACAGGATTTTAAAAGTAATAGAGAAAAGGTGATTGAAAGGGATAACAAAAAGTTGCAATAAGATTGTATATAAAAAGAGATAGAAGGGTTTAAAAAGGCTATTAAAAGTTATTCAAAAAAGGTGATTAAAAGAAATAGCGAACAAGTTGATAAAGGTAGGAATAGAAAGGCATAAAGAAGTATAGGTAAGAGATTAAAAGTTATACAATATTCATATCTCTTTCTATATTAGCAATAGAAAGGGATTAAAAGAGAAAAGGTTTCTATCTATTTACTTCCAGCAGGGGCTGTCAATATTTCTGCAACTTTCGAGTATTGCGAGGATTAATATAAACTTTAATATACATACTTACATTTATGATGAATTCCTTAAATTGACACATAATAGAATCACGCAATGCAGTATTTTAATTACACACATTTCAGAAAATGTGTAAACATATTTTCACTATTGAGAAAACAGAAAGAATAGTCAAATACATACGAAGATGTTGCGAATAATACTTACTTTAAATATGAAGGAACGATGATGACGATTGATAACGATTGTCGAACATTTTTGGTCTTTGGTTCTCTGCTATTATCAAACATGGCGTCTCTGAACTAAAGGAACAGTCAAGACAAAAAGGTTTTTTAAAAAAACACAAATTCCCTTAATATTATGTGAAGAAAAGGAACAGACGCAAAAAATTACGAAACTTTCAACGGAAAATTAAAAACTAAATGACACGCTTTGATAGGCTGAATGTAGTAGAGACAATGTTCCGTTCTGACACCTATCGCCCATTTATAGAACTACAGCACTGCATTTCCTATATTACCGACACAAATATTGTATTCCCATTGGTCATTTCTAATGTGCGGGAAAATTTGAATTGTTTTTTAATGAATTACTATTTGAACTTTGTTAAGAGAGCAAATAAACACTTTGTTAAAAAAAATACTACTTTTTTAAAAAAAATACTACTTTTTTTAAAGAAAGTAAATATAAATCTTGTAAAAATGGAAAAAAACTAATTTAGTAATAATTAGTTAAGTAATTTAATTTACAAACGCAAAAAAGTGGATAAATAAATAAAAAATTACTAATTTTGAAAAAATAGAATTTCTAATAAACATTATCTGTAATTGATAAATTATAAGGACAATTCTTAACGCTCTATAACCGTAGACTACATAACTTAATATTAAAATAAGTTGTACCGTGCTGTCAAGAAATATACCAAAGAAGCCAAAAATTTGAGGTTATGTTTATAATTTTCAGAGTAAAAATACAGAAAGACAGTCAGTTACTATTACAAATTATTGATGTTTAAAACTTTATTACATTAAAAATATTCAATAAAAGCTGGTTTCAAATTTACATTATTAAAAAGGAACGTTTAATCAACTTGAATTTGACACAAACATAACCTATAATTCGTATGCTTCTTATAGATACCTTTGTTAAAAGCGCGTCCCATTTGTAAGATAATATTTCACATACAGTATCCAAACTTTCATGAATATTGATGACAATTTTCCAATATTGAAAATAATGAGAAAATGTGCTGTCAATATTCCTGCAACTTTCGAGTATTGCGAGGATTAATATAAACTATAATATATACTCACATTTATGATGAATTCCTTTTAGCGTTGACAATTGAATACGGCTAGTGACAATAATCTTCGAGTCATTCAAACCAGGAGATCCCTTTCTATAATAATTAATCAAAGTATAAAAACTTCGAAAACAACAATTTGTTGTAGAAAGACCCAGTTCTTATGACTCGAATTTCTTGTTGCCGGTATCTGCAGTTTCCTAAGTGAATAAGCGGCCACCAATGGAGGAATCTGGAAAATAAAATATAATCATTAGTTTCAGCAATAACTTTCCAAAAAAACAAAAAATAATATCCATTTTGAATCATTTGTTTTGAGTCACATGCTTACATTCACGTTACTGTTTTATTCTGCTTTGAACTTTAAAGAAATAAGAAAATTCTAGAAAATGAAAATGGCTGACACAACCAAGTCATTTCTTCGTGACTGCAGATCCCAATTAAATGTGACGCGTTCCGAAGAAAGGGACACAAGAAAGCTAAATTTTTCAGGTTGTTTTTAATTTTTTAATTAAAACATTAAAAATATTTCGTATAATAAATGTAAAAGTGACACAAACATAACCTTAAAATGATTGGCTTCCTAGGTCCCTTTCTTCAGAACGCGTCAAAAATTAGTAAATACTTACAATTATAGATAACTGAAGAAATTTATAGTGACAATAATCTTAAAGCCATTGAAACCGCAAGATTCCTTTAATTATATAGAAATTTCGAAGACAGCAACACTGTTCTTCAAAGGCTAAGTTATGATGATTCGCTTCTCTTGTTGCCGCGGGATCTGGAATTTCACTGATGAACAAAGACCGCATGAATGGAGAAATCTGAAAAATAATAATAATATAAAATATTATTAAAAAAATAATCATTAATTTATGTAAAAATTTTCGATAAACTATGAGTAAATTAATAAATTATAATCGATGCTTATATTTACAATGGTTTTACTTGAATGAGGACGATTGAATTCAGCTAATGACAATGATCGCTTCAAGCCATTGTATCCGGAAGATGCCTTTTGAAGTTATTACTCAGAATAATTAAACAATAATTGTTCTATTATCAAGTTCATATGACGAGATATTTTCGCAGAGGGATCTTGGAATTCGCAGCGCAGAATTCTAATGGACAATGCGGCCACCAATGAAGAAATCTGAAACATACATTTCATTTCTTTAAAGATTTACAAACAACAATGACTGCTATTTTGGAACATTCCATTGTTACAAAGTGAACAGGAACTATTTGTCGAAAAGTACCCTAGACATCCTAACCTCAATATAAACAATTAGCACATTATAGAATCACAATGCAGTATATTAATTACATACATTTGAGAAAATGTGTAAAAATATTTTCACTATTGAGAAAACAGAAAGAATAGTCAATACATACGAATATGTTGCTAATAATACTTACTTTTAATATGAAGAAACGTGCGATGATGACCTTCATTCGGTCGAAAGTGAAATGTCCAGTGCTGTCACCTTGTGTCAATCATTGGAACTGCTACTCTTGTCTTTCTGCATTATCTACTAAAACTCTCACTCCCAATGACCATCTGAAAAATGTTTAATTCAAAAATTCTAATTAGTACATTTATTGCAGATATATGCAACTGCTATGAAGTTGGCAGAGATTTGACCTGGCGCTAACTGCAAAAAAGGCCGATTTTTGGCGGGAATTTAAAAAAAGATATTATTTTTATTATTTATAAATATTTATTAATTGTTCACTTTACAAATAAAGATTTTAACTCTTTTCATTTAGATATTAAGTAATTAGTTTATGAATTTAAATTATAGTCTTATTTTTCGCTATTGTAATTCTCATTTAGAAATGTTAAATATACTTATATAAAAATGAACTATAACAAATTTTTGTTATTTATAAATAACGTAACCTTTTAAATGAAATTATTTTTTAAAGACAGATAATTACTATATAATTATGCATAATATTGAGAAAAATCTTTATCATTATGTACTGAATCTTTGTCCTTTGACTTCTAACCTTAAAGATAAACTTTCAGTCGCACTTTTCTGATGCTGAGTTCGTTTAACTTTCTATTTGCAATTAAAATTTTTCATAAAATCAATATGTGGTTTAACTGAATTTCGTTTTCACTTATTTAGAATTAAATTGTTTATAATAAGTCAACTCAACATTGTAAGTCACTTATGAAAATAAATTCTAATTTTGAAAGGTACCCCAACAGTATTTATAAACTTGCAGCAACATTTTTATAACATTGCTACAAGTTTCGCAATATTGTTGCAATGTTGTCAAAGTTGCTGCAAGTTTAACCTTAAAATTCATTGCTTCTTACGTACCTTTCTTCAGAGCGCGTCATAAATATGTTAATGAGTATGTATGAACTGTCAGTATAAAACATTGCTCATCTTCAAAATATAACAGCCGGAGGAAAATATATATTGTATGTACATATATTTACTGTTATAATAAAATTGCGCTGGCGCGCGTCAATATTAAGAAAAGATGTTGCCTTGACGACAAGAGCGAAATTGCTTTCAAAGGGTTAAATCTCATTAATCAAGGGTCCTCTTCTTCAGATGCTGTTAGGCATTCGAACAACAATCATTTGACCAATAATTGTTTCCATTTATAAAAAAAATTAATTAAAAAAAAAAAAAAAAATTATAAATTATAAATTCAATGTTAATTATAATTATTTTATAATTATAATAATTTGGTTAATTATAAATACGTATATTATAATAATTTGGTTAATTATAAGTACGTATATTATATAACTATACAGTACGTAGTAAAAAGTAAATTAAGATTCGTTTACTGCCTATAAAAAATGTGGAAAAGAAAAATAAGTGCCACGAACTGTCCAAGTGAAGAAAATCAAAGACAGCAAGAAACTAAACACGACGAAAGTGACAATATGAAGAAGAGGCACGAGTTTGAATTTTTAAAAGCAAAAAATCGCATTTGGCAAAATTTGAAAAGAAATTTTGAAAAATTTGCTGGTTTTCAATTGGATGAACTTGAATCATTTGAAAAATTCGTCAAATTTCTTTACCGGCCAACAGATCCCTCCAGTTTAGGAGTTACACGAGCACTTTTTGGTAAAAATTAAATACTTCCATTTAAATGTGTATAAGATTAAATATTTCTTTCAATTGTATATTGCATATAAATTAATTTAATTATAATTTTTAATATTATTCATTTTAATTGTGTAATCGAATAAATTCTATTTAATTGGGGAAAAAAATTCTAAATTGACAGGACTCTGCATGGTAATAGATATCGTTTACGAAAGGGGACTATCAGATATAGATAAAAAATGGGGCGATCCTAAAATTTGTCGATTTCCTCTAATTCATGGAATGGAAGCACCAACGCTTCCGTGGATGACGATTATTTACACGATCATGTGGTTTGGTGCATTTGGAATTATGCTTGGATATTATTTCAAAATTGCCTGCTTTTGCTTTGTATTGCCCTATTGGTATATATTTTTATTGGACAAAACTTTTTGGAACAATCACAGTTATTTGTATGGTGTCGTCGCTATTCTCTACTGGGGAACAGGTGCAGATAAATATTTGTAAGTTGGAAAAAAGAATAATGTAAATTTGACCCGCACTGAAGAAAGGTACTAAAGGTACTTAAATCATTTGGAGGTTATGTTTGTTATTTTTTTGTAAAATAGGCTAAAATAAAATAAATTAGTGTCTAAAATAGGCTCTTTTTCTGTCCTTATGTTGAACATAACATAAAAATACAAAAAAATCTATTGTATTTTTAAGTTATGTTCGTCATAAGGATTTTTTCTTCTTAAGTACCTTTCTTCAGAGCGAGTCAAAAATGTAAATAATAAAAAGAACAATTCTTATTGTATTGAATTAAAGTTCCTTAGATTCGTTAACGAAGAAGAAAGAAGAAAAAGTACCATTTTGGAATTATTTCATTTTACGATTTCAATTCTTCCTTTTATATTTTCTCGCTGGTTTGAAGAAAACTGATATCGATTGGTTAAGAGGTTATTCAGTGGTCACTTTATCAGGACACTGGATATTTTACCCATTTACGTAAGTTTTATTAAAATTAAACAAAAAAAAAACATTTTAAATATGTATAACAATGTATTTTAGAGTGTTATTAACGGCAGAGCAAACAAATCACTTTATTGTTCATCTGTTTGGATTCATTTTTGACTTAACCATTGGATTTTGGATGATGTTTGATAAAACTCGCCTGCCAGCAATGCTTGTTTGTACTGCTTTCCACTTAATGAACACAAGACTGTTTTCTATAGGTAAGAAAAATTTTTAATGAGAAAATAAAAAATGCTACTAATTGTACAACTAAAACCACAAGCAATACAACTAAAAATACCAAAAAAACTATTTGTTAAAAGCGTACCAATTTTTACAAATGATTTAGGAATGTTTCCATACACATGCCTTGCAACAATGCCTCTTTTCTGTCATGTCGATTGGCCAAGAAAATTTCAAAAGTTGACTACTACAATGTACCTACCAAAATGGAGAGTTAACGTTAAGTTGCTTTTTCAAAAAATATTTAAAGCTTGTGAAAAAAATAGACAAGATAAGAAAAATGATGATATTCACGATAATGATAATATAATTCAGCAGCAAGATGACAACATGAAAGGTAGTGAAATTAAAGATTCGGAATTAAACAGAGAATCAAGAGAAGAAGAGAAGCGACAAAATGAAGAAGAAGAAGAAGAAGAAAAGGAAGAAGCAGAGGAGGAAGAGAAACAAAGAGAAGAAATTGATGATCTACCTCCAAAATTTCTGGCTGAGGGAATGAATTCAAACCGTTTGAAACAGTCAGAAAAGATTTCAAGAAAACAAAAATTTGTTATTGTTCTACTAATTTTTCACGTGGGTTTACAGTGCTTTTTGCCGTACTCTCATTTCATAACACAGGTAAATTGAATTTTAACTTCTAAATGACTGAAATTTAACAAAAATTGACTAAATTTGACATTAATCAAAAGTAATAGATGCTTAAAGTTAATTTTCGTTACTCAGGGTTATAACAATTGGGTTCCTGGTTTATACGGATATTCATGGAACATGATGGTCAATTATTGGGACGCAATTGCTGTGGTAATCCAAGTACGAGACAATGTAAATAATGAAGATTACTTTATTAATCCCGATGCCTATGTTAGAAACAATAGATGGTGGAGACACGGGGACATGGTAAAACAATATGCACATTGTTTAAAGGTATGTATACTACAATGGACAGCTAAAAACAATTGTAAAAATTCTAAGCAACGGATTAATTTATTAATGATTCGATTAAATAATCGAATCATTAAGCAATTAATCCGTTGCTTTGAATATTGTTATATATTCGGTTCTAAAATTAATTTAATAATTAATCCTATATTTAATATTTTAATTTAATAATTAATCCTATTTTTAATGAAACAAGAATGAAAATAATTCTGATAATAAATAATTAATTACACAGGACAATCTAATGAAGGAAACCCAAGTGATATTATCTTCGAACATAAGCATTTATGTCGATGTATGGTGTTCTCTAAATGGGAGATTTCAGCAGAGAATGTTTAAACCGAATGTTGACATATTAACTGCAGAGTGGCATCCATTAAAACCTGTTTCCTTTTTAGTTCCTCTGCTGATAAACTTCAATTTCCATCGGTATGCACTCACAAATTCATATTACTTACCAAACTTTTGCTATATTTTTTATTTTTGCTATTTGTATTGCTTCAATTTTGAATCAAGTTGATTACAAATTGTCCATTTTTACCAAAAAGCCATTCAACACAAATAGCATAATATTTTGGAACAAGTGAAATTTATTTCGAGTCAACATTCCAGCATTACTAAATCCGTGCGCTACTCGATGAGTGTCTGGATATTTGACAGTTAAAGTTAATTAAGAGTTAAATTGGGGCTCAATCGTAGAAATTATCAAATGATCAAATGATAATGAACATAACTTGTAATCTTTTTGTTCTCGATCAGCTTTCTTCATATAGCGAGTGTAACCGAGTCATAAATGCATAATTATACCATAATAACAAAAAACTGAATATTTTCAGATACAACTTGGAAGAAATCGAAAAACAAGTCTACACATGGTCGAATTTCTCCGACGTTTACTTCGTGGCTGATTATCCTGGTATGAAAAAATTAAATTTCGTCGATGAAGAATTAGCAAATGTCACATTGACTGTAATAGAGGGAGAAGTGTCATACACTGAAGAAGGAGAAAAAATGAAAGTGATCATTTCAAAAGGAGATCATGTTCATGTTTCAAGTCAAGTATTTCATCAAGTGGAAGTAATTAGTTCAGTTCCAGCATGTTACATGTACACTTTTCTAAATAGAAGTGAATTTTATCGAAATAATGAGTAAGTACCTTAAAACTTATTAATTATTAATATTTTCTTAAAATTTTTATTAATTTCAATGAATATTTTTCTTTCTACAGAATAAATAAATTATCAGAGAATCATTCTAGTCCACCAACATTAAAAACACTGATGTATGAAATAAAAGAAAATTTTAATGCCTGGATACGAGCTATCAAACACATAAACACTGCATTTATCAATATTTTCTCTAAATCATTTTACAATTGCGACGTAGAAAATCGTATAAATTTTCATCAAGCACTTCCTTAATTGTATAAATACAAAGTGCATAAAATACCGAAGCATATACTTCGAATTTATATTTAATTATTAGAGTTTAAAATAGTTTTCATCTTAAAATATTTTTCATCTTCTAATGTAAGTTTTGAAGAAAATTTTCAATTATCTAATTTATTGAAACATGCAAAAATTTTTAGTGATTAGAAAAATCAATTTGTCGAAAGTATAAATCATAATCTTCAGACTTGGCAATTATCAGTTATAAATAAAAAGTCTTTATCTAACTTGAGTGTAAATATTCTTGTCGCTTGCGCCGTTCGCTTCAGTTTTCAAAGTGAATTCGACTTATAAATTAATAATTAAGAAGTAAATTTAATAATTAGAAGTACATTTTTGATAAGAAAAAAGAAAACCCAAAAAAATGGAAACTGTCACATTTTTGAATGTAGAATTAATAATTATTAGTATAACAGTGTTTGTTGTATTTTATTTGCTAATGATGAGACACTTTGAATATTGGACAAGAAAAGGTGTAGTGCAAATAAAACCCGTGCCAATTTTCGGTAATTTCGTCAAATGTTTCTTTATGAAAATATCACCTGGCCATTGGTTTAAAGAATTTTACGAGAAAAGTAAAAATTTACCATATATGGGAGTTTATATTTTAAATCAACCCGGTCTAATGCTACGAGATCCTAACATAATAAAGCAAATTCTTCTAAAAGATTTTAATAATTTCGCCGATAAATTCATGGAATCTGGAAAGAATGATCATTTGGGAAATGCAAATTTGTTTATTGTAAAAAATCCCGAATGGAAAATTCTTAGAACAAAAATATCGCCAGTCTTTACATCAGGAAAATTGAGACAAATGTTTGAACTAATGACAAGTGTGGGTAATAATCTCGATACTTATATGAAATCACTTAATCTTCATGGTAAGTTTTTTAATCAAAATTGTTTTTTTAATTTTAAAAAACTTTTATTTGACTTTTAGAATCATAAAGCTTTTCACTTTTTTTTTTTAATTAGGTTCGGGAAAGGCAATAGAAATAAGAGAAATTTGTGCAAAATTCACAACGGATTTAATAGGAACAACTGCCTACGGTTTAGAAGTGAACAGTCTAAATAATCCAAATGCAGAATTTCGAAAAGTTGGAAAACGAATTTTCACCTATGATATATTCAGATCTTTGGAATTGAATTTCATATTTATTATGCCACAATTAGCGAGATTATTTGATCTTAGATTCTTTAGAGGTGATGGCAGTGCATTTCTCAAGAAAGTATTCATGGAAACATTGAATGAACGCGAAAGATCTGGAGGAAAGAGAAAAGACTTGATCGATTTACTGATAGAATTGAAGAAAAAGTACGAAAACGAAGATTCTCATGGAATAAGTAAGTTTTATTTTAACTTTAAACTCTTGTGATAAAAGAAAACTGAATGATGTAATTTAATTGCAGAATTTGAGGGTGATATTTTATGTGGACAGGCCGCTATCTTCTTTACCGGAGGTTATGAAACTTCATCAACAACAATGTCTTGTGCCTTTTATGAATTAGCTAAACAGCCGGATATTCAAGAGAAATTAAGGGCTGAAATAAAAAGTGCTCTCGAAGAAACTGATGGACAAATAACACAAGATTTGGTACAAAAATATTTATGTACAAATGTCAAAAACAATTTATTCAACCCACACAGAATCGAAACTTTTCTAAAGGTTGAAATTTCATGAGCTTTGCAACTACTTGAAAATTCAGAAAAGTTACAGTCAAGTTAATTTCAATGTTTCAGGAAATTTTCGATGCTGTGTGGGAAATTGTTTTAATATTTGTTATCTTGTAGAAATTTGAAAATAGTCAAAAAGTATAATTTAATACTTATTTGATTCCTTAAAAGATCAGTATACTAATTGTGGTTCTTTTTTTAGATAAGCGGCCTTCAGTATTTAGATATGGTTGTCTCGGAAACTTTAAGAATGTATCCAATTCTTCCCGTTCTGGATAGAAAGGCAATGAACAACTATCAAATTCCAGGGACAAATATAATTATCGAAAAAGGTACACCTGTGTTTATTCCATTATTGGGAATGCACTACGATCCACAATACTTTTCAAAACCGGAATTATTCGATCCCGAACGTTTTTCGGAAGAGAACAGAAAATCTAGAACTAATTATGTTTATATGCCATTTGGAGAGGGACCACGTAATTGTATTGGTAAAAATATAAATATATTTAAATCTTTTAAAATACAAAATGACGCGCTCCCAATAAAGGTACCCACACAGCATCTAAACTTGCAGCAATATTGTCACTGTTGCTGCAAGTTTAGATGCTGTGTGAGTACCCAAAGAGCAAGAATATTATTTAATATAATTTAATAATTTCTAATAAATTTACAATTATTGTTTAAACAGGAATGCGTCTCGGATTGCTACAAACAAAATTAGGATTAATTCACATTATATCTCAGTACAAATTGACAACCTGCGAAAAAACTGTATTGAAAATAGATCCAAGAGCGTACCTAACAACCGTAAAAGGTGGTATTGTCTTAAACGCACGCAAAATTAATTAATTTTACCTATAAATAAAGTATTTTTAGAACTATTTTGCTTATTTGATCTCGAATCTAACTATAAAACGCCGTGTAAAAACTAATTATATAATTATATAATCAATAAAACAGGTTTATCTGAATAAAATTTATTTTCCTCTAATCGGTAGGTTAAATGAACTATTCTTAATTTTAATGAACTATTTTTTATTAACAACACTTCACAAAGACAGTAAAATACTTTTCCGAACAATTCTAAAAATTGAAACAACTGTCAATTGGAATTATTTCAAAGGTCTGAATATCACCCACATACTACTGTCAACTGCTGTAAAGAAACTTGTCGGATCTGGTTTAAGAGGAAGACACGTTCTCGGTGATAATTCTAAAGAAAAGTTTCTTAAAACTGCAATTATTCCCATTTTCATCGACATCATTGCTAATCTTCGTCCCAAACACATTCTAGGTCCTTCGCCAAATGGAAGAAAAACAAATTTGTGTCTATCCTTTCTATTCTCCTCGCTAAATCTATCAGGATCGAATTTTTCCGGTTCGGGCCAATATTCAGGATCCTTATGCAATCCATGAACAGATAAAACAACTATATTTCCAGGTTCCACTTGACATGATAATCCATCAAATCCATCTAACTGTACTTTAGAAGTACAAATTTTCATTAAACTTCCAAGAGCCGAATTTAATCGCATTGATTCAAAAATAGCTTGTTCCAAATAAACCAATTCATTCAAAGTTTCATATTTCCAATTCTCGTCACATTTCGCACCAATTGAAATAATTTCTCGTCTCACTTTCTCCTGAACATCGGAATAAATTGCTAATTGAAGAGCTAGAAAACTTAATGTAATATTAGTCGTTTCGTGTGCATCCAAAATAAATGCTAACATATAAGAAGCTAAATTATCCGCATTTATTTTCTCCTTCTCATTTTCCGAAATAATGTGCAAAAAATCGTTACGGGGAATTTTTTCCCCCTTTGTCGTCTCTTTAATCTTCATCACTGATTCACGCATAAATTTGTCCATTTCTTTAGAAACAATTCCGTATTTCAGAAATTTTGCCAAACGAGGTAAATAGAAGACAGCAACTTGACCAAAACCACCATTTATTGCTGGATTATCAAAAACTGATGTGACAGCATTTCCAAAAGACTCTGAATTCTCCTTGAAACAATCACCTTCAACTCCCAATCCAACAGTTGATACAATTTCCCCAGTATACAAACTGAATAATTTCTTTAAATCAAACTCAAAAGAATTGATATTTTCTAATTTAGTTTTCAAAAAGTTATTGAACTTGAATGATACCTCACGTGTCAACGTAAACATTAATTTCAATTTACTTGATGAAAAGCCATTTGTTAAAACAGTTCTATTTTGTTTCCACGTGTCCTTTTGAGAGAAGAATGGATTTTTCGATAATAATGGATCCAATTCTGGATGAAGTACAATTTGATTGTCTTCGAAGGATGAAAAATTTGTGATTAAAACTTTTTTCACAAGTTCCGGATCACGAACTATTAATGATGGAGTTAGCATTTGATAAAAACCGATCATACTTTTATGGGGATTTTTTTTGTATATATTTTCACATAATGAGGAGAAAGCTTCTTGCATAGCTAACACTTTTCCCATATTGCCGACAAATGGAAGACATTTTTCAACAGAAGGTATTCCCTTTTTTTCCCAATAGTTGTAAATTTGGGTTAAATAAGTGTAAATAAAAATGAAGAGCAACGAAATTAAACCAAGAGATAATAATAAAAAATCCATATTTAATTCTCAACGACTTTTTCAGTAACTGATCAGCATGCGTAAGTTCGCATTAAACTATTTCATTTTTTTATGACGCCAAGACTATTATCGCTTCCTGATAAGAAATAAAATAAGAGAAAACTAAAGAAAATTGATAGCTTGCAAATTTCTTTTCGTTGTGAATCGATTTCTAATATATACGAGAAAATTAACTACATATAAACGATCGAATCAAATTAATAATTAATTACTAAAAATTTTACAGGCCTCGGATCGACTATAAGGCGCAAAAAAGTCTCATTAGTCTAAAAATACAAAGAAAAGTCAAAAATTTTTTTAATTGTCACAAAAACTTTATTTCGTATTTCCTTGACCTTTCACTGATTTCCAAAATCAATTATTCAAAAATTCAATAATTTTGCAATAAATATTTAAATACTTCTTATTTATTTTTCCAGAGAAAATAAAATTTGTAAAATTTCAATTTAAAACCTTCTGAAATTTAATAATTTCTAAATATTACATTACTTCTGAAATTCAATTATTTTCTACAATTTTTAACTTAATTTCATATCTAAATCAATTCATGAATGCCACAAAATGGTAAATATAAAATTTCTGGCTTTTTCCAGGATTTTTCAGGTCAATACTTATGAAATTCCAGTCAAAAATTTAAAAAATTTCTACCCCCATAACACGTCTTCAGCAATATAAATTTTTTAAACAATTGTTAGTACAAAAATTGTTTACTGATCCCAAACTATTGTTACAACAATTCCAATAATTGTCTGAGTAATCAAAATTAATTTAACTAACAATTCATAAAAAGTAACCAAAGCCGATAATCAGCAGAAGATGAAAACTTATTTTTTAGCGAACTTTATCTTCCGTATTTTTTGAAAATAGTCCAAAAAAGTCATAATACCTATAAGACCTGTTGTTATTATAATCAAATTATAATTCCGATAAATAAAATTTTAAGTAAATAGAATCGAAAATTTAATTTTTGATAAATTCTGTAAAATATAAATATGAGGAGTTGAAAAAAAATTTCGTCAGCATACCTGTCATTTTTAAATTGAAGAATGTGTATCAATGCAATTTATGTTTCTTCGTGTACGTTCAAAAAAAAATATTCCGAAAGCACTAAATTTGATTGTCATTACGTATTTGAATATGAACCGTGTATCGATTTCCATTATTGACTTTGTTTCTCTTCTATTTCTTTCTTTCTGAAAAATAAAACAATTCGAACAAATTAGATAAATTTCTTTTTAAATGAAAATAAATAATCTGCAATTAATCAAGAATCTCATTTTATGATAATAGTAAACTACAGTAAACAAAATAAATTAAAAAGAAAGTCATGTTTGACTTTCAACAAAATAAACTGCTCGGACGGTGTAAAACATTAAACAACGAATAATATCGTGTGATTAATATTTTTAATTGAAAAACAATAAAAATTCACTTATTTGTTCCAATTATTTCCCGACGAAAATAAAATCGCACGACAAAAAAAACATTATAAAGCGCATTGTGTTATAATATGTAAATAATAAAATTTGAAAAAATAAAAAGATTGTATTGTAGATAAGATAAACATTTATTTTCAATTTGTTTCAAAATAAGATAAAAATGATTGTCTATTCATTACTGAAGAACAACTTAAAATGTGAAAATAAATTTGCAATTAATACGTAAACATACTAGGAATTTTAATAAAAAAGCTGTAAATTACAAACAATCATTAATATTTATTTATACGACAGAAAAGTAAAAAAAAAGAACTTGTTTAAATTTTGTTGAATGCTGCAATGTCGACGGATTGAACGTAATCTTCAAAGTCTTGTATTTGTTCAACAAGTAAATCTACAGATACTTTGTCGTCCTCAACAACACACATGATCTGCAACTTTCTAATGCCATAACCAACTGGTACGAATTTTGCTGAAAAGAAAAAGAAATAAGAAATTATTTTCAATTTTGAATCATAGAGGAATTAAATGCATTGCTTTTAATATTCAATTATTATCTAAAATTTTAACTGAAATTCATTTTTAAATCAATTTTTATTAGAAAATTCTACGAGAATTTAATTATTTAAATACAAAAATAAATAATTTATTGAATAAATTAATGTTTCTCGAAATTGAATTATCATAAAGAATTTTATCAACAAAATAATAAAATTTTCAAGAGTAATTAAAATTTTCGAGGAATTTAATTAAAATTGTATTAAAAATAATTAAAATTTTATGATGACTGTTTTATTATTCATGAAAATATTTGAATTTTTGTAAAAAATATTATTATTTATGAAAATAACTGAATTATTGTAAAGAAATTTATAAAAAATTTGTAAATAATTGAATTCCTATGAAATTTTTCTTATTTATGAAAATAATTAAATGTTTGTGTAGAATTTTATCGAAATTTTTTAAAAATATTTAAATTCTGTTGGGAAATTTTATTAAAATAGTAGATACGAAAAATCATTGAATCGAGGAAAATTTTTGTAAGCAATTGAAATTTTGACAAGAATTTTATTAAAATTTTTAAATATAATTGAATTTCGGATAATTTTATTTCTTTTCAAAATAATTAAATTTCCTCGCAGGATTTTATTAAAAAAATTTTTAAAATAATTAAAGTTTTTCCTAGGATTTTATTATTTATTAAAGTAATTGAATTTTTGTGAAGATTTTTATTGAAATTTTTTAAAATAAATGAATTTATACGAAGAATTTTATTATTTATAAAGATAATTGAATTTTTGGGAAGAATTTAATCGGAATTTTTGAAAATAACTGAATTTTAAGAAGAATTTTGTAGTTTATGAAAATAATTGAATTTTTAGGGAAGAATTTTATTGAAATTTCTAAAAATAATTAAATTCCCATGACAATTTTTATTATTTGTGAGAAAATAATTGAATTCTTGCTTAGAATTTTATTAAGATTTTTTTAAAATAATTAAATTCTTTTCGAAAACTTTAGTAAAATAATAGATATTAAAAATCATTGAATTGAGGAAAATTTTTGAAAATAATTGAAATTTTGCCAAGAATTTATTTTAAAATTTTTGTAAGTAATGGAATTTCAGAGAAAAATTTTATTATTTATAAAGATAATTGACATATTGACAAGAATTTTTTCAAATTTTTGAACATAATTAAATTTCTGTGAATAATTTTATTACTTTTGAAAATAATTGAATTTCTGCAATCATTTGCAACTTCTCCAAAATTCAATTTTTTAAAGTATTTTTAACTAAACTTCTTCTATAAATCCATTATTTTTAATAATCAATTAAATAGATATTAAAAAAATTTACTAATTTCAGAATAATTTGAATTATTAAAATTTTTCAAAAATCTAACAAAAAAGATACAAAAATTTGGAATTTTCCTAAGAATTCTTAAAATTTAATTTTTTCCAGTACTTTTAATAAAAATCCCTGACTTTTCCCTGAATTCCCTGACCTGTGGCACCCTTGAAATTTTTTGCCCATATAGAAAATTGAGAATAAAATAATTATAAAACAGAAAACAAAAAGAACCAGAAAATGATTAATTATAAAGAGAAATTGTTTTACGATTTTTGGAATAAAAATATTTTGTCATTCAACTTACATGCACCCCAAATTAATCCGTCCATTTCGATGGATCTAACAGCTTTCTCCATTTCTTCCATATTAGTTTCATCACCCCAAGGTTTTACGTCAATAACGATACTGGATTTGGCAATAATTGCCGCTTTCTTGGATTTCTTTTCGGCGTATGCCTTCAGTCTCTCCTCTCGAATTCTCACTGTCTCTTCGTCTTCCTCTTCATCAGAACCAAATAGATCGACATCGTCATCTTCGGCCGCTGGCTTTTCAGCTGCTGTGGTATTACTTCCTAAAATTGTTGGTGCCTTCTTCTCACCTGGTAGTGACTTAAAGTCATAAGATTTGATGTGATTGTACCACCTCAAAACATGTGCATTTGCGGGATTTGGTGATTTTCCCAAAGCTTCAAAAACTGCAACATCAGCCTGAGTTGGTTGATAACTGCAAATTCAATAATTTTCATATTAATCATTTTTTCAGGTTATTTATTTATTCCTTTTATAAAAAAAAAATACTTATTGCAATCATTCTTATTATCCATAAATATTTACTTACATTTTCACAAAGTCAAATCAAGAAATAAATAAAGACAAGCGTGTATGGTGTTTAATGATAACAATATTAAACTGAAAAGACGAGATTGAAATGTGTTGACAGTATAAATACAGTGATAATTAGTTACATTAAGAAAGATAAATAATTACTTACATTTTTGTATCGTAAAAATTCAATTAAAGCATAGCAGAGCACACACATTCCTTTTGAAATGATTTCCAAAAAACAACATTCATCCAAGCAGTAAAAAGCATTTTTTTTATTTAAAAAAACACAATAAAATGTTAGTGAATTTCTATTCGAATATTTAGAACCGAAAATAAACACAAAAACATTTTGCTTGAAACATGTTTAAGAGGTTGAATAACTAAAAATTAGATTTGTACAAAAATAAAAAATTTCCGATAATAGAAATTATCAAATTGGCACAAATTTTAGGTTATGTTGCCAAATTGTTTTCTAATTATAGGAATCTTTGACTTTCATTCAAAAGCAATTTTCGTTATTCTATTTCGCTTTGTATCAGATAAACAAGCATAATAATAACAATAGAAAATTCGTACATTTAGCTTCAAAACTGATGAAAAGTTTACAAATAAAGAATTTTGTATAAGTTCTCCAAAACATGATCAAAATAAAATTAAAGTTAACAGGGACTAAAATAAGTAATTCCAGTAATTATACTTTGAAATTCAAATAAATATACCGAATCATTACGAATTCTATAAACAAATTTTGAATCTTGAACGTAATCAATTAGGACGTACGTTACTATCATATTGCCAGAACCAAAAGTTGAAAAAACTTTTAAACTCAATTTTCATGTTTCAAAGAACATACTATTTATCTTTTCAAGAGTATTTTTGATGCTAAATTCGAAAAATAATTAGAGTATATGAGTATAACCAGTATAGCAAAAATGGTAAAAATATGAAAAAGTATGAAAAACAAGGTTATGTTGAACACAGCCCCCGTTCATGAGAATACCCTTTTTTCCCATTTTTCATTAATGACCAACTTTAATTATTCAATAGATTATCTACCAGTCAAAAAAAGAACTATTCCCTTTTTCTTTTTCCAATGATGCCCAAATGAAGTAAAAGGAAAAAAAATAGTTAATTTAAAGTACAAGTTGCCGACATGCAGAACACGTGCGTACATCAAACTTTCATATTTATGGCAAAATTACTCACCCTTCGATATAACTACGATCAACCAGGTATGAGTCTAAATCCTTGACACCTTTTTCAGTTTTAAGATCGCCTACGGCCATTTTTAAAATGATTTTTAGTTAATAAATATTCTACGAAAAAACTAACAACAGCTGCAAATAATTCTTGTCGTTCAGAACCGGAAGGGATGGGTAGGGAGATATGTGATACGTGTGAATATAGTTGCATTTCACAATTGACGTTTTTCCGGTTTTATGTTTTTTTGAATTGAAATTGAAATTTGTTAAAGAAATCGGTTCAATTAATAATTAAATTGAATTAAAATCTGACAAATGAGATTGTTTCTTATTTTTGTATTAGAAGATTTACACATACCCTGAAAAACAAAGAGAAAAAATAAATATCTAAAAATCCCTCCTGTATCTCGAAGGTAGTTTTGGTAGCACTGTTTATATCGAAACTACATGTATCGAATATCGAACTGTGATTTTCAACTCTGTCATGTTGGCCATCTTTGCTGTTCATTGTTGCGCTGAGTTGCGATTTAAAAAGTCTTGTACTGTTGTTTAGTCTTGTTTATAAACAAATTCAGTTGTATTTTATCAACATTTTGCATAAAATAATGCCAATAATTATCAGATAATTTTGTTTCTATATGAGATGTCTGATTAAATAGTCTTTTTATGTATATACATAAAACGTACAAAAGGTATCGAAACTTTGGAGGTTATGTTTGTTAGACAGTAGTTACAGTAGTTATTTCTTATTTTATACAAAAATAGAGTAATTAATATTATAAAATCAGCGAACTTGTTTAGTTGTTACTAAAATTGTCATTTTTGTAATATGAATTTTTACATTTTCAGGTTATGGGAGTTCAAGCAGTGTTACGATGAAAATTTGGAAAAATTCGAGAAATAACATCAAGTGAAAACGATTTGTAAGTTTTTCTCTACATTTTTCTCTAGATTTAAAATATTTTTTATTATTTAAATAATAAAAAGAAGTTTAACAATCTCTTTCTTAATTATTTAGTTTAATCTTTAAACTTTTATTTCTGTAAAGTTTTGAATAGTAATTTTTTGTCGTTTTTTGTAAATTAAGAATGCTTGCAATTTCGAATAATTTATAAAAGTTTGAACAAGTAAATTAGTAAACTAAAATTGAAGTTAAACAATTTGGCATTATTTTTATTCTCAATTTTCGCGCTTTGAGGTATTTATTTGACTCATTTTGAGCGCGAACGAATTTTTTGAATCGGTGTTTCAATTTTATCGTCGAGTTTACATTCTATTGAAACACGAGTGTTCAGTGATTATATTGTTTGACGTGTGATGTAAACCAATCAGAGGCAACCACGACCAAAATCTTGAAGATTGTGACAGAAGTTGTTAAAACGTCTGCTAGAATGGCAGGAACACAATTTATGAGGATATTCCTCCTTAATTTATCATTATGTGTAATAATTACATTAGCAGGGTAAGTAATTTAAAAGAAATTAATTTCTTTTTCCATTGCACGTATTTTTTTCGAAATTTGTTTTAAAAATAATCAAACATAACCCTTATTACACCGACGTTTACAAGTTCTACATCAACAATGATTTATAATTTATCAATTTCACTGTTTTGTCAATTATTTATTTAATTTGGAAATTTTACTATTAAATATATGATAAAATTCTAGAGAATTATTTTTATATGCTTGTTTTCATGTTGATGTTGAATTGTTAATAAATAAATTATAGTCCTTTCTTTTTACAAAATATCTTTTTGTAAATAGTCCTTTTTTTACTAATTTTATTTTCGATTTCTTTTGCTTTTAGGAGAGATTTTTACGATATTTTAGGAGTTAGACGGAGTGCCAGTACACATGAGATTAAAAAGGCTTATAGAAAATTAGCAAAGGAATTGCATCCTGATAAAAATAAGAATGATCCTGATGCTTCGCAAAAATTTCAGGATCTTGGAGCTGCTTATGAAGCACTTTCAGATCAGGAAAATCGAAAATTATATGATAGATGTGGTGAGGAGTGTTTAAAAAAGGACGGTTCTATGAATGGTGCCGATCCTTTCTCCAGTTTCTTTGGTGATTTTGGTTTTCACTTTGGTGGTGAACAACAACAGCATCAAACTCCTAAGGGAGATAATATTGTTATGGAATTATTTGTAACTCTCGAAGAGTTGTATAGTGGTAATTTTATAGAGGTACGTGTGTTTCAAATTTATTTTTACTGTAAATTATGTATTTATTTATTTATAATATTTAATTATTTATTTATATTATTTACAGGCTTTGCACTCTTCTACTAAAAGCTAATATTTACTACTTTTTTACATTTCAGCCACTAAAAGCTACTATTTCTGTTTCTCTTTTGAGAATTTCCACTACTTTAAATTCGCTAATACTAGAAATCAGAAAATTATTTACAATATCTCGTATTTTCATCAAATATCGAAAAAAAAGTTGATAAAATTCACCCAAAATTCAATTATTTTCATAAATAAAAAAATTCATATCAGGATTTCAATTATTTTAAACACAATTTTACTTAAATTTTTTTGAAATAATTCAATTATTCCTCCCAAGAATTCAATTGTTTACATAAATAATTCTTCGAAGAAATTTAATTATTTTGAGGCATTTAAATAAAATTCTTTTCAAAATTCAATTATTTTCATTAATAAAAATATTCATCAGAAGAATTCAATTATTTTAAAAAATTCTAATAAAATTGTTCGTAATAAATCAATTATTTTAAATACAATTTTAATTACATTTTTTTCAAATAATTCAAATATTTTTTTTAGATTTTAATAGAGTTCTTCCAAAGAATTAAATTATTTACATAAAAAATTCTTCGAAAAAATTCAATTATTAAAGATAAATAAACAAAATTATTCCCGAAAATTCAATTGTTTTGAGGCATTTTAATAAAATTCTTTTCAAAATTCAATTATTTTCATAAATAAAAATATTCATTAGAATTCAATTATTTTTAGAAGTAATAAATTTCTTCTTGGAAATTCAATTATTTAAAAAAATTTTAATAAAATTGTTCGTAGTAAATCAATTATTTTAAATACAATTTTAATTATATTTTTTTAAAATAATTCAAATATTTTTTTTAGATTTTAATAAAGTACTTCGCAAGAATTTAATTATTTATATAAATAATTCTTCGAAAGAATTCAATTATGTCGATAAATAACAAAATTATTTCCGAAAATTCAATTATTTTGAAGCATTTCAATAAAATTCTTTGCAAAATTCAATTATTTTCATAAATAAAAATATTCTAAAGAATTCAATTGTTTTGAGGCATTTTAATAAAATTCTTTGCAAAATTCAATTATTTTCATAAATAAAAATATTCATTAGAATTCAATTATTTTTAGAAGTAATAAATTTCTTCTTGGAAATTCAATTATTTTAAAAAATTCTAATAAAATCGTTCGTAAGAATTCAATTATTTTCGTAAATAATAAAATTCAATTCTTTTCATGAATAATAAAAATTTCAGGAATTCAGAAAACGAGTTTTTTTTTGGTCAAGGTTAATTTTTCGATAGCTACTTTTTTACAACTTTTTCTAGTTTGAAAGCTACTTTTTTAAAATTAATTATCGAGTGCGAAGTCTGTATTTATTTACTCACAAATTTACATTTATTCATAATTATATCGTTCCTTAAGTTTGTTTATTTTATTTATTTCCATAAGTTTCTCTGGATGTAATTTTAGTTCTCATTCTAAAAGGAAAATATTTTTTGCAGATAACGAGAAATAAACCTGTGATGAAAGCAGCAAAAGGGACGAGAAAATGCAATTGCAGACAGGAATTAGTAACACGTAATTTAGGTAGCGGAAGGTTCCAAATGATACAGCAAAATGTTTGCTCCGAATGTCCGAACGTACAATTGGTTAATGAGGAGCGAATTCTAGAGGTGGAAGTTGAAGCCGGAATGGTTGACGGTCAAGAAACGAAATTCACTGCAGAAGGAGAACCTCATATTGACGGAGATCCCGGCGATTTGATTCTAAAGTAATAAGAAAATTACCAATTTTCTCAATTTTGAAAAAAATTCCTTTTTTAATTTAAAGGAAAGAGGAATTATCTTCTTAAAAGAATTAAGCAATGCAGAATAAAAAAAAAGGAATTATTTATCTAGAATCATTTTTTCACTGAATCGTTTTTTTTTCAGAATTCAGGCCCAACCTCACGACACATTCGAGCGAATTGGTGACGATCTTTACACAAATGTGACGATATCGTTACAAGATGCACTGATTGGTTTCAGTGTCGATATCGTTCATTTGGATGGACACAAAGTAACCATCACGAGGGACAAAGTAACGAAACATGGCGCTCGAATCAGGAAAAAGGGAGAGGGTATGCCTAATTATGATAACAATCATCTCTACGGCAATTTATACATTACGTTCGATGTCTCCTTCCCGGATAAAGAATTTTCAGCCGAAGACAAAGAAGGTAATTTCTAGAAAATAAATAGAAAGTAGTGTTTAAATTACGAAAATTTAATCTTTTCGGAATTTCTAAATTTAATTATTAAATTTATTTTTACAGCAATTAAAAATTTATTGAAACAAACATCCAACAACAGGATATACAATGGAATTCGAGGAAATTAAAAAAAATAGTTTTGATTAAATTTTCTAAATGTAAAAGGAGAAACACTGTACTAATTAGTGCAAAAAAAGAAAAAGCAATCCTTGCAACAAGTGCTTCATGATTCCTGTTTCTTCCTCGAAACATTTTTTTTTGGTTATCAGTCGCACTTTGTACTTCTAGATTTAGAATTTCTCTTTTTTGGTGAAATAAGAAAGAAAATGCTAATGAAGTATATTACAAGACTGTTAAACTATACTTACATTGTTCATCAGCATAATATCTTGGAGTGACGTTTGCAAGGATCAATCCAATAGATTTATTTGAATTTTTAAGTTATTGTTGAGTGTGTGATAGTGTACATGTATTTTGCTAAATGAAATCATGTTTTTTCATACATGCTGTTTATATTCGAGTATCTGACTAAAAGAATTTTTAAGATCTTGTTAGAAAAAAAAAGTGTATTTTGAATTTGAATGGATAAAGTATGTATGAGAACAAGATGAAAATATATCAACGTGAAAGGAGAATTATTTTTTTATATTTTCCAAAAATTCTGTTATTTCCTTCTATTTAGCAAAATTTAGTCTTACATTGTTCTTGGTATAATTATATTAATTTTAGTTAATTAATACAATTAATTAAATTTAGTTAATTAATACAGTTCATTAAATAGTTAATTAATACAATTAATTAAATAGTTAATTAATAAAATTAATTAATAAATAATTCATACAATTAATTAAATTTAGTTATTACAATTAATTAATTAAAAGAACTATCAGAATATAAGGAAAAAATATAAATTTCATAATTAATGAACACATCATTAGTCCATTTTCATTTTGTTATTTTAATCTATTTTATATTATTTTAGTGTGCAAATAAAAAAAATTTTTGAATTGTAAATAATAGTGTTTTGAATTCATAGCGAGAATAATAATTTTTTAAAAATATTTTTAAAAAATAAGCAATTTAAATATTTATTATACATGTCGAAAGTGTGTTTCAGGTTAGCTAACTTATTTTTATAACTTAATTAAATTGAATTTTTCCTAAATTGTTTTTAAAGTAAATACACGAAATTATTTAGTTAATTAATGTAATTCTTAATAATCTTAATTTTAGTTAATTAATAATTAATTGAAATAAAAATAATAATAAATAATAAAATTGTGATACTAAATAAATAAATAAAAATTAAATAATACAATTAAAATAAGTTGAATTTCACTGCATTACAGATAATAAATTAATTGTAATAATTTATTTTATTCAAATAAATTAAAATTTTTCTTTTTTATTTTTAATACAAAACTTGAGAATTTTTAACAAAAACAAATATTTAAATTATTTATTAATATTAAATATTATTTTATTTAATTATTTATTTTTATGTATTTATTATTTTATTTATTTAATTATTTATATATATTTATTCTACAATTTATTTATATTTATTATTTTATTCATTCTATTATTTATTTATATTTGTTATCTTATTTAATATTATCTAATTTTTATTTTGATATTATTAGGTATTACTTTATTAATTATTAATATTTATTCGTTCAAAAAAGATTACAAATTATAGAATTCTTATATTTTTTAATCGGGGTTAATTATTTTTATTCTTTACTAAGAAAAATGTAAATTGCAACCATTTTTTATTTAAAAAATTGGCGCCCTATTTTAGTTATATTTTTAAAATGTTGGTACCACTGACTTCCGCTACACGACGCACTACTTGCTTCACGCAGTTCGGGCATAATTGTCACTGTTATTTGCGCTCCCGTTTTAATAATTATTTTTGATTAAAAAAAAGGTATCTTGATCGATATATTCATATTAATATAATCTATTATGTTGAAAATTAAACAAAATTTATTTTATTTTTTCAGATACAATTGTGCGATTGCAAGGATTGTAATGAATTCGATCCTTTTTTGGCAAACAACGAGTTTTCTCATTGTCCACGATATTGGTAAGAATAAACATAAATAAATTATCTGAAATATCAATTTCTTTGTGAATTTTCTTTCTATTTCATTAATTAAAGTTTATTTCTAGTAAAAAATCGAAACATAATTTACGTAATCGAAAAATAATTTACATAATCGAAAAAAATTTAAAGGACAAATTTTCAAGAGACTGCGCTTGCGCTAAAGTTACTTTTGTCTTGAATTTTAACTCTTTAAATAATATAAAATTTACGTAAATATTTATTATCTAAAAAGTAATTAAAACAAAAAAAAGGATATTTTTACATATAGTCATTAGTTTATTCTCTATTTCGAAAATTAATTAAAATTTTAATAAAGACGAATTTGAAAAGTCGCGCCACAGTTCATTTCTATTTTTCGAACGTTGGCAACACTGGCTCACAGTACACGACGCGTCACTTGCTTCGCGCATACTTGTGACTGCAGTTGTGCTTCCGCTTCGCTCGTCGTTTCTCCTTCAAATAATGTGTTTTATTGATAAATATTCATTAATATCAATCGAAATATTGAAAATTCAGTGCCGTGTAATGTAATTATGCAAAAGTGATTGGGATTGACAACGATTTAGATGGATGTGAATAATTTTCCGTCAAGTGAAAAATCTCATTGTCAGCGTTTACGAATCTCTGGTAAATTTGCACATTATTCTACTATACATTGATTATTCTACTAAATATTCTTATTTTTGTTCGTGATTATTGCATTTAAACATAACCTGCATTAATTGTAATGTTTTTTATGGTTTTTTATATTCTTCACATTCGCTATCACAAGATGGCGTCACTTTCCCAGTTTTTCCCTTTGTTGCGTGTTGACTGTTTCTTCATAGTTTTTCATCGGGAAATTTGCGTTTATCGAATATTTTACTCAAGTTTAGGTAAAATTTCGAAAATTAATAAGGTATAATATGTTTGCAACATAACCTAACTTTTTTTTCGTTAAAAAAGTTTGTGTGTGTTGTGCGAAATTCGGTAAATTTTTGCTCTTGTTTTTCGGGAAATTTTATTGATAGGAATATTTTTCAATAGGAATATTTCATTAAACATTCTGTAGATAATACATATTTACTAAAATTAGCTATAATGGAAAGTAAACATCGATTCGGAAATTATAATTAGTAATAAAAAAATAAATAAATAACGAATATTTTCAAAAAAGAAATTTTGCTCTTGCGCATGCGCAAAAAATTGGCGCCACACTTGGCTTTTATTTTTTGAAAGTTGGCAACATTGTCATTGTTACTGACGTCACTTCCCTGCGTATATTTGTAACTTTCAAACAGTTTTTTGTTCTTTCGGTTTTCGATAGTTTTTTCTTTATCAAAAATATGTTTTCTTCAATAACTTTTAATCATTTTCAAAGTAAAATGTTGAAAATCTAGTAAGTACGAGTGTATTTATTCAGATAAAATTGTGGATTGTCTTCGATTCTGGTGAATACTCTTGTCAGTAGAATGACAAATTTATCGTTCATCGTAAAGAATTTTGGTAAATTTACTTATATAAATAATAAAATATATTATTTTCAGGACTTATTTTCCAGATTCAATATTTTTAATTTGAAAATATTATTAGTTCCGTCCGTGAACTTTAATTTTGTTTTGCGATTTTTCCCTTCTAACATAACCTATAAAATAGAATTAAATTCTCATTGTTGCCGTTTCTCGCTTTTGACGTGAAATTCGCTATATTGTTTCTGATATTTTATTGTTGTTAATTTATTACGAATTTAAAACAATATTCAGTTAAAAAAATTATTAAGTAATTTTTTAAATGAAATTAATTTTTATTTATTCTATATTATATTTTAATTTTTTTTATTATTTCATTTACAAAATTTATCGAAAATTATTGCAGAGTAATAATAAAAATATATTAAAAATCTATGAAAATTTATAGTAAATAATTATGTTTATTGTAAAGAATCTTTTTAGTTAATATTTTTTTGTTTAATTTTTTAAAAATGTTTTTTATTATTTAAAATTGATAAATATAATTTTTAATTAATAACAGATCATTTCTTTTTTAAATTTAATTTTAGACATTATTATTTATATATACTGGATTTTAATTCGCTTTTAATTACAAATTGTTGCAGTGCTTAAAAACTTCAGGAGAGTGCGAAGAAATTGAAAAAGGACGACGGATCAATTTTCTACAGTTAAATCTCCAAATGGTGAGTCCCTCCTGTCTTCATGTAGTGAAGGCCGGTTGGAATAATTTTGAAAAATTGCTTAGTAATCAATTTTTCCCTTCTTAATACACGCATTTTATTTTTATTTTTTTTTCGAATTGAAAGTCCATATAAATCGGTTTTTGGACTTTTATACAATTTGTCTGCGAAATGACGTGTTATCTACAAAATATTCGATAAATTGGGTTTCATCTTTAGATGTCATTGTTGAGAAGCATTTTTGAAAATTCCAGTCTCAAATTTTTTGTAAATTTGAAGAAATTCGTCATTTTAGTCAAGTATGTTTGAATAACTTACTTTCATCTTCCAATCTTCCATCTTCCTCTTGAATATTCGAAAATAGAAGGAAAACTATTTTTAGAAATTATTAAGATTTAATTGTTGAATAATACTTTAAAAATCTTACCTTTTAGTTATTGTTGCTGTATTGTAATACGAAAAGGGTTATTGATTACGAATTATAATTTTCAATTAGTGCCAAAATGATCAAAATTAATAAGAATGGTTATAAATAATGGATTTTTCGATTATGTTTTTTTTTTTGCTTTTTAATATTAATTTCCGAAAAAATCTCTCTCTCACAAGATTTGTTAAATTTTGTGCAGAATACATAATTAATTTTTGTCAATGACAAACTTTAAGTTCACCTACTTGAACAAATTTTAATGAACGACTATCACGAAAATGCAAAGAATAAAAAAAAATGCTTTAAATTACAAATCTCTATTTTTTCAAGATAACTTTTTGTTAATTATAATTATATTCAAACTACAAGAAATATGCGTATTAGAAAAATTAGACATTTAAACTATTGACAAATACTTGAAATTTTTCTAATTCCCAGAGTTAAAATATTGTCTAAAAATGAATCTAAAAATCTAAAAATTCATTTTCATGAAAAATCGTTCATAATTTTTTGTTAAGTTTACGACCGCTCATTTTTTTTTTTTATAAATAATTTATACATATTTTAAAAGATTAAATTTTAACAAATATTTCGTAATTTATAAAAGGATTTAAAACTATAATGACATAAATTCGAATGATTCAATCTTGCGAATCATTAAAAATTTGGAATTTTAATTTTCTTTTATGATCATCATTCAAGGGGCGGTGAGGTTTTTCAGTTTCAACGCTTTTATAATACGGGCAAAAGTTTCTAACTACATTTACGTTTATAAATACATGTAATATATATATACACACACACACACACACACTCTCTCTCTCTCTTTCAATCTTAACATCTATTTTAGATTTGTCCACAAAATTTCAAGTGTAGAAATTTTTTTTTTTAAATTAAAACATTCAGAAAATTGAAAAATTAATTAAAATATTTAAGAATATTCAAGAAAAAAATATTCTTTTTTGGTTAAAAGAATTTTTATCTATGGAACGAATCGATTTTTTTTAATGTTAATTAGAATAGAAGATATTGAAGTAGCAATTTTCATTAACGGCAGTAATTATTAAAATTGGTGGTAATGAAAAAAATTAAAAAAAACTTTGACATTCAAATAATGTAGGTACATTTTGCATTTTAATTGAAGGCCGACGCGAATAAAATGTTACACAGTTCTAAAAAATTTAGTTTATAATTTTATATCCTTTTGAAGGATATTAAAAAGTGATCAGATATTTTCTTTCTTTTTACTCATTGTTGTGTGTTTGTGCACTTATTATATATACAAGAAGAAATTTTTTTTTTTGCTTTTTCGTGTTTTCTTTATTGTTGGAAAAAGTGAGGGTGTGAAAAATAGAAAGTATATACCAGAGTTAGAATCAAGTTATTAAAAAGCGAATCGAAAATCTTTTCACTTTCAAATTTGTAAACATAATTCTTTTTTTGTTCTTGAGAAATAATTTTTTTTTATATTCGGGAGAATTTAGTGTAAATTTTTTATTCTTTAGGGAAAAAATCTAACATAATTAACTAATTACGTTGTTAATAAATGAATTGGCTAATTTGTTAATTAATAAATTATTTCGATGAATAATTAAATTTATGATCGACAAATTTTTGATAATCATCGATTTTTCCGAGTCTTAATTTACTAATGTTTATAAATTATAATTTCGTCATAATTACATCCTATTATTAATTATAAATTTAGAGTTCAAAAATTTGTGAAAAGATGATTATTTGGCTTTGATTTAAAATTCAAATTTAGAACTTTGTATTTTGTCAGAAATTCCATTAATTTTGATTTAATTCACTAACGGAGTTTACTTTCTCCGTTTAATTTCTCTAAATTTTCGTTAAAATTTCACATTCATTAAAATATTATAATTAAAATTTACTTTTCTTTAAATCTTTAAATTATTTTTTAAAAAGTTACAATTTTTCTATAAAATCTCAAAATTTGGGATTAAAATATTGAAATTTAAAATTGAAATCTTTTCGATTCACTTGTACATATTGAGGTCTTATTTCGATAGACATTTTGTCATTTCTCAAAATCTCCATTTTCGTATATATAAATCGAGTTTATCAGCGGTAGACAATTATACTACCACTTTTGTTAATTTATCTTACATGAAAATAAAAAAATAAAAAGATTTTTCTTGACGATATCAAGCAGTCAATTTGAGTGATTCAAAGTGCAAATATTGTGAAAAGAAAAATTCTATTATACAGATTTAAATATTATTTTGTTTTCTAAAATTCTCATTTCTGTTAAAGAAAAAAAAAATTGACAGTCTCATAATTAGTTTTTTTTTTAAATATTTCCTCCACTTGGATAAAATGGAAAACCGCCAAATTGAAAGTTGACCGGTGTCTTGGGCGATGCACAAGTATAGAGAAAATCGTCGGATTGTAATTGAGTCCTATTGAGATTTGGTTCCGAGGTAGATCTTGTAATCTTAGGAAGTCCCCTTAGGAGTGCCTCTAGGCTTGCCAAGATCTGCCGAAATATCGGTCGCTCATCTCGCGAGAACTTTATACAATCTTCAGTCAATCGTCTCAATGCCTTTGGTGTATCGGATCGTAATTTATTTAAATCAGGACGCAAATAACCTCTTCCAACCATAAAGAGAATTTGATCTTTATTATTAATGTGAGAGTAGGGTAGTTGACCGGCTAATAATTCAAATAAAACAATACCAAATGCATAGACATCGGATTGAAAACTGTAGGGATTTTCTTCTTGCATTCGAATAACTTCGGGTGCCATCCATAAAATTGAACCTGTTGGTTGATGATATTGCAGTGAACCGGACCATCTTGTTTTTGCCGTTGCAAGACCAAAATCACCAATTTTCACTGTGAGATCGTCGTGTAAAAAAATATTGTTACTCTTCAAATCGCGATGAATGATATTTTTTGCGTGTAAATAGTCCATTCCCTGTGCTGTTTGTCGACCGATTTCAATTAGAGTTAGGAGCAAGAAACGCGATTCGAATACGTGTAAATGTTTATAGAGAGATGAACCTTCACACCATTGGGTTACAATTGCTAATTGTGGTTCACTAACACAGCCCATGAATAAAAGAATATTGACGTGGCGGGTTTTTCTCAGAACTGCGACCTCATTTTTAAATGCCTGTAATTGCGCGGCTGTTGGTATTTTCACGTTTAGAGTTTTAACGGCAACTGGTCCGTGCCAATGAGCTTTATAAACAGTTCCAAATGATCCTGAACCAATTCGCGGTCCAACGAGTATTTCCTCGGCGGGAATTTTCCAATCCTCGATTGATTCACGTGGCGCTAGGAGATTTTTCGACGATTCATCGGCTGATCGTGCTCGTGGACGTTTTGGCCTTAAGGTACTTGTTGGACTAGCCTGAGTTGATTGACTGTGTTTTGTTGGGCTACTTGCAGGAGACATGGGATTCTGGGCTGTGCCAACAGGTCGGCTAAGACACTGGGACCTAGAATAATCGTCTAAATTAATAGGCTCACCACTTGGTTTCACCATATTAAAGCAGACGTTAGGCGCAGAGCTTGATCGATCATGTTGTCCAAGTAGTCTAGGTTGCCTAGTACTCCTGGAAGTAGCCAATGATGACGATAGACCATAACCCGATGGTAATTGTAATATGCCGGCTGTTGTTTCTGGATTGTGTGCGAGTAATGCTTGATAATATGCGTCTTGCATTCGTGTTTGATGGCAAAGTGCTGGCACACCACCGGCACAACGCTGATGAAAACGATAATTACACGTTCGACAGTAAAATCCTTGAAAGAGTAACTTTCTACAACACTCGCAAAATGCTAGGGAAAAGAATGTTTTACGTACAAAATTATGTGATATTGATGTTGCTATGGGAAATTTATCGTGTATCTCGACTGATATTTCGTCACATTCGAGTGATGAAATGTCCGTGTCCCAGGGTATGGGATGCTTTGCATCATTTGTACTTACAATGTAAACCATACACATTTCGGTTGTTAAATTTCTTAATTTCATTGCTTTTGCGAGGGCATTTTTTAATGAGAGACCTTCACGGACTTGTACACTTGTACGTTGTTGATTTGGTAGATAAGCTCGCAATAGTGATTTTAATGGAGTTCGTGGCGTACGAAATTTATTTGATGAATGAGAATCGTTATCTATTTGTACAGGACCTTCAATTGTTGTTGTGATGGTGGTTGTTGGAATTGTTGAATTGAGCAATTCATTTAGTTTTTGTTGTTTACATTCAAGTTCATGTAATTTACTGGTTAATTCTTGATATTCCGTGAGATAGATTGAGGGTGGATCTTGAAAACCAGCAAATCGGTTGTTGAGCGCTTCAATATTTTGACGCATCACGTGAATTACACTCTGGATATTGCGCAATTCGTATCTGTTGATTAAATTATTTATTAGATTTTTTTGATAATTTATTCCTGAACGAAATTTTTATGGAGATTACAAGTCAAATTTGGATTATTTGGAGTGATCTGATATAGTAATTCATCAATTTTTAGTAATATTCAATTATTATCTAAAATTTTAACTGAAATTCATCTTTAAAACAATTTTCATTAGAAAATTATACGAGAATTCAATTATTTAAAAACAAAAATGAAAAAATTATCGAATAAATAAATGTCTCTCAAAATTGAATTCTCATAAGGAATTTTATGAACAAATTTTAAAATAATTGAATTTTATGAATAAATTTTTAAATAATTGAATTCTTTTGACGAATTTAAATAAAATTTTTAAGAATAATTACATTTTTCGAGGAATTTGAGAAAAATTGTATTAAAAATAATTGAAATTCTGCGATGAGTTTTATTATTTGTGAAAATAATTGACTCCCTAAGAAGAATTTTATTATTTTTGAACAATATTTAATTTTTAAGAATATTATTACTCTTGAAAATAATTAAATTTTTGCAATACACTCGATTCTCGTTATAACGACGATCTCGGGACTTCAAAATCTCGATATTACGACGAAAGAAGAGGATCCTACTTCACGTTCTATTCAAACGTCAAATACGTGCTAAATTTTTCGTAAAGTATGTTTATTTATATTAAAAGTTTTTGAATTATGAAATCAGTTTAAAGAAAAAGTAAGTATTTTTAATAATAATCGGATAACTAGATTCTTTAGGTTAAATAAATTTAAGAGTCGATTAAATTTGTCGTTTTTTTTGAGTTAACCAAAATTTTGGTTAAATTAAATTCTTAAATTCGTTCGTGTTTTTTTTGTCGTTGTATCGAGAGTTTTAATGTTCGTTATAACGAGAGAACGTTGTAACGAGATTCGTTATAACAAGAATCGAGTGTAATTTGTAACTTTTCCAAAATTAAATTTTTTTCGTGTTTTTAACTCAAATTCTTCGATATTTGCATTATTTTTAATAATTTTTAAAGAAGTTCTTTAAGAATTTTCAAATTCATTTGTTTACAATTCAATTTTACAAAATTTCAATTATTCGTAAATTTATCAATTAAATATACATTAGGAAATAAAAACTTCAAATAATTTAAAAAAAAATCCGCAATTAAACTTTCTCAAAAAAAATTAATCCCACAGAATTCTTAGTTAAAAATATGAGAAATTCAAATTTTTAAAGATTTTAAATTAAAACCTTTTCAAAATTCAATTATTATTAAAAATTCACTCTCTAATGCTTTTAATATTCAATTATAATCTAAAATTTTAACTGAAATTCATTTTTAAATCAATTAGAAAATTTAATTATTTCAATACAAAAAGAACAATTTATTGAATAATTGAATGTTTCTTAAAATTCAATTCTGGTAAAGAATTTTATCAAGAAATTTTGAAATAATTGAATTCCTTCGACGAATTTTAATAAAATTTGTAATAATAATTACATTTTTCGATTAAAATTGTTTGAAAAATAATTTGAATACTGCAATGAGTTTTATTATTTATGAAAATAATTGAATTCCAAAAAAGAATTTTATTATTTTTGAACAATATTTAATTTTTGGGAAAAATATTATTACTCTTGAAAATAATTGAATTATTGCGAAAAAATTTATAAAAACATTGTAAATAATTGAATTTTTGTGAAATTTTTATTATTTTAAGAAAATAATTAAAGGTTTGCGTCAAAATTTATTAAATTTTTTTCAAATAATTTAATTCTCTTGGAAAATTTTATTGAAATAGTAGATATTAAAAATCATTAAATTAAGGAAAATTTTTGAAAATAATTGAAATTTTGCCAAAAATTTTATTAAAATTCATGAAAATAATTGAATTTTGGAGTAGAATTTAATTATTTCCAAAGATAATTGAAATTTTAACGATAATTTAAAAAAATTTTTGACATAATTGAATTTTTGGGAAGAATTTTATTACTTTTGAAAATAATTGAATTTTTGCAATAATTTGTAATTTTTCTAAAATTCTCCAAATTATATCGTACAATTTACGAACTTTTCGTCTTTTCTCAATCAAATTACGGACTTTACGGACCTTTTTTTTTTAAAGAAAAATGACTTTTTCGGACTTGAAGCAAATTTTCGGTTCTTTAAGGGATTTTGGACATAGTTCGAGTTCCTGAAAATATTATTATGAAATTTTTTTTATCATACTTTGGCAACTCATTAAAATTTTTTAAATTCCTTAAATTATCAAAAGCACCTTATCATTACACAATCTCCATAATCTCCTGAATTGAGTTAAATAATTTGACAGTAAAAGATAAAAGAAATATTTTCGTCTGAATCAATTTTATTTAGAAAAAATAATTTTTTTTTTGTTCTAATTGAAATAAAAAAAAATTTCGTGAAAGTTTTAAATAGTCAGGTGTGTCTGACAAAGACAGATATTTTCTACTTTTAATATGAACGAGATCCAAATGAATTTACAAGTGAAACAAAAAATTATAATTCAAAATTTGTTTATTAAAAAACAAACATTACCTAAGGGGGTCGGTTTCCAGGGATCCATCCTCAGAATCACTTAGTTCACTTTGATCAGCACTTCGCGAACACGACATCGTGCTCTCGAGAGCCGATCGACTCTTCCTTTTCCTATGATGACGGTACGGCGAGGATATATTTATAATTCCTTTATTTTTACGACTAAGAATTTCTTTTTGTTCTCTCACGTGGACTACTGGTCGAAACCTGTTGAATAACAATTATCGTTTCATTTCAATTACAATTTTTTTTCTAAAACTAGTTAATCAATAAAAATAGTGATTTCTAAATGAAATTAATTACATTAAATAAAATAAATTAGAGAATAAATAATAATAATAATTTCTCACTTAAGAAAGTAAAAAATTTTCCAATAAATAATGTTAATATTATTAATTTTTACCTCTTTTAAACTGGAATATAAGAAAAATGATTAAAATATAAAATAAATTTTGTTTGATAAAAATTATTAAAATATTGTAAAATAATTTTTGTTTGATAAAAATGATTGAAATATAATGTATTAGAGGAAAGCAAAATAATCGATAGCAAAATTTTTAGAATAATGTTGTAATTAATTGTGGATAATTATATATACATGAAAGTATATATAATTAACATTTTACATTATTCTGACATTTTACGTTGTGTTATCTATAAATATAAGTTTTATTGATAATCATTTAAAGGCCAGTAAACAGATTGTATTATTTACATTTTCAAAGATCAAGTTTCTAACAGAAAGTAACATTTAATTTAGAAAGGATTAACAAGTATCTTTCTCAACATTTCATTAATATCAGACAACAAAACAAAAAAAGCGAATTATAAATATTATTTCTAGTCAGATTGGCAAAATTTAAATAATTATTTTTTTGTGAAAAATGACAATTTTTAAGGGCCAAATTATAAATATTATTTCTAGACAGATTGGTAAAATTTAATTAATTATTTTTTTGTGAAAAATGACAATTTTTTAAAGGCCAAAAATCTGTAGGTTTATATTGAAGATAATTTTAATATTATTATTATTATTATTATTATTATTATTATTATTATTATTATTATTATTTGTCAATTAATTAAATTGATTTAAGAAACATCTATTATTATTAAAATTTAATATGAATTAAAGTTGTGAAATTTCTTTTTATAAATATAAAAAAATGTAGCAATTTTCATTAGTAGTACAGGATATTATGTTTCATTTATATTTGTCACACAGGGAATTTCCAAAATCTCGCTTGTGTGACCCCCTTTGTTCATTCGAAAAATGGAAAGGCAAAGAAAGACACTGCTAATAATAAATTGTGATGAAAGAAAGGAAGTAAATTTGCGAGTGGAATATCCTTGAAGAATTGTCTGCTAACCGATTGAAATAAAAAATTAACGGGAATATATTGTTGAATGAAGAAAAAAAAGAGAGAAAAAAAGTATCAAAGACAATAGAAGTTGGCTTTTAAAATTTTTTCTCTACATTTTTTTCTTCTTTTTTTCCCCTCGACTTTTTAAATACCTGGTTTCGCCGATCACGGCCATCTTCCTGGAGGATAGAACATCCTGATTGTTGTCTCTTGTTTGCGGCCTCAAATTACTCCTGTAACCGGTGCTGCCAGAGCCGGTTGACCCTCAAATCAATCTGTTGTCGCTTGTCTAACTTTATATACACACATCAAAGACGCTCTCTCACCGTATTTTAACTGTTGTCTTTTTTTTCACACGTCTCCCAATATAAAGATCCTCTATAGCGTGATTAGGATTTTTGTTTGTTTGTGTTTGTTGGGGGATTTTTTTTTACCCTGTTATTCTAAATTGAATTCACAAAATAGTTATTGAGGGGATTTTTTTGAGCATGCCGCGAAGTTGATTTTTGTACGCGCGTAATGCGTGTGCACGCTCGTCAGTAATTTTCATAGGTGACACATGCACTAGGTCTTTGATATGCCTCCTTCACCTGCCTGGATCTCGGAGCTACCGAACGAAAACTGGCACGAGATGCCGAGAGCCGAGGACGAGGTCAGTGCCGTAGATATTCAACTGATAGGGACGGTTCTCACTCTCTCCTCGAGAAAAATGTTGGATCATTATTTGGTAGTTTGTTGTGGAAATTCAGCTCTTTTTTCCTTATTATTTTTCGAAAAAAAATATATTTTTTCAATCAATTATTTGGATTCGATTTCCTTTCGTTGGCTCCAAAATTTTTTCCTGGAAGAATATTTAATTAATTAAAAATAAAATTGGTTAAAAAAAATAAAAAATAAATAAATTCGTTTTTATTAATTATGATTGTTGAATTAATTATTATATTAATTATATTAAAATAATAATTAATTTAACATTAATAATTAAGTGCTAATTTATTATTATTTATTTTATCATCATGCTCTTATACTATTTATTAATAGTTCGTAACTTTCGGCTATTGGTGAAAATTATTTTAATATTTAAAAAAAAGACATCTTTCTTCTATATTAAATTAAAATTGAATCCGAAATTCCCACCATTAATTACTATTTTATTTCAAATTGTCATAGGAAACTTGGTATTTATCTCCAAATTCTGTTTCTATTGTGTCTCTTTCCAGAATCTCGATTTCGTTTCGCTCCCTGCGGAAATTGTTGAAGTAAAATATTTCAAGTATTTTTTAATTGATCTACATTCATAATTATTCAACGTTTATTATAAATTTTGCAATTTTTCTTTTTTCGCATTTTTGTATTCAATTTTATCAAATGATTTTTTATTTCTTGTCCTTCTTTCTCTTCTCTCGAATCGTCATTTGCAACGATTCGCAATTTCACTGCGATATTAATATTCAGAAAATTTGAAAATTTAATTAGTTAACTTTGTTCTTGAAAATTGTTTTTTTAGTTAACAACTTCTTGTATTAATCGCAATTTTTTAACAAAAAAAAAAATTTGAAGTTATCAGGGTTTTTTGTTTTATTTGAAAGAAAGTAAAAAACTGATGAATAATAATTAATAAATAATTAATAAATAAATAAAGAACAAAAGGCAAAAATTCAATTAGAATAATTTTTTCCAAATAATTATTATTTTATTGTAAAAAAGAAATAAACTCCCAAATATTTTTGGAGTAGTTACGTTATTGGAAAATATTTACGTTCGTATGCGCAACTCCGATTTTGCGGATTACGATCACATAGTCATACGTTTTTGGGTTCGAGAACCCTCTTCTCTTTTATTTTCCTGTTTTTATTGACAATAAACGTATTTTTACATATAAATATTAATTTAAATGACGTTTATTTAAAAAAACGAGTCAATAATATAATGTAATTCTTCCTCTTGACATATTGATATTCACTGTCAATAGAGAACTCGTTTATTCAATTAAAGTTACCCGCGTCAGGTTGCAATGTGTCACGTGATATTTCTTGCTACTTGTTAATTATTCAATAGCAATATTCAAAAAATTTAATTATCATACATATAAAATATTGTTTATCTTGTATTCTTTATACAATACACGTGGAAAGTTTTGCGAATTAGTTTTTATTCACATAATTCTTTTGAAAATATATAGAAAATTTTTTGATTTTTTGTTTATTATTACTAAAGTATTAAACATTGAAAATCAATATTCACTATTATTACTATTATTATTATTTTGAAAAGTGATTGGTTCTATCATTAAAGGAATTATTTGTACTTATTATTATTATTATTAATTGCATTATTCATATTGTTATCAATAATCAATAATAAGTAATTGTTAGTAAACGGAATAATAAATAGTTTAAACAAATGAGTATATTTAAATTGTACTCGAGGTGATAAAATAAAAAAATAGTAAATGAATTCACAATAAACAAATTAACAGAAAGTAAATTAAAGAATTGAAAAAATTTATAGTAATAAATAAACAAAAACAAAAATTAATACAATTGTCTCACGAGTTAAATTCAATAATATTAAAGATTTTGTCTAATGGTGTCTAATAGTTTTTTTTCTCAGGGGAAAGATTACGTCATGTTTTTTAACCTTTATGGATTTTTTTTTGGTGGTGTTTCTCTAAAGTAAATTCTTGAAAAATATCTACTTTCATTTCTCTACCTTTTTTTATTGTTATTTCCCATTCGCCTCTGAGTTTAATTCTTTTGGGGGTGAATTTCAATATTGTCAACGATATATAGTGAATAGATCTACATCGTGTACGCATAGAGATATTTATTAAATCTTCCCACCTCGTCAATATAAAATCATTATTCCACTAGTTGCGTCGTCTCGAATTATCCTTCCAATCGTCGCGCCATGAAGCGAATAACTCAAGTTCAATTTTTCTGTAAACATGACCACTCACGTTGCATTCCTTGACGTCAGTACTGTCGGCTTTGACGTCATTACAGCAGATGATACCGTTGCTAAGGGTTACTGGAGAGATCTTTTCCCTTAAAGGTGATTCCTCAATATGTCCTTTAAGATTTTTGATCCTGAGTTGTAGAAAATCTGCGAAAAAAAATTCAGTTTTAGAAAAAGTTCATTATTTGGCAAAAATAAATTTTCTGTCAATAAAAAAAAAATATTCTTAAAGAAGTTCTATAATTATTAAAATTCAAGTTACAATCGATTGTAAATATTGAGAAATTAATTTGCATTAATTTTCAATTTAATAAAATTTTAGAGTAATTTTTCAACTTTCTCTTTGGTGCAATTTAGTGAAATTCAAATTTATTTGAACGATTTTGATTTTGCATTTAGTTTCTGAAATCAATTTTAATTGAAGATATGCCTTAAGGTTATAGTTGTACGTCTGTTTTTTGTTGTCTTTTTGTGAGTGAATAGGAGCAGGTGGATTTAAGAAAAAGGAATATTTAAATGACTTGCAATTATTTAGAGAAATTTTCTCCTTTTTTTGTTCGATTATCTTGATACTTCCTCATTGAATTTATTTACTGTTTTTAATTTTGATTGTGGATAAATTGAAAGTACGATGTCGAATATTGTAGCAGGGAAAATCGCTTTTGTTACAGGTTGTTTTTAAATTCTTCTTTGTTTACAAATTTACGTATTGTTAACGAATCTTTAAAAAAAAATTGTTTTCGGAGTTTTCGATGATACTTTTTGTTGTTGTATACAATATTGAATTGTGGTAATTTTTCCAGGTGCCGGCAGTGGCATTGGAAAAGCCACGTGTCGTATTTTGGCTAGGGAGGGAGCAAAAGTCATTGCAACTGATAAAAATTTAAAGGCTGCAGAACAAACTGCATCGTTTTTAGAAGGTTTGATTTTTTTTAGGGATTTCATAGATTTGCGATTTTTTTTTAGTTTTCTTGTTTATTTTTTGTAAAATTTTAGTTTTTTTTATAAATTTTTAGAAGTCTAAATTGTTTGTAGAACTAAATGGATTTATTTTAATCTTTGATTCTATTCAATGAATTTATTTTACGAGAACTTGAATAAAAATTAATAAACTGTGGAGATGAGAAAGATTTGCTTATTTACTTTCTTTAAAATCGGTTTTCCAGTAAATTTATTATCGATGGAAACTAAATTACTTTTGAATTAATGATAATCTGAAATTAAATTATTATTTCTGAAAAGGAAAAAGTTTCTACTCCTGAAAGAAAATTTCAAACTTCTTACCGGTAATTGAAAATTTGAACTATTTTTCTCTTGCAATTTATTTGCGTTTTACAATTCGTAGATTAATTTTTGAAAGCCGGAGTAAATATGTTATTTCCCTAATTTGAAGATAATTAATAATAAAGATAATTAATTAATAATAATAATAATTAATAATTAATTAATAAAAAAAAATATATTAAAATTATTAAAATTAAAAATAATAATAATAATTTTATTTAATATTAAAATTATTTTATTTATTAATAATTAATTAATAGATTAATGAGAATATTAAAGAGCAAATTTTTCGAGTTGACGTTTTTAATTAAAATTTTCGTAAAATTGAATTTAGGTTCTGGACATTTGGCAATGACGATTGACGTCAGTGAAACAGATAGTGTAGAAAGAGCGTTGAAAATGTGCATAAATCATTTCTCAAAACCACCAAATGTTGTTGTTAATTCTGCTGGAATAACTCGAGACAATTTCCTCTTGAAAATGGACGTTGATGATTTTAATGAAGTGCTGAAAGTAAACTTACAGGGTACTTTTAACATAAGTAAATACGCTGCCAATCAAATGATTGAATCTGGTGTAGCTAATGGTGGTTCAATTATTAATATATCGTCGATTATTGGCAAAATTGGAAATATGGGACAGTGTAATTATGCCGCATCAAAGGCAGGAGTTGTCGCTTTAACAAGAACAGCTGCCATGGAATTTGGAATGTAAAAAAAGAAATAATTACTTTTAGAACGCATTTTTAAAAATTTAGATTCGAAAATTACAGATCTCAGAGCTTTTAATAAAATTAGAATTTTTTCGCATTCTGCAATGTTAAATATACCAAATGTAGGGCTCGAACTAGGTCCGCAAATTCCGTAAAGGTCTAAAATTTGCTTGAAGTAGGTAAAAATTAGTTTTTTTTGAAAAAAGGTTCGTAAAGTCCGTAATTTGATTCAAAAAGAACAAAAAGTTCGTAAATTGTGCGATATAATTTGGAGAATTTTAGAAAAATTACAAATGATGACAGAAATTCAACTATTTTCAAAACTCAAAAATAATAAAATTCTTTACAGAAATGCAACTATGTTAAAATTTTTTTCAAAATTCTCGTCAAAATTTCGATTATCTTTAAAAATAATTAAATTCTTCTCTAAAATTCAATTATTTTCAAAAACTTTAATAAAATTCTTGGCAAAATTTAAATTATTTTAAAAGAATTCAATTATTTGAAAAAAATTTACTAAAATTCTAATTATTTTCTTAAAGTAATAAAAATTTCACAGAAATTCAATTATTTACAAATTTTTTATAAATTTCTTCGCAATAATTCAATTATTTCCATAAATAATAAAATTTTTACAGTGATTCAATTATTTTCGTAAGAAATAAAATTCTTTTTAGCAATTCAATTATTTTCATAAATAATAAAATTCATCGCAAAATTTCAATTCTTTTTAATACAATTTTAATTAAATTCGATTAACTTTTTGTTATTTTTTTGTAAAATAATTTTGAGAGAAAACTTAATTGCTCTGAGATTTGTATTAATAAAAGTAGTTTAATATCGCTCGTAGATTCTATTTAGATCAATTTATCTAAAATTATTTCAGATTTGGTATTAGGGTGAATGCAATTCTTCCTGGATTTATTGACACTCCAATGATTGCTAGTGTTCCGGAAAAAGTAAAAGAAATGTTTATAGGTATGATTCCTCTGAAAAGAACAGGAAAACCGGAAGAGGTTGCGGAAGTGATAACATTTTTGGCTTCGGATAGAAGTTCTTACGTGAATGGAACAAGCATTGAGGTTGCGGGAGGATTTTAAATCATTATATTTAATTATTATAAATACTTTGTACATTTGTGAAAAAACTGAGTACTTTTTTATACTTGAAAATATAAAACGAAGAAAAAATAATGAGAAATTAATTTTTAATACTATACCGATAAAATTAAATTATCTCTTCTTTGACTTGAGACGTTTCGCGTGTCTGTGTGCCTTATAATTACGTTTATTTTTCTCCTCAATTATTTCTTTGTATTTGCGTTTATTGTATTTGGCGAATTCTGCGTCTGCCATGAGTTCATCGACAATTGTACGTTTACGTTCCTTGTTTGTCATACGACCACTGTAATAATCCAATGGTGAATCGACAACTTTTCCAATTTGAAAGTATTTTGGCAATGTTTTCATGTCGTTTCGCTTGTAGAATTGCTTTGGATCGAGAGCCGATCGCATTTGAATTATTTCCAGATCACGTTTCACTTCCTCCGTCATTTCGGGTGCTGGCAAATTGAACCATTGTTTTCCTTTTGTTTTGTCACGTTGGCGCTTTCGTCTTTCCTTTAATTTCTTGTCGCTTACATCGTAGCCGGGTATTTTTTTCAATTTTTCAAAACCTGGTTTAATTGATGATTTTTTGAGAATTTTTTTTATTGGATCTATTTCTTGAAGCATTTTTTCAGTATTTGTAACGTTTGCCGGTTGTTTTCGTCTTTCGTTAGTCCAACCCATGTCTCTTTCGAATTCTTCCAGATCGAAATCTTTGGTGGGATTTATTTTTTCCTTCTTTGTTTTTTGGACTTGTAGTTTTATTTTTGATGGATCGAAGTCTAAAATTTGGATAAGATTTTTATTGTAGGAGAAATGATTTAATTTTCATTGCGTAACTTTAATTATTAATTAGTCATTTTTGGAATGGAAACATATTTTTGGTTCGAAAACAAATATTTTTTTGTCAAAATATAAATGGAAAAAATTAATATTTGATTGAAGAGGAATATTTGTTATTAATTTTATATAGTAACAAATAGAAATTTAGCAAAATTAGCGAAGAAATAATTGCATTGTTAAAAATTTTAATCTTGAAAAGAAAAACATGTGGGAAACATAACCTATATTTATTTTTCATTTGGTAAACTTACCGACTCCATCGAAATCCAAATCATCATCGCTTTCCACTAATTTTGACTTTTCTCTAAGATCTTCCTGACCTTTTGTATCAATTATTATATCCATTGTGTTTGTTTTTTTTATAAATTTATTATCATTTGTAATTTTTTACTGAACACTTTGACCACATTGAAATTGAAAGTAAATTAGTAAATTGTAAACGGTGTGAACATAGTAATATTATGTAAAATTCGATATATCGTTTACTAACTCGCGGGATTATTTGAATTTTTAATTTTGGAAATATAAAAAATTGACCAAAAAGTAAAATTTTGAATAAAATACAACTTGATTAATTAATAAAAAATGGTTAAATATTTACAAAATAAAATTTTAACTTTTTCAATTTTTCTTCCAAATATTGCAACAAAATAACACATTTTTTAGTATAAAATACAACTTATTTCGATTTTTATAGTGTAAAATAATTGAAATTTTGTAAAAATAATTGAAAGGGTTATAATTGTAAATTTTCGAAATTATTAAATTTCACAAATTTTACTCATTTTCCGTAAAATTTCATATTTTTCTATAAAAAAAATTTTCTCTAGTAAAATAATTTCAATGTTATAGTAAATTGACAGGAAAATTGTGACCACCCTGAAGAAAATAAATAATAAACAAATAAAAAATAATATAAAAAAATCATTAGTTATAATAAAATAGAAACTTTAAAATTTCACTGAAACACTTTTCTTTAAATAGAAAATAATTTTAATGGAAACATTTTTAATTTGTCATACATTAAACAAACGATTGACTATAATGTACAAACAATTACAGTTGGTATTTTTTTTTAAATATATTAATTTATATTTTTGACTATGGTTGTTCAAATTCGTCTTCTTTAATTAATACTAATTGAAATTCGTTATTTTTATGCGGATTCTCGTAAAGTAATTTGGTATCTTTCTCTTCTTGTTGATCATTGACTTTTGGTAGAACATTATTTTTATTTTCTATAATACAAATTTCCTCAATATCATCATTTTCATCGGGAATATTTTCACATTCTTTTGCTTCTTCCTCAATAATAGAAATTTCGTCGGTCGAAATTGTTGCATCATTGTTTGTAATTTCTTTACATTTTTCATCATCATTGTCCAATTCACCGGTTAATAATTTCTTGTAAAAATTGTGTGCTTTCGTTAAGAGAAATGGTACTAAATCCAAAAGATCCATTTTCTTCTCTTCGCTGATTGAAATTCGTGGGAGATTTTTTAATTTCATTGCTTTGAGAATTATTAATGAACCATTTAAATCCATGAGTTGAAATCGATTTGACGATGACCAACCTGTTTTGTAATAGATCCCCTGTTTTGTGTATCGTAAACATTTGATATTTTCTTCACTGGTAAATTGATGACTCTCGCTGAAAATTTCATTACGAATTTCGTCGAAATCATAAAAATTGGTTTCATTCCTTATTTCGTATTCTGATTTTCTAGTGGATTTTTTAAAGGCCTCGAGCCAATCGTTTGGCTCGTGAATTGTATCCTGATGTTTGGTCATTAATTCCTGGACATTTTTACCTCCGAGATAGACTTCAATTTGTGAATGACCGGAAGTTAGGAATTTGTGCTCAATACTTTCAAGTTTCTCGTGATTTGCTACTACGTATAAAAACATTGCGGCGAGAGTTTTGTTTGTGGTTAAATCATTGCTGATGGAGTAGAAAACAATGTTTCTTATACGATCGGATAGAGAATTTAAGTATGAATACAAACAGGAGGCAACTTCGTTGATTGATCTTGTACCTTGATGTTCGTGCCAGAAATAAAGTTTACGGAAATCTCTATTTTTTTTCATGTGATGATTACGTATTGTGAAATTGTAGGTCCATAAACGTTGCTTGTAGAAGGAAATTTGTTCAGTGAGATAAGGCGTTGGTAAACTTTGTTGAAAACCAAAAGAACAGACGTGATAGCTTTTGTCTTTAATAGCAGTGCGCTCGTCTAATGTTTGGGAATTATTTGCCTCCTCGGAATCGATGATATGTGCAGTGCGATTTGAATAGATTTTACTTTTTTCAATTGAATGAATAGCATTTTTGTATTGATCATCAAATGCAGTGCAAACATCGCATTTTGTTAAGAATGATGAACGAAATTTTAATTCAGTTTTCTCTAATAATTTATTGTACCAAATACTGCTGACTGGCTGTGAAACTTCCTGTTTATAGAGATCGTACATTATTTTCGATGTTAATCCCATTGGAAGATATTTTTCCGACGTTGTTACGTTGTAATGATAACTTTCACAGAGGGGGAATTTTTTAATGTGCTGTTCAACTTTTTCAATATCATTTTGAGATGGCTCTTCACAAGCAGTCAGATTTTTTAAATTTTCGTTTGGAACTTTTTTTAGTATATTTTCCATTTCATTTTCAATGAATGATTCCTGTACTGCTTTGAGTTTATGATAATTGTATTGTGGCTTTTTTATTTTTGTCTTAATATTTGGTTCGATGATTGTTTTTCTTCTAGATCTTCTTCCACCTCCTCCTCCTCTTTTCTTGAGTATTATTCCTTGAATTTTTCCCGCTTCTTTTAATGGTATTTTATAAACTATTGGCTCTTGTTTTATATTTACTACTTGAATATTTAATTTCTTATTTGCTTGATCAGAAATATTGTTAGGATTGAGAAAATCTGTTTTTGCAATTTTTTCCGATGGACCTTCATATTTTTCTTCTTCCAAATAAGGATCAGTTTCGAGATCTACTTCTTCTTTTATGATTGATAATCCTAGGAATGATTCTTCGTTATCTTCATTAGAAATTTGTCTCGCTTTTCTCTTTAGAGGCGATATTGTCGGATGTGTTACTTGATTTAAATCGCTCTTTGAATTTTCATCTGAAAATAAAAATTTATTGTGAACAAAGAAATAAGAAATCAATTTTTATTTTTAGAATTTTATTGAATAAATATCAATTTTAGAATTAAAAAATTAGAATCTTACCTATGACAATATTTTCTTCTTTACATTCTGTTTTTATTGCGAAATCATCAAAAAGAATTTTTTCTTTGACACTTTCTTCAGTGATTCTTTCTTCGAGCTTCTCTCCCATATCTGATGAAACAAAATTTTTTTTATTCATAATAATGAAAAATAAAAGTGTGTAAATAATTAGAAAAACAATAGAATTGTAGTTTTAAAATTAAATTTATCTGTTGCAAATGAGATTGTAACAAGCGATAAATAATTATATAAATAAACTAACCTGGGGAAACAGTTTCTCCTTCATTTTTTGTCTTTAATGTACAAGAATTATTTAAAGACTTTGTATCATCAATTTTTACAGTACTAGTCTCTTCTAATTCATAGCTTTTCATTTCTACATCTTGAAAATTTGTTTCATCCACTAATTCCTGATTTTCATCGTCTTCTAATTTTTCGGTTTCTGGTTCCATATTTTCATCTAATAATAAAAAATTAATTATTTGACAGAATTATAGAAATTAATAGAAATTGTTGAAAAATTAATTAATAGAAAATTTATTAAATTAGGGAAAAAAATATTTGTAACAAGCGATAAAAGTATTAAAATAATTCATTGTTTTTAGGTAATTAGATTTCTTTATATAAAATCATATAATTTTTAAAACTAACCTGAGAAGGAAGTTTCATCCACAGCTTCTACTTTCAATATAACTTCTTCAAAATGTTGTTCCTTTTCAATTAATACTTCATGTTTATTATTTGATAAATTATTGTCTTCTTGAAACTCGCCATCGCTGTTGACACTAGTGTCGACATTTAAAAAATGCGGTGTCACATTCTCCGAGATAGATTCATTAGATTTTGTCGTGCTTTGATAGATTTGACTGTTTTTTAATTTAAGCTGATCTTCGTATTTAATTGTTTTATTTTTGATAGCGTTTTCAATGAATTCTTGTGATTCTTTTATGATTCTTGCAAAGCATGTATTACAAACTGTGACAATTGTCTGTTCAGTGTGAAGGCAAAATTCAATTTCATTCTGTTGATTTTTATTTGCTAAATCATTTTTCTTTATAATTGTAATATTTTTCAACATATCGCAAATGAATTTCTCTCTCACTTCAATTGTTTTTTCCTGACAATAATAATCGTAGAAGACTCGATTCTTGTCGGTTTTTGATAATTTTATGTGACATAAATTGTTACATGGAAATAACGATGGCATACCTTGTTCAATTTTTATCTCACAATGTGTGATACAATAATTGCAAGCAACTTGATTTTCTAATTCAGACGTTCGTGGTTGAAGTGATTCGTCATCGGAAAATATAAATGACACGTTTGGCTTTACGGGAATTATGTTGAGTTCTGAAAATGAAAAAAAAGATATTAATATTTAATACTAACAGCCATTTTTTTATTTTCTAATAGAAGATAAAAATAACTTACTTATCATATTGTAGAGTTTTTGGTTTAAAATTGCCGTTACAAAGACTTTGGATACGTCGAGAATGTGATAGAAACAATATTTGCAAACTTTCTGACGACCTCGTTGAGTGACAAAATGATATTCAGTTTGAAATATTATTCTATTTGAATCTGGTTCACAATTTTCTTGAAGAGTAAGTTCCGTTCGACGATTAATGAAATTAGATCGTGACTCAAATAATTTTTCTTGCCAATAAGTGAGAAAAATATTTCTCTGCTCAATTTCTGTTAATTTCAAATGACAATCATTGATACAAGGAAGTAATGGAGTCCATTTTTCTGTTGATTTCGTTTGACATTTGCAATTTTCACTATCAGTAGTGTCGTTGGTATTTTTGATTTTTAAATGATGATTTTCTGATGAATCGAGTTGAGAGATAGTTGAATTTATTTTATTTGAAAAGAAAGTTTCCTCGATAATTTTTTGAATGAAATAAACACCTTCATGTAGAATAGCTATAAAACACTCTTTACATACTTTTTGCATTTTCATCAATGAGTTTGAATAAAGATAAAAATTTGTTATGAAACGTTTATTCGAGTTTGCTATTGTTGGTTTTACTTCAGTCATTTCCCGTATAAACTTCTTTTTCATTTCGTCTGTTGCATTTTTCGTATAGCATTGGAAAATTTCCATTTGCCTCTCTTCTGTTATCCACAAATTACATCCACGTGAACAATCCTTTAATGGTATGTGAGGATTGAATAATTCAATATCACGTAGTGTATTAACATTTGTGTCTTTTAACATTGATTCATCAATAATATCTTCATTGGTATTATTCTTCTCCTTCTCCTTCTCATCATATTCATCTTCGTCGTCATCATCATCAGTGTCGTCTATGTCATCGATATCAATATCTTTATTTCCATCAGCGTTATCATTTTTTGTTGATGACGTGGAAAGCGCTTGACGATTCATGCTATTAATTTGAAAATTCCCGTCCACATTGCCTTGGTGTAATTTGTTAAATATTAGAGAAAATGTAGAGACGGCAGTTTGGTATTTTTTTCGCATAACATCCACAACGTATTCTTTTGATTCGTTAATTGTTGCACGAAAACATCCTTTACATACTCTCACTTTCCCTCTGCTTGTGATGAGGTAAAAAATATGATGAAAATTAACTCTTTTTATAATTTCAATCATTTCGCTTATAAATGCGAATCTTGATTCAGGAGTCGAATCCCGCCAATAGATGTTAAATACATTTTCTTGTTCCTCCACTGATATTTTTTTGAAACAATTAAATTTACACTTTTCCAAACAAATCCAACCTTGTGATAATTTACTCTCAATGAGAATATCATTATTTAATGCCTTTTCTGATCCAGTAATTTTGTCAATTTCAATTGAACCTAATGTTACTGAATTATCTGTAAATATTAAATATATCTTTATTTAAAAAATTATTCAAAAAAGAAAATAGTTACATTTTAGAACAGAGTTGCCACAAGTCAGGGAAATCAGGAAATTGAGGAAAAGTCAGGGAAAATAGAATTGGTCGGGGAAATCAGGGAAAAGTCTGGGATTTTTATTAAAGTACTGGAAAATATTAAATTTGCAAGATTCATAATTAGTTTTATTTAATTTCTTAATTAATTATTAAAAATCATGGATTTATAGAAGAATTTTAGTTAAAAACGCTAAAGAAATTTAATTATATAGAGAAGTTATTGATGTTATTGAATAATTTTACGATTAAAGAAATTCGTAAATAAATGTAATAGAACATTTTTTTTGAATATCTAATAATTTTTAGAAAAATCAGAATAATCTTTGGGGTCAGAGAAATAGTTAAAATTTTGTCTGGGAGTTAGGGAAAAAGAGTATTAATTTTTTGTGGCAATTCTGTAGAAATAATTATTAGTTATAATTATAATTGTTAGTTTAACTTACCCCTTTGTTTATTGGCAATCTCCTCCATCACTAAATCCAAAAATATTTTTGAAATGTCAAGAATTGAGAGGAAGCAAACTTTACAAATTTTACGTCTTCCGCGTGAACAGTAAAAGAAGAATTTAGTACGTCGGAGAGCTTGTTTTGGACATTTCCATGTACTTCTTGGAAATTCAGTGTTATCTTTTATAAACTTGATTCTTGTAGCTATTGACTTTTTCCAATAAGAATAATAACCACGCTTGCTATGATCTCTTGTTATATTTAAATAGCAACCACATCCACGCGATGATAATCTAATATTGTATTTATCCTCCAAATATTTGTCAACGGTCGAGTATTTCAAATTTTCCATTGTTTCGAATATATCATCGAAATCGTTCGAATCTTCTGAGTTTAATTTTTTTAATTCACTTTCCATATTGTTATTATCTTCAACATTGTTTTCTTCTTGATTGTTTTCATTGCAAAAATCTTTTTTCTCATTGTTTTCATCGTTCGAATCTTTTTTATCGCTCAAATTGTCTTCGCTCAAATTGGTGGAATTCGTTTTCTCATTTATATCATTCGAATTTTTTATATTATCACAATTATTAGTGTTTGAATCAATGTCAATTGTTTCAATTTCCAAATCAATAATTTCTTGTGTAAATTTCTTGAATATGCTCCTTCCATGAACATTCGAAGATTGCAATTTAAAGCATTTTATTTTCAAGGCTTGACGAATGAAGGATTCGGTTTCGTTAAGGGCAATACGAAAACATGATTTACAAAGTTTTACGAGGCCCTGATTTGTATAAAGATGATAGGTAAATGTGACTATTGACTTATTGTAAGAAATGTCGGTCATGTCGGAAATAAATTTGTATCTTTCTTCTCTTGACGTTCTCAACCAGTAAGAAATGAAAATACGCTTATGTTCTTCATGTGATACACCTGAGGAGCAATTGCTTTCACATTCAGGAATTCTCTTCCAACCAAGTTGTAATATTTTATCCCTTAACGTAACTTCATCCTCATCAAGAGCGTTCTCGTCAGTAATATCTAAATTCTTCGTGTCCTCAGAAATTTGAGTGTCGATAAGTGCGATGTCTTTAGGAATTCTTTTCTTTACCGCTGAAATAATAATTCATTGGTAAATTAATTGTTAATATTAATTTACATATTTAATTTAAAGACGAAGTTAATTAAAGGATGTTAAGAATTAAATAAAATTTTATTATTATTATCATCATCAAGGTTCATTTGAAAGTAAAATATAGTTATACTCACGTCTATTAAATGCAAATGTGTATCGAAAATAAAGATTGAGAAAATCACGAGAAATGTGAAGACTACACATGAAGCACATTTTGCAAATATTTTTACGTGGTTCCTTTGTGTGAAGAAAAAATCTCGAAAAATTACGATTGCTCGCTGTTTTATAGTGTGAGTCAATTAATTGACTCAGTAATTCGAATTTTAAGAGTTGAGTTTTTCTCGAACACATTTCGTTATAGGCTTTCTTTTGATCTTCCTCTGTTACTTTTAAATAACATCTGTGTGAACATAATGAAATTCGTGATCTGACTTGTTTTGCAGCTTCATTATCATCGTTATATTCTGCATCTGTATTATTTTCATTAGAATCGGTAATTAAAGGATCAGATAAATTAAAATCCTCAATATTAGCATCAACATTATTTGATGTATTTAATGGCTCGGTTAATGTAACCGAGTCATTGTTTTCTTGGAATGAATAAGTAGGTTCATCATCCTCGATTTCATCATCGAGGTCTATCACTTCTATTTCATCGTTGTCATCTAAAAAAATATAATTAAATTAAACATCTTTCCCCTCTTGGATAATAATTCACCTCATTATTATTACTATTATTATTATTATTTTTTTTAACTCATTATAAAAATAATTAAGGAACAAAATTGCTTTATGAAAATTATAGGACGATATTTTTATTTTTATTAAAATAATAATTAAATCAATAAATTGAAAAACAATTGAAGGATGATACTTTAAAAATAAAAAGTGTGTTTTTTCCTTTTTGCAAGCGATGTAAACTTAACCTCAAAATTGAATAAAATAAATAAATAAATCGGAACCAGTCCAAAAGATGATTATTGGTAAACAATAAGTAATTGTAGAGAAATACTTGAAAATATTCTTTTAGTTGTTATTATCAATATAAAAAAAATTAAACAAACAGAAAGTAAATTTATGCAAAATTTTTATATTTTTTCTCATGAAATTTTAGTAAAAATTTACCTTCTATCGTGATACATGACACGGGAGATGGATTTGAAACAGAATTAAGATCTGTTTCATTATTCATTTTGACGATAAATTCACTAATAAACAATAAGCAATTATTATTTTGCACATCGAATAATATACGTAAATACAGTCATCATAACCAAACTTTTTTTTGTTCTAAACAAAAGAAGGGAGAGGAACTAACTTCAGCTGGTTTAAATTCGATAATCGATTTATCTCGATAGTTATCATTTTCTCGATAGTGGCAAACTTCATTTGAACAGCTGATCATCTGTCAAATGTGTGTTTTGATGTCAGAAGAGGAAACATATGTTTCTTTTGACAATTAATTGAAGAATTAAATAATGACAAGTTGACGGAAAGAATTATTTCTTTAATTGTTAATATTTAATACGTGCAATTATGATTGAAATAACTGCGAAATTAATAAGAGGACCCGTTTATTTTTCGGGTGAAATGATTGAGTGTTTAGTGACGTTTAGCAATCCTCATAATCCAATTCATCAAATCTCACAAAGTCATAGGTAAGTGTTATGTTCTTTATTACTAGAAATTTATTTTTTATTTAATATTCTAATTATTAGGATCTAGTATACTTGATCATTTAATTATGAGGTTAATATATTTTATGTATTTCTCATGTGTTTATGAGGTTAATTTTTTTGCATACGAATCACTTTAGGTTTTTTACGTGGGTTTTTTTAGTTTTTTAAATAAATTTTTTATTAAGTTTTAATTAATAAGTTTATAATTATTATTTTGTATTTTCAGTGACGTTTTTGAAAGTTTGGCCTGGGCGAGTGCTCAAATTCACTGTCAGTGTACAGCTAATGGAAAAGTGGTTTTAAAAGAGAAATTAAACACGAACTCGCAATTGGCAGCGATAAATGCCAGTAAGAATATTTTTCTTTCTTTGTGTATTTTTTCCTTTATTTTAAACTAATTTTTTTGGATATTCTAGATACGACTTTTGCTCCATGGCAACATGACAATGGCCACGCTGTGATGAATACAAAACCTAAAATATTATTTTGTGATCTTAGGTTATCGCCTGGCGAAAATAAGACTTGTGAGTCCTTTTTTTCCTCTCAATATTTAATTTTTGGAATTACTATTTTTCTCTTGTCTAAATGTCTCTTGTTCTAAATGTTCTGTTATCTAAAAATTTGTCCTTTTTTAGATATTTATCGAGAAACAATACCGAACGAGGCTCCACCTTCGTATCGAGGGCAAGCTGTCAAATACTCTTATAAAATTACTGTCGGTACTCAACGTGTTAACACGGCAATCAAATTACTCAGAATACCATTTAGAGTTCTTTCATTAAGTGGCAAGTATCCCATTGAATATAAAAATTAATTATTAAATTTAGAAGCAATTGAAAAATATTCTTTATTAATTGTTTTTTCTTTTGCAAAAAAAAACAGAATTATCGGAAATAACTCCATGTAATGATAGTGTAGATCTAAGTCCAAATAATCCATTTATGGAAACACAACATAGAGAAACGCCATTGGACATTGCGTTACAAACTCTTCAGGTAAAAAAATATACAACAAATTTTGAATATATTTTCCTAACTTTTATTTATTATTTAAAAAATTATTATTTGTTTTATTTTTTTTGATTATTTGTTTTATTTTTTATGATTATTTGTTTTATTTTGTTTATGATTATTTATTGTAACAATTTTTCTTTCTTTTGTAGAATTTGACTGCTAGACGAAGTCCGAATTTCTACAATATAACAAATGGACGTGGACGAGTAGTACGTTTTTGTCTATTCAAAAATTCCTATAAACTTGGCGAGGATATTGTTGGGACATTTGATTTTTCCAATGCAACAGTCTCTTGTGCTCAGGTCTCGGTTTCATTGCAATCCGAGGAGCTTGTCATGGAAAAATATCGACGTGGCAAAAGTTCATTGCCAACATTAGTCAGTTACAATAAGCATCATGAAGTTTGTATTGGTTTAAAATATTCCCAACTCGTATTGCCAATACCACTTCATGTCACACCTGATTTTAGTACCGATTTAATGACACTAAAATGGCGTTTGCATTTTGAATTTGTGACGACGACAAAATTAGTTGAAATGCCAAATGAAAATACAACAAATTGGCAGGGACCGGCAACACTCGATGTTGAAACAATGATTTGGGATTTGCCACTACATATTCATCCAACTGCTTGTCCACAAAATACTGCTCAACAAACAAAATACAATACAGTTATCTAGTCTCGATATTATTTACAATATATTTTTCAAATTCGATAATAAAATATTATCTTTGCAAGAATTTTTACATTTTTTTATTCTTTAGCTTCCTTGTGAGGAAGTTTTGTATTTTTTTAGTTTTTCTTCCTTTTTTTTCTGAAAGAATTTTATTATTTATTAATGTAATTGAATTCCCACGAAGAATATTATTATTTCTGTAAATAATTGAATTTCTGCGAAGAATTTTATTATATTCTTTAAAAAATAATTGATTTTTTTTTGAGAAAATTTATTAACATTTTTTAAACAATAATTCAATTTTTAGTAAGAATTTTATTATTTATGAAAATAATTGAATTCTTGAACATTTTTTCAAGTAATTTAATTAAATAATTGTATTGAAAATAATTGACTTTTTATTTAAATTCATTAAAATTATTCAAAATAATTGAATTGTTTTGAAGAATTTTATTAAAGTTTTTTAAAATAATATAAATATTCAAATAGTTAAATAGTTAATAAATTAATTTTTAATTTGATATTCAAAAATTGAAGTTGATATTTGGAAATAAAATATTTTGTAATTTATTTGCGTAACAATTGCTAGTTATATAATAATAGTAATAGAATAATAATAATAATAATAATAATTTAGTCGTGTAATATTTATTTTCTTAATTTCAAATGCAAAAAATTTTGAAAGTCAAAATAAATAATATGGAGTCATGAATAATTAACAAAAATGCTTCACGAATATATTTCGAAATTTATATTTATTTATTTAAAAATACATGTATATTTTAACATTAACATTTTTTTAAATATATGAGACTCTTGTTTTAGTCATTAACTTATTTTGTTAATAAAAATTTAGATTCTTTGGCAACATATAAGTTGAAATTTTTTTTTTCTTGTTAGAGTGAAATTTTTTTTTTTTTTTTGCATTTTTTGTTGGATAGGGAGGAAAAAAAATGTTTTTTGGTTGATTTATTAGGAACGTGGATCATAACGATAGTGAATATCTTGTTCGTGATGTAAAAGACGAGATGGTAATGGTGGTGGTAGAGCGGGCGCTTGTAGGGTGGTAAAAGGAGCATGATAATCGTAACGATAGTAGGCAAAAGATTCCCATCTATTTGGATGCTGTGATTCAAAGTTGGAGTTGGTTGTCGTCGCTCCATAGTAACTGGATCTGTCGGGAATATTTGGAACGTACGTGCATTGGGGCTCCAAGAGACTTTGTAAATGTCTGATGTATTGTATCGCGTGTCTCAATGACTCGATCTTGGATAATTTTTTACCTGGTGGCTTGCAAATCGGCAATTTCGATCTCAGCAATTCGAATGCACGGTTCATATCTTTCATCCGAGTTCTCTCTCGATCGCAAGCTGATTTCTTGTAATCTGCAAAAAGTTATAGAAATGATTTTTTATTTTTTTATTAAAAAGTCTTTTTTTCACATTTTTAGGTTTCACATTCATTTACTAAAACCAAATAATTATTTACTATACTTTTTTTACGATTTGCTACTATTTGGATATTTTTTTTTTAATTTGTGACACTAAAAGCTACTTTTTTCTTTTCTTTTTTTAAATTCGCTAAAAGTTGAAATACAAAAATTATTCTCAAAAATTTGAATGAAATTCTTAGAACGGACTCAATTATTATCAAAAATTTTTTCTATTTCAATTTTTTTTTACTATTTTAATAGAATTTCCCAAAAGAATTCACTTATTTAAAAGAATTTTAATCAAATTCTTCTCAAACATTTTATTTATTTATTTATTTACAATGGAAATTCAATACATAAATAATAAAATTTTACAGGAATGCAATTATTTAAAATACAATTTTCGTAAACAATAAAATATTTCAGATAAATTCAATTATTTTGAATATAATTTGAATAAAATTCTTCGCAGGAATTCAATTATTTAAAATACAATTTTTATTACATTTTTCGGAAAAAGTTAATGATTTAAAAGAATTACAATTTACAAGAATACAATTTACATAAAATTTTTCGAACAAATTCAATTATTTAAAAAAAGTGTTATAAAATTCTTAACAATATTATTACAATATTTTATGAAATTTTGATAAAATTCTTTATAAAATTAAATTTTAAGAAATATTCAAGTATTCAATAAATAATTTATTTTTATATTTGTATAATTGAATTCTAGTAGAATTTTTTAATAAGAATTGATTTAAAAATAAATTTCAGTTAAAATTTTAGATAATAATGGAATATTGGAAGCGTTATAATAGGAATGTTTAGAAATAAATTAAATTTCGAAAGAATCTTAAATTGAAATCTTCAAAAAAATTTAATTATGCTAAAACTGTGATAATATTAAAATTTTTATTTAAAAAAAATATTAATTCTTTATTTTCTTAAAAAATGATTGAAATTTTGAATAATTTTATTCAAAAATTCTAAAAAATAATTGAATTTTGGAAGAATTACAGTTGTAATTTTTAGAAATAGTTAAATTTAAAAAATATTTTACATTGAAATCGTTTAAATTATTTCTTATATTACTATAAAGAATAAATAAGTATTTAAAGATTTATTTAATAAAAATTATTCAAGTTTTGAATGAAATTTAATTTAGAAATTATGAAAAAAATTAGCCTTTTGAAAAATTGTAATTAGAATTTTTTGAAAATAGCTCAAGTCCCGTACATAATTCAAAAAGATTAAATTAGATTTCCAATTATTTGAAAATTTCTGGCAACTTTAATTGAAACAATTTTTATATTTTAAAAAATTTATTTTTTTACTATAGTATTTAAAAATTATTTTTAAAAATAATCGTATTTTTGAAGAATTTAAAATTAAAATTTAGAAAACAATTGAATTTTTCAAATATTTTAGAATTGAAGTTATTATTTGCAGTATAAGAAAAAAATTAAATATTTTTGATGGAAATTGGAAAGGTCTTAAAAATACTTTTTTTAAATTAATTATGGAGTGTGAAGCCTGCATTTTTTTTTAATTTTATAAGTAATATTATTATTACGTTTATTAATACAATAATACAATTATTTTAATATTATTACTGATGATAATTATGTATCAGTGTTTAATGCTAAAATGTACTTTTTCTCTTTTGGAAAATCGTGAAAAGTTAGTTAAAAAAACAAATGACAATTTAATTTATCCGTTATGGCGTTAGTTTAGTGGTTTAGTTGAAGGGTGGAAAGGACGTTAAAATTTTTCCCGAATAATGACACTAGAAAGTAGAAATTTATTTAGTGAAATACATTCCTCAAAATTGGATTTGTTTTGAAACAGTTTTAAAAGTCAGAAGTTTATAATGTAACTATGGAAACAAGTCGAAAAGGTTATTTTATTATTATTTGATTACTATTTACACTAGAATTAGTTAATTACAAAAAATGATGATTTTATTATAAAAATTATAGAAAATTGAAATGAAGTTTGATGTTAGGTTGTCGACTAAACGAAGCTTGGCACTTTTGTCCTTATCCTCCACACATTCGTAGGAAAATGTCAATATTGAGAATAATTCCAAAACACTTGCTCTCGGAATCAAGAAAAAAATTGGAAGAATCGACAGAAAATAGTTCGAGAAAATTTGGAAAAATTATTTTTAATCAACAATCGGAAGAAATTGCCGTTATCACTTATAATGAAAATTTAAATTCAGAGATTTCAGTAATAAATTCAAAGGATAAAGTTGTGAGTAAGAGTCAAGAAATTCAAATCGAAATTAATTCTCATCAATCAAATCGGAAAATTCCTTCAGATTCTGAAATTGTTCAACAAGAAACTATTTCTAAACATGAAATTTCCTCTAATCGTAAACTATCGTTAAACGATAAAATTTCTTCGAATAGTAAAATTTCTTTAGAGGAAAATAATATTTCTTCGCAAGAAAAAATTTCTTGGAATAATTCATTGGATAAAATTTCATTGAATAATGTTTCAGTGGAAAATAATTTTCCTGGTGAATTTTCCGAGGAGAATTTGACAGAAATGTCAAGAGTTGTTTTAAACGATGAATTGAATCCTTTAAATAAAAATTCAAATTACGAAGATGATAATCTAAAGAAAAATTCCTGGTGGCGAAATTTCTTTCGACAATTCATAGTCGATTTTTTTCTCCAACTATTGGGTAAAAAGTATTCATCACAAAAACAATCATTCGACAATAATGTGAATTTTCGTAATGTTTCAACAAGTACATCGAATTATTATCGTGAGGAAAAAAATAAGAGCAATGGCGATAGAATTAATAAAAAGAATAAAAAATTAATTATGTCGAAGAGAATTTTGAATTTTTCCGATGATGCTCAACATGAAATGAGAATTATTACTTATGGAAAAGAGGAGAAGGACAAACTTTTCTTTGATTTGATTCAATTGACCCAAGATGAAAATTTGCGAGCCATTATTTTCGAACAGGCGATGAGAATGAGAATTCTCGAGGAGGAAAATGCACGATTCAGAAAGAAACTGACTGAGAAATTGAAAACCCGACAGAGTAGCAGTCCTTTTTATTGATAATGAGATTCTTTTAAGTTCAAATGGAATATTTTATTCAAATTATACTCGATTATTACAATCAATGAAAAATATTTCATTGTTTCAAATATAATAATAGAATAATAGAGGATTCGAATTTTAATTTCTCCATGGAACGTAACATTAAATGTGAAACAAAAATTATTGCAAAAAAAAATAGTAGACAGTAAATAAAAAAAATAAACAAATAAAATAAATTAAAATGAAGTAAACAAATAAATTAAAATAAAATAAAATAAATATAAATGAAAATAAAATCAGGGGCTCGAACCAGTGAAAGTATTTAAAAATAAGGACTTTACGGACCAATTAATTGATTTGTAGAAAAATTTTAGTGAAAAATTCTTAAAAATAATAATAATTGAATTGAAATGATGAAAATCATGTTTAAGAAGTACAATATTCTTATAATATAAAATAATGATTTTATTAATTTGCCATTTTTAATTAATATAAAACATGAAGAAATCGATAACTCCGAGTCTTCGACTCGGAGTGATCAACTATTATTTTATTATTATTATTTATTATTTTTATTATTATTATTTCAATTATTATTTTCAAGAATTTTTAACTAAAATTCTTCTTTAAATTGATTATTTTTAACAATTTTCGAAAAAGTTCTTTGGCAATTTTTAAATTCATTTTTTATTTTTTTACAATATTCAATTTTATGAAATTTTAATTATTCGTAAATTTTCCAATTAAAATTATATTAGAAAATAAAAATATAAAATAATATAAAAAAAATTCAATTAAACTTTTTCATAAAAATTAATTTAAAAATTCAATTCTTTTTAAAAGTTCACGATACAATGCTTTGAATATTCAATTATTATTTAAAATTTTAACTGAAATTCATTTTTAAATCAATTTTTAATTTTTATTAGAAAATTCTACTAGAATTTAATTACAGATTTGAATAGAAAAATAAATAATTTATTGAATAATTGAATGTCTTTTAAAATTCAGTTGTATGTTTGCGTAGAATTTTATTGTAACTTTTTTTAGAGAATATTGATTTATTTTGGAAAATTTTATTAAAATAGTGAATATTGAGATTTGAAAATCATTGAATTCAGAGAAATTTTTGAAAATAATTGAAATTTTCCCAAGAAATTTATTAAAATTTTTTTAAATAATTGAATTTCTTCGAAGAATCTTATTACTTTTAAAAATTGTATTGAAAATAATTGAATTCTTGCAAAAAACTTGAAAGTAATTGAAATTTTGACAAGAAATTTTTTAGAAAATTTTAAGAATAATTGAATTTTGATATTTCATTGAAATTGTATTGAAAATAATTGAATTCTTGTAAAGAATTTAAAAATTTTAATTCTGCAAATAAATTGAATTCTTTTGAGAAATTTTCTTGAAAATAATTTATTGAAATTCTGCTAAGAAAATTTATGGAAAATTTTAAGAATGACTGTATTCTTTCAATAAAATTTCTAATTAAATTCCTTCAAATTTAACATTTGGTAAAATATCAAATTGAAATCTTTGGAAATTGATTTATTTGTTTGAATTGTAAACGCAACTCTTTTAAAATTGAATTAATTTTGAAATATTTAAGTAAAATTATTCATTAAATAATTTATAACTTTTCCAGAACTTAAATTTTTTTGCGATTTTTTAACTAAAATTCTTCTATATAAATGCTTTATTTTTAATAATTTTCGTCTTTTCTTAATCAAATTACGGACTTTACGGATCTTTTTTTTGAACTGACTTTTACAGACTTCAAGCAAATTTACAGACCTTTACATGATTTACGAACAATAGTTCGAGCCCTGAATTAAGTTAATAAAAATAAAATGATTGAAAAAAGTATAAAGATAATAAAAATTGCAAATAAAAATAAAACGCTTTATTTTAGATAAAAGAATATTTAACATAATACACGGTTTTGATTTGATATACAATTCTAAAAGTAATTTATAAAATTAATTATGTTTTATATGATATTGAGTTTGAAATTGTTTGCCAGTAACATATGTTATTTAAAATATTTCGTGTATTTAATTTGTACATGGAAAATTGGTTCCGAAACATTCCTCGGGTGAAATTAAATTATGCGCTTTTTTATAATTAACTTCAATTTAATTAGGATTTTAATTAGTCCAATTACCATGTTCCACGCTCAATTTAACTGGTACATTTGTTTAAGAGATTTTAATTTTCGAAATATCTGTTCATTTTTAATTTTATTTATTGAGAAAAATTTTTTAATTATTATATTTGAATATTAATAAAAAGATAATAATTAGTTATTCATTATTATTATTAAATTCACTTCTATAATGTTTTGCATTCCAGAAATGTTTTATAATTTAAATTATTTAATTTAAAAATATTTTCCCCTTTTCGGTTTTGAAATTATTCCTTGTTTCGTTTACAAGAAGATTTTTTTTTCGCTGATATAATTGAAAATTTGTCGAATCAAAATCTTCTTATTTTCAGTTTGCCTAATTAGATATTGACAGAATGTAAGCTACTTACCTTTCTCAGTTTGTGAAGCTTCACGATGCACTGGTTTAATACTTGTTTGGTGAAGCAACTCTAAATTAGACGGAGTTTCCACCACTTCAGGTTCAGGTACTCTTATTACAACCACTCCTTCTGAAGTTTGTGAACGTTGTTCAAAGTCTGATTCGTGCCAACGTCTTCTCAAGAACTGTTTTCGACTCGTATATTGGACTTCTAAAAAAAAGAAATTAATTTTTCATTTTTTATCCCCTGAGAATAAAAAAAAAAAATTGCAAAGATTTTTTTATCTTCTGAGAAAAAATAATTACTTAGATTTTTTATCCTCTAAGAAAAAAATAATAATTGTGAAGACAATTTATTCAGTAAAAAAAAAAATTGCATAGATTTTTTATTCCTTAGGGAAAAAATGATTGCAAAGACAGTTTATCCCCTAAGAAAAAAAATTGCATAGATTTTTGAGTAATTAATTTATTGATTTATGATTAATTAAATATTTATTAGTAATTATTTAATTAAAATTTTTTTAAATAATTGGATTGATTTGAAGATGTTCATGTAAATTTTCGAAAACAATTAAAGGAATACTTTTAAGGAATAATTCAATTAATAATATTGTACAATGAAAATAATAAAATTTTTTTGAAAAATTGATTATTTATGAAAGTAATTGAATTTTATTGAAGAATTTTATTAAAATTTTTAAAAATAATTAAATTCATGAAAAGACTGTTATTATTTATGGAAATATTTGAATTTTTTTCGAGAAATTGTATTAAATTTGTAATGAAAATAATTAAATTCTATCGAGAGATTTTTTTAAAATTTGTGTTGATGATAATTGAACTCCTCGGAAGAATTTTTCTTATTTATAAAAATAATTTAATTTTTGGAAGAATTTTATTAAAATTATATTAAAAATAATTAAATTCATCAGAAGAATTTTAATTATTTATGGAAATAAGTGAATTCTTTCGGGAAATTCTATTAAATTTGTATTGAAAATAATTAAATTTTTTTCGAGGCATTTTATTAAAATTGTGTTGTGTTAGAGTGAAATAATTTAACTCTCCTGAAGAATTTTTATTATTTATAAAAATAATTGAATTCCAGGGAAAAATGTTATTAAAATTAGATTAAAAATAATTAAATTCAACTAAAGAATGTTACTATTTATGAAAATAATTGAATTCTTTCGAGACATTTTATTAAAATTGTGTTGAAATTTGAAAATAATTGAATTTCTCTGGAGAATTTTTGTTATTTATAAAAATAATTGTATTCCAAGGAACAATTTTATTTCTTATTTAAAATTTCACTAAAATTTTTGAAAATAATTGAAATTCTGGGAAGAATTTTATTTTAAAATTCAGAAGAAATTAATTCTTTGGAGAAATTTTATTAAAATTGTTTAGAAAATAATTGAATTCCTGCAAAGAATTTTATTGTTTATGCGGAAATATTCGAATTATTTTGAAAAATTTTATTGGTATAAATTAGAAACTGTTTTCGAGTCTTCTAAAAAAAATAAATAAATTTTTAATTTTTTTGTAGAAAAAAATAATTGCTTAGATTTGTTATCCCTTGAGAAGAAAATAATTCAAAAGATATTTTATTTCATAGGAAGAGAAGATGCAAAGATTTGTTATCCCATAAGAAAAAAAATTACATAGATTTTTTATCCCCTGAGAAAAAACTGCATAGATTTTTAATCCCCTAGGGAAAAAAATAGCAAAAGACTTTTTCTCGATTTTTAAATTATGAGAAAAAAAATTCTGAAAATAAAATTTTTCTTTCAATTATTATGGTTTTTTTTACCGGGTCGAGGATCTTCTGCAAAATGACTCGAGGAGGAACTTAAATCCTGCTGTAGAATTTGTTGATGTTTGGAATTTTCGTCGAGATCGAGTAAAACTCTTGGTTGAGAATATTCCTCGTCATTGCTTTCTTTGTCCGACTAAAAACGATAAAATTGTTTTTAAAAAAATTCTTCTCGCATTTTATTGATTTCTAATTTAAAGAAAATTGAGTTTTCTCTTAAAATATTAACAGGAAAAATCTCTCAAGAAATTTTTCCTTATTTTTGAAAATTAAAAACCAATTTGATTCCTCTGAATTTTCTTTAACTAAATAAGACAAAGAGGAATTGGAAATATATTTAATATTGATTAATATTTAATAATAATGAATTTTGGCCAGTTAATTATTTATTAAACAAATGAGTATCAAAATTATTAACAAAAGATGAATTATTTACCGAGTGTTAAAATATTAGAAAAAAATCATTTTCATTTTATTTAAAGAGAAAGGTAAAATAATCGGAATGAGATCATTTTTTTAAAAACATGATTAATAATATTGTAGACGTCATAAGAAATCCAAAATGGTTTATCAGACTTGAATATTTTATCATTTGAAGAAAAAAAGAAAAACGTAAGAAGGAAAATTATGAGAAATGAATAGCAAATTACGCTGTACATTTTTTTTTGTTCATCCTTTGACGGACTTTATAATAAATTTCGATTTTTTTTAATGAATATTAATAAAAATTTTCTCTCTCTAACTCTTGTAATCGGTAAAATGTAAGTTTTATGCAAAATTAAATCAAGTATGAATCAATAGTGGAAGTACTAATTATTCAGTGCTCTAATTTATAAACTGATTAATTATATCTCATCAAAATGTTTTATTGATTTTTCGATTATTGGAGTCGAAAATAAATTTACATTTTAAATTTAGTTTTCTCTTTTTTAGAAAGAAAAAAAAAAGAAATGTACTCCAATTAATCTAGAACGTATTTGAAATCACAGGGAAAAATATGGATTTGAAATTAAAAGCATTTTTTTCAATAATAAAAAATAAAAAAAATTTTCAATACCATTTGGTAAATTATTTTCGATAAAACGCGTAAAATAATTTTTAAATTCATTTTTATCGGATTTCATCTTTTTTTTTGTATCAATCTGTTACCTCATTTTTGCAAAATTCCCGCTGATATTCCTCTTGTTTTATGTCCATTATTGAGATGAGTGAAAATTTGTGTTCTTTATTATTTGTTTTTTAATCCGTAAATGTGATGTTCGATTCTTATGGGGGCGACCCCATGCACTTCTTGTAAAATGTCACGTGTGACTAAAGAACTTGGCCTCGGAAGAGATGTGGATCGGTCACAAACAGACTTTAATAATGTTCATTTTATCCGTTTATTAAGTATTCAGGTGTTCTGACAGAGGTTCTCATATAATTTATGTATGTATATACATTACTTACCTTGCTCATCTTCAACAGGGACGTGTCTCTAATCATTTTAATTTTCCACATTGAATCAATTATACCTAATAATTATGCAACATTGTCAATTTTAATCCAATTTTCTGCACACTGCCCGTTCGATAAATTTATTTTGCTCGCTTAGTTCATCACGCTTTCAAGTGCAAAATTCGTTCAGTTTGCTAAATTATTATTCTCAAATAATTTTATAATTCAATTATTCATAATTGATTTAATATACAATTAATAGTTGGAAAATATGGAGCATTGGAGTATTAGACAAGTGCATATAAATAAATTAATTAATTAAAAAAATAAAATAGCAAATAAATAAAGGAGTAAATAATAATTAAGTAATTAAATAAGTAATTAAATAAGAAAATAAATAAAAAAATTTAATAAAATAATGAATGAAATAATAGTTTTATGTGTAACAAAATAAAAAAAGTTAATAAAGAATAGTAAATTGATAAATAATTAAATAGGTAAATAGTAAATAAGTAAATAGAAAAAAAATTAATTGAAAAAATATGTAAATAAACAAATTAGTAAATAAGTAAATATTAAATAAATTTATAAATAAGTAAATTTATAAATAACTAGAAAAGTAAATAATAAATCAAATAGAGAGGTAAATAATAATTTCGTAATTAAATAAATCAAGACTAGTAAATTGATAAATAAATAAAGAAGTAAATAACAAATATAAGCAAATAGAGATGTAAATAATAAAAAGTAAATGTATAAATAAATAAATAAGTAAATAACGAAGGAAATAGATAATTAAATAAAGAATTAAATAATAAGTAAGAAAGTAAATGAGTAAATAAATAAATAAAGGAGTAAATAATAATTACGTAATTAAATAAATAAAAAAATTTAATAAAATAAAGAATTAAATAATAGTTAAGTAAGTAAATGTGTAACTAAATAAAAAAGTTAATAAAGAATAGTAAATTGATAAATAAGTACATAGGTAAATAGTAAATAAGTAAATAGAAAAAAAAGTTAATTAAGAAAATATGTAAATAAACAAATTAGTAAATAAGTAAATAAAGAATTAGTAAATTTATAAATAACAAAATAAAGAGGTAAATAATAATTTTGTAAATAAATATGTAAATAAACAAATAATAGAGTTTAATTATTTAAATTAATAAATGAGTAACTAATAAATAAGTATAAATAAATGAACAAATGAGTAATTAATAAAAATAAGAACAGAGAGAAGTAATTAAATGTGTAAATAAAGACTAGTAAATTAATAAATAAATAAAAAAGTTTATAAAGAATATGTAAATTTAGAAATGAATAAATGAGTAAATAAATAAGTAACTGAAAAAAAAATAAATAAAAAAGTTTATAAAGAATAACTAAATTTATAAATAGAAAGAAAAGTAAATAATAATTTAGTAAGTAAATATGTAAATAAATGAGTAAATATATAAGTAAATAAAAAATAGTAAATTGATAAATAAATAGAGAAGTAAATTAAAAACTGAGTAAATAGATGGAAATAAATAATAATTAAGTAAATAAAGAACTAAATAGTAAATAAGGAAATACATAAATAAATAAACAAGTAAATAATAATTGGGTACATAAATAAATAAAGGAGTAAATAATAAATAAGTATATAAATAAATGAACTGTGAGAGATGAAATAAAATAAATAAATATACACAGCAATTAATTAATTGCTATTAATTTATTAAAAATACGGTACTTTGAAAACTGATAATTTATTAATAACAAGTGCAGTTTTTAAATAAATAATAATTCAAATTATAAATAACTCATTTCTGGCGCTCATTTGTAAATAATTAATTAATAATTAACCGAATTTATTGATAAGTAATTTTTAGTTTAAATAAAAATTATATTGAATTATTTTATTGAATTGAATTATTTATATTTTATATTTTTGTTTTTTTTCGAATAATAATTATTGAACTAAATTTAAAAAAAGATAGTCACGTAGAATTTTTATTTCTTGAACTAGATGATGGAAGGGGGGAAGAGGGGGGGGGGGGGAGTTATTGAAGGGTCTCGCCACTGACAAAAAGAAGAAATATTAACATAAATATGAGAGTCGCTGGGGATATCGTTGGGATAAAAATGGATAATACAAACGATGGAATATAATAGAGGTACATTCGATGGAAATACTAATGAGTAGAGAACTGTAAAGGAATGTAAAACGGGGCAAACTAGAGGAAAAAAGAAATAAAAAAAGAAGAAAGAATAATAAATGGCGAAGTGACCAAGTTTGTTAGTTTATGGAAAAATGATCTTCAAAAGGTTTTTGTAATGAAAAGTTTTTAATACAAATAATCATAATAATGGGAAAATAATTCATTGTTCTCTTTTATATATAAAGCGTGTAGTAAAAGTTGTTTCTAGATTAAATTATATAAATTTGTTACTTAATTATTCATAGTAGGGGAATAAAAAAAAATATTTATGTTTTAAAGAATTAGAAAAAAGTATTGATAGCAATAATAATTGATAATAAAATTAGATGCTTAATTAAGTAAATTTGATTAATAATTATAAATTAAATTTAAAAATATTAAATTCATAATGTTAGTTATTAATTATTATAGTATTAATAAATAATCGTCAATGAGAAATTAAAGGAATTAAGTCTTAAGGCGGGTGTATAAACAAATAAACAAAATTAATAGTTTATTAATTAATAGTTCATTATTTAATAGGTAATTAATTAATAGTTAATTAATTAATAGATAGGTAGTTAATTAATAGATAGTTAATTAATTAATCCATAATGGTGTTAGTTTTCTGAAAATGTTTAATCAACCAATGTTAAAATTTTTCAAGAAACAAAATTTCAAATGGAAAATAACAAGACAATTAAAAAAAAAATTTTCAATTAAAATTAAATTCAAAAAAATAGAATATTTTTTTGTATAAAAAAATGTCACAATCTCCTTTATTTAAGAACAATGCTAATTACAAAAAGATATAATTATTTTAACTTTATAAATACAATACAATTTGGTTGTATTTCGTTAAATAAATAATTGAATAAATTATTATCTCATTATTTCTATATCACTAATTTGACTATATTTCACGTGAATGATACAATTAAATATTTCGTTCTCTTACTTCCGTGTAAATTGGCTTTACTGTATTTGGACACGTGGATACTTTTGAGATCAATGAGGACGTTGTTGAGGGTTCATTTGAATGTCCAATTTTTGAATTATCGTCTGAAAATAATTTATCCATAAATCCATAAATTTTAAATATTCAGATATATATATAACATTAATATAGATGAATATAAATATGGAATATAAATTGTTTCCTTGATTTATTTAATTTTTCATAATTTTTTGAACATTATAATGTTCAGTTAATGTTAACTTTTATTTAATTGGAAAAGATTATCACTTTCTTGTATAGAGTAGGTCAATAAAATATGTATTTTTATTCATTCACATTACTAAGGCAATTATTAATAATAAGAGAATTTTTGCATAATTCTATTATTAATTTTTTTTAAATATAAATTCGTATTGAGAATGTTGTACTTTTAATTATTAAAAGTTATATTTAAAATTAAAATTTCTTTTTAAAAAATACGATTCAGGGGAAATTTTTCTTTCTTTCACGTTATATATTTTATATTGATTTTGAAGGTAAACTAGAATATTAGAATAAAAAGTTGACATTTTTTAAATTGATTTCAATTATACCTGACGCTGGTGAATATTTATGTCTTGTTATTTTCCGTAGAAAATTTAATAAGAGGATTCGCAGTTCAGAATTAAATGCTATGTATATCCATGGATTTACACAACTCGTCAGACAGCTTAATAGAGAAAGCACAGTAAATAATGGACCTGTCAAAAAAAATATATTTATAATTTTATATACATTTTTCTTACTCAGTGTCAAAAGTCATTGTTATTATTGACATTGTATATTTATACACTGAGTTTAAATTATTAAATTAAATATTAATTGATTATTAAATTAATTAAGTTGATGAAATTGATTAAATTGATTAAATGAATACAATAAAAAACAAATTTAAAAAAAAAATAATTTAGTTAATTAAAATTTAAATAGAATTTTATTGCAATTGAAACAATAATCTATAATAATTACGATTACAATAATGAAAATAGAAACAAATAATTAAAAAACTTGATATGTGATATTTCAACTTTTGAATAGTAAAGAATTAAAAATGTTAATCACTTGTTTATGAGACTATTTTATTTTTTCATCTCTTTCTGAAATAGAAATTTTTTTTATTTTTAAAAAAAAAAGTGAGAAAAAAATTGTAACTTTTGTATGTTGTTGTTATAAAATTGACTTATTGAGACATAAAAATCATTAATAATTAATCAACCAATTTTATTAATTTACATAAATGTTAATACGTCTATATAAGTAAAAGATTTGTTTCTTTGAGTAATTCTAGTTTGTCGTCACAAAGGTTATAATTTATGTTATTCACTCAATCATTTAAATCGTTTTTTCTATTATTATTTATATACAATGTCAATAATACATTTAAAAGTTTGCGCAGAAAAAAAATTCTACATAAGAAAATAGATTAAAAAAAACATATTCTCAGAAATATTGTAAGGTTTCGTAAAGTCCTTTAAAATATAAAAATTTGATATAAAAAAATAATTGATATCGAGATAAAAAAAACTTTGTGAAGGATATACTTAGGTTTGAAGTCTTTTAAAAAAGGATAAATTTATAAAAAATTATGATGAAATTAATACAATGATAATAAACAGAAAATAATAATTATAAATAATAAGAAAAATTACATCATTATCAATATTACACTCTAAATTTAAATTAGTAAAAATATTTACTCATTTGAATTAGTGACTGACTTTTTGCTTTCGAATTAGCAAATTTTACTAATAAATTTGTAAAAATTAGTGGAACTGGAAATTACTAATTATTAGTAAAATTTACTAATTGTTAATTTTTCTTTCTAAATAGTAATTTCTACTAATTTATTAGTAAAATTTATTAATTAAATAATTTATTTATTTATTTAAAATATAAAAATTTGAAATAAAAAAATAATTGATATCGAGAAAAAAAAACTCTAAATTTAAATTAGTAAACATATTTACTCATTTAAATTAGTGACTGACTTTATGCTTTTGAATTAGCATATACTAATAAATTAGTGAAAATTAGTAGAAATTACTATTTATTATTAAAATTTACTAATTTATAATTTTTTTTACAAATATAATAACTTCTACTAATTTATTAGTAAAATTTACTAATTTTAAAGCAAAGAGTCAGACACTAATTAAAACTAATAACTATTTTTACTAATTTAAATTTAGAGAGTAATTGATGTTTTAATTTTTATTATAATATTTATAAATTTTTTTATTGTTCATAATTACTATTTTATTTTTATTACCATTATATTAATTTAATAAATATTTTTTATAAATTAATTCTTTTTTAAAAGACTTTAATTATTATATTAGTAAATTTTACTAATAAATAGTAAATTCTAGGTACTAATCTATCTGTAAAATGTACTAATTCAAATTGAATTTCATTAAAATTAAGTATATTCAAAATAATTGAATTCATCACAAGAATTTTATTATTTTTTGAAAATAATTGAATTCTTTCTATTTTTTTGACGAATATAATTATTTAAAAATTGCATTGAAAGTAATTTATTTTTGTATATAGAATTTTTGAAAAATATTTTGAGAATAATTGAATTATTTTTTAGAGAATTTTAAATTCTTGTTGAAATTGAATTTTATGGAAATTTTTGAAAATTATTTAATTCTTTCGAGTAAATCTATTAAAATTGAATTGAAAATAATTGAATTCTTGCGAAGAATTTCACTATATTTATAAAAATAATTGAATTGTTTCGAAGAATTTATTAAAATTTTAGGAAATAATTGAAATTTATGGAAATATTTTAAAATATTTGAATTCATTAGAGGAAATCATTTAAAATTGTTTTGAAAATAATTGAATTCTTACAAAGGATTTAATACTATTTATAAAAATAATTGAATTATTGCGAAGAATTTTACTGTTTATAAAAATAATTGAATTTTTTTGAAATGTGTTAAAATTTTTTAAAAAATTGAATTTTTTTGAGGAATTTAATTAAAATTTTTTTGAAAATAATTGAATTTTTGTAAAGATTTTACTATTTAAAAAAATAATTAAATTGTTTAGAAGGATTTATTAAAATTTTTGAAAATATGAACAGTAATAATTAATTTTGTACTTAATAAGTGAATTTTTGAAATTTTGATTATGAAATTATTTATTAAATTTAAATTAAAAAATAAAAAATATTGTAATTTGCATAACAATAATAAATTATTGAATATCACGTTCCGCGCGCTAGAGTGCGTAACATTTGCTACCTAGTTTCTAATAATTTTCTAGTAAAATTTAATAATTTAAAAGCAAAAAATCAGTCACTAATTCAAATTAGTGAATATTTTTATACTAATTTAAATTTAGAGAGTAAAATTCTTTTTCAAAGTATAAAACTTAAAATTAGGAAATGAATTTACGAGAATAATAGTTTACCATCGAAAATTGAAGAATTTAATGCCCTTATTGGATCCCATGCCATCCATAGTTCACAACCAATAAATGGACTCCATGTTAAAAAATAAAGAGTAACAACAACTATTGTTTGTTTCATCGTATTTACTCTCGCCTTTGTTATTAATGGACTTTGTTTTTTTTTTATAATATTCGAATTTTTTTTATATCCAATTTCTAATGGGTCCGATACTCCACTATTTTTCCAAACTCCAATGCAAATTCCTGTATATGTATAGACCAAAACAGTGAATGGAAGTAGAAAAACAGAGATGCTGTACCTGTTTGTGAAAGAGAAAAAAATATTTATATATATATATAGAGAGAAAGAGAGAGAAACGGAAATGGAACGATGGTTTATTATATCATATCCTACTGGGTAGACATAGTATTTTTCCCGTATAGAGTGAGAGAAAGAGGGGTTTGAATCTCTCTGCTGAGTGAAAGGGATGTAAAAAATAAAAGTCTAGTGAAAAATAATCAAATGAAACTCACGCACGCTAAAATATAGATATGAAAGAATTTTCCTTTGATTTCTCTATATTATGCTTATAAGGAAAATTGGAGGGTAATATTGCGATGAGGTAAACTTAGTTCAATATTGGATCAATGTTCAATGTTGTGTAAACATTGACGTTAGAATATTTTTGAGAAATTCAGGCAATATTGTCTGTATAATATTTGATATTTGGATAATTTGAAAATGTTAAATTCAGTTGTTTGGATTATGTGGAGGAATATTTTTTTGGGGTATTTTTTGAGCTAATTGGGATAATATCGGGTAACGTTGCGTATAAATATTTGGTTTGAAATTAAAACCGAATTTTAAGGTAATATTGTTCCGTTTAGGTGAAAAAATATTTGAGCACTTTTGATTATTGCATACGTAATATTTTGAAAACTATTCGTACACTGAAAAAAAATTAAGGCAAATATGTAGAATATTAATTATTATTCTCAATAATTTATTAATTTTGAATTCAACTGACCACGTGACGTAAGCTTCTTGTCCATAAGGCATTGTAAAAGTGGCCCAACAGTCCCAAACTCCCGGAGAAATTGTTTGATATGAAAATACAAAAAGCTGGAATCAAAAATAAAAATTACAAATTCTGCACCCAGATACAAATTTTTAATTTAATTTTTATTTAATTTAATATAATTTTATTTTTAACCAAACATATTTTATCTGAGGTAAATAAAGGTTTATTTGTCTCAGAGTCAAGTAAATTTTTTTTAGTAGGTATTTATTTGTTTTAAATAACAATTTTATAATTTTTGTTTTACCTAAATGAAAATTTTATTTGATTCAATGACAAAAATAAAATGTTTCTTTGAACCAAATAAAATTTATTGGAAAAACAAAAAGTTTAAATAGGGCTCTGAGTTGAATATATTTTTTTGTAGTAATTTTTACTAATTTATTATTAGTGAATTTTACTGATAAATAGTAATTTTTACCAATTTATTAGTGAATTTTCCTAATTCAAAAGCAAAAAGTCAGTCACTAATTCAAAAACCTTTTTACTAATTCAAAAGCAAAAAGTTGTCACTAATTTAAATTATGTAGTAAAAATTTTTACCAATTAAACTTTAACGAGTACAAATTAATGCAAAAATATAGATTACAAATTATGCAAAAATATAAACTACAACTTACATAAAAATATAAATTACAAATTATGTTTATATGCCATTTGTAGAAAAGATAAAAAAAACAAAATAGTCTTCATTAGAAATGAATATAGAAAACAAGCTGTCAGAGATTAAAATTACAGTATTTTTTGACATGTGATTGAGGTGAGAGAAAAAAAGAGATAAAAAAAGTAAAGAATTAAAATTTACTTGTGGTGTGCACAGTATGAGAGCAATTATCCAAGCACTGTAGACCATAATCCTTGATCTTCTTGACGTAGTGCGACAATAGCTGAAGGGAAAACATATCGCATGATATCTGTCTATAGCTGTCGCCGTTAGGATGTAGGAGCTTAAGTATGGACCGATAGGTTGGCCAAACTTTATCAATTTGCAGAGGAACGCTCCTCCCTGAAATCTAGGACACTTGCTGAATTAACCTTTCCCAAGTTTTTTTTGTAATTTTCTTAATTGTTTCTTTGCTTTTTTGTTTTTGTTTAGAAATTTAGTATTTATAAAATTTTGGAAATTAAATTTTTCCTTCTCTAATTTTGATAAAGGAAAATTTCAGTTATTAAAATTTGGAGAGTAAATAGTTGCACTAGATTAAGGCAACTTTACTGAAAATTAATTATTACTGTTCATATTTTTTTTAAAAATTTTGATAAAATTTCATGAAAGAATTCAATTATTTTCTAAAATTTTAATAAATCCTTCTAAAGAATTATTCAATTATTTTTTTAAATAGTAAAAATCTTTACAAAAATTCAATTATTTTCAAAACAATTTTAATTGAATTCCTCGGAAGAATTCAATTTTTAAAATTTGTTTTAAATTTTTAATCAAATTTAAATAAAAGTGCACGAAAGAATTAAATTATTTTCAAAAATTTCCATAAAATTCAATTTTAACAAGAATTTAAAATTCTCTCAAAAATAATTCAATTATTTTCAAAATATTTTTAAAGAATTCTATATAAAAATTAAATTACTTTCAATGCAATTTTTCAATATATATTCGTCAAAAAAATTTAAAGAATTCAATTATTTTAAATATACTAAATTTTAATAAAATTTTTTAAAGAAATTCAATTATTTTCGAAACAACTTTAATTGAATTTCTCGAAAAAATTTCATTATTATCAAATATTTCTATAAAATTCTTCACAGCAATTTAATTATTCCTTCAAAATTTTAATAAATTCTTCGAAACATTTCAATTATTTTTATAAATAGTAAAATTCTCCGCAATAATTCAATTACTATTATAAATAGTAAAATCCTTTGCAGGAATTCAATTATTTTCAAAACAATTTTAATTGGATTTCTCGGATGAATTCAAATATTCTAAAATATTTCCATAAATTTTAATTATTTCCTAAAATTTTAATAAATTCTTTGAAACAATTCAATTATTTTTATAAATAGTAAAATTCTTCATAAGATTTCAATTGTTGAAGTTTAGTTCAAAGTTCTAGAAGATAATTGAATTTTTAGAATGGTTATAGTTTTAATTTTTAGAAATTATTAAATTTTGAATTGAAATTTAAAAAATTTTATTTTCTGTGAAAAAAGAAAGAAGAAGGATTTAAATAGGTAGTTATTAAGCAAAAATTATACAAGTTTTAATTAATTGAATTTTGAAATCAGTGAAGAATTAGGGAAATACAAAATAAAATTTTTGTGACAACAGAAAATTAAATAAACGACTTTTTCGACTTTTTTTCTATTTTTAATAGACTAAAGCGACTTTTTTTGCTCGTTAATGTGGTTCCGAGGCCTGCTGTTATTATATTTTGAAAATTAGAGTAATTTCATTGCATTGTTAATATAAATAAAATTGAAGCTCTAATAGCAAAATGAATTCGACTGATTTGGAAGAAGAAATATTTAAAAATATAATTTACTCGTGTGAATTGAATTCATCGTTTTTACAAGATATAATGCTTTGAATTTCAAATTTTTGTTCTAATATTTTTGTTATTGGAACTAAAATGCTTCCGCTTTTTCGCCTATATATAATTTACTTCTTTTTTTTGCAATAAATAATAAAACTGTCAAACTAAAATAACTTTGTCACAAATATATTTCTCACGTTATCATTTTTCATTAAACTTGAAATTATATTGTTTATATAACGAATAACGAAAGAAGTTATCGACTAATATACCGGTCAGGATTATAAAGTCAATTTTATTTATAATATTCTATAAAACTCTGGAAGAATAATGTGAAATGAATGTGAATGAAATAATTTTTTTTTAAAAAGTGGATTAGCAAATGGTTGATTTCATTATTTCGTTATTCTTTATTTATTAATAACTATAAAGTTATTCTTTTATTCAGTTTTAGTATTGTTTTTTTATTATTATATTATTTTTTATTTTCTCGTTATTATTTACTATTATTATTTATTACTTATTTATTTATTATTTATTATTAATTATTTAATATTTATTATTTATCTTATTTATTTAAACAACATATGGACTTACAATAAAAAAATAATGTTCTTTTGGTATTATTTATTTATTTTTATAATTATTCGTTTTATCATTAAATTAGAAACATTTTATGTTAAAAAGGCAGTTAATGAACTTAGTTCTATTTTTTATTTATTTTTCTACACATTTTAACTATCTAACTTCTTGATTTTCTTTATCGATTTGTACATTAGGTGAATAATATTTTATATTATAAATAAAGTTTTTACGTCACAGTTGAATAATGAAGAGAAAAAAAAATAAAATAAAAAAAAAATAACAAATTAAGTGGAAAAAATAAGATAGAAAATACCATTGTCTGTAAATTTTAAAATAGCAAAATTAATAATAATAAATAAAATAAATAATAATAATAAATAGAATAAATAATAATAATGATAAAAATAGATAAAATAATTTGCACCAAAGATTGCATTTGTTTCTCGAACGTTTTACTTACGTATGTAAGTAAATAAATTTCCTAAATTGCAAAAAAAAACTGTGTGTCCGATAAAAGAAAATGTAATTTTTCTTTGAAATATGACACATACCTGAAAGTGATTTTCCACGCCATTTGTGGTAAAACATTGAGAACAGCAGTAAGCAAGTCAGCGACACTTAAATTCATAATGAAAAAATGCATTCGAGTTAATTTTTTTCTTTGTCCGTAATGTCTTTTTAAATAAATGGAGAATAAAACAAGGGAATTGCCAATAATGATGATGACGAAAAAACAGGTCAAAATGCCAATTTCCCATTTTGCGAGTTCCTCGTCCCTCGTATCATTTATTAAAGTCCCATTCTCCATAATTGCTCCTCTCAATTTTCACATTTGTCAATTTATATCATTCCACACTATTTTTTTTTTTTCTGAAATTCGTTTATTTTTTTGTTTTAACTCATATCATCACTGTTCACTTTCTCTCTTTATATATATACACATACACATATATATCCATTACCGATTTTTTTTTACAAAGCTCCAACAAAATTCGATTGTCGAGTTTTTCATTCAGGAAATTGGGAGAGAGAGAGAGAGAGAGTATAAAAATTGACGGATGATTCGAAACGATAAATAAATGTTGTTTGAGGAACGATGTTACTAACACGATAGAGAGCGAATTGCAGGTCTGACGTCCGGGTGTCAAAGCGTCAAGGATGAATGAAAAGACCGACACGACGTAAAATAGTATATAGTAGAAGAAGAAGAAAAAAAAATAAAAGAAAAAACGTAGTTATAAAGTAAAGTGTATTAAAAGAGGGAGAGCTTCAATGAAGAAGCGGCAGTGAAGAAGAAGGGAAAACTTGACGCGACAATATGACGTCTCATTAATAATCATATCCGAAATATTAATTAATAATACTGGAATACATACTGAGAGGTATTTTCTATATGCTATGTGTATATAATACACACACGATGCGAGATAATTTATAATGGTTTAACATTATAATGGTTTTCGTTGATATAAAGTGAGTCACGATGACGGAAAATTCACAGCTTTTGATTATAATGCCGGTGCACCGAAAATTTCATTAAAACAATACACAGATCCATCAATCAAATTCTCAGATACGGAAAAAAGTTGTTTGGTTTCGAAAAAATTTCTTTTTCCGAACAAATCAGTTTTCTATTCGAATGTGAATTTATTAAAATTGAATTATTTTAATAAAATAATTTTGTTATTATAATTAATTCATTTGTTATTTTAATTAATTATTGTTCTTATTGCTAATGTAAAAAAATTAAATCTCGCCGTGCGAAGGGTTCGGCTTGTACGTTAGGGTGGGGAGCGAAAAAAAGGGTGGGGAGACGCTTCTCCTTGTGCTCGATAATCGCGCTACTTTGTAGTTTATTATTCATTATTCTTGATAAATAATATTTTTAGAGCAATTCAATTATTTTCAATAGAATTTTAATAAAATTTCTCGAAAGAATACAATTATTTTTAAAAATATTAATTAAAATCGATTATTTTAAAGAATTTCAATATAAATTCAATTATTTTCGACAATTTTGATGAAATTCTTTTAAAAAAATAATTTTCAATTTCAAATTCAATTTTCAATTTCAAAAATTCAGATAAAATTCTTCGAAGCAATTCAATTATTTTCAGCAATTCAAATAAAGTTCTTCAAAACAATTCAATTATTTTTATGAATTGTAAAATCCTCTGTAATATTTCCATTATTTTTATAAATAAGACAATTCTTTGCAAGATTAAAATATTTTCATAAATAATCAAATTCTTCAAAGGAATTCAATTATTTTCAACAATTCTGATAAAATTCTTCGAAACAATTCAATTATTTTAATAAATTGTAAAATTCTTGGAAAGAATTCAATTATTTTTGAAAATAAAATTCTTTTGAGAAATTCAATTATTTTCAATACAATTTTAAGAAGATTTCTGAGAAAAAATTTAATTATATTCCAGATAATTTTAATAAAACTTCTCTAATAGGTTCAATTATTTTTAAAAATTCTAATAAATTTTTTTAAACAATTTAATTGTTCTCAAAAGTTTTTAAAAAAAATTCTTTGTAAATTTCAATTATTTTCAAAATTTTCAATTAAAATTATTTAAAAAAATACATTATTTTTACAAAATTTAATGAAATTCTTAAAAAAAAATGCAATTATTTACGGAAACTCTAATAAAATTGTTTAAAAGAATTTAAGTTTCTATGAATAATTTTAATATAATTTAATAGGAAAATAAATAATAAACACGATTATTTTAAAAACTTAAAAGAAAATTTTTATAAAATTCAATCACTTTCAAAATTTTCAGTAAAAATTATTATTTTAAAGAATTTTAAATAAAAATCTTGCCAAGAATTAAATTATTTTCAAAACAATTTTAATTACATTTTCTCGAAGAATTTAATTATTATTTTAAAGAATTTTAAATTTAAATCTTGCCAAGAATAAAATTATTTTCAATACAATTTTAATTACATTTTCTCGAAAGAATTTAATTATTATTTTAAAGAATTATAAATAAAAGTTTTGCCAAGAATAAAATTATTTTCAATACAATTTTAATTACATTTTCTCGAAAGAATTTAATTATTAAAAAATTTCTTGATAAAATTATTGAAATGAATTCAATTATTTTCAAATTTTTTGATAAATACTTTGCAAGAATTCATTGATTTGCAGTAGATTAATTTTAAAATTGAAAACATTTAAAAATGGAATGTAATGCATTTATTTTGTTGATTTAAACAAATATTTTTCTGAGAATTCTTTCTATTTCAAAACTAGAAAATTAAAAATAATAATTAAAAATAGAAGTCTCCATCTGTTAAAAAATATAGAATACTACATTTTTTTGTATTGTACCTATTTTTTGCAATTGAAATAAGAATGGTTTTTTAAAAATAATTATCCTACATTTCTTAATATAATTATAATAATATTTCAATTTATTCAGCGCACATGAATAAGGAGAATAAATGAAAAATTAAATTTGAATAATTTAGAAGAGTTCGTTACTATAATTCTCAATTGCAGGTAATTGAATTAATTCTATCGGATTTCTAGATTGTAAATTGTCGGATTAAATAAGTTTTTTCTATACAATGATTAAAACTGTTAAAATTTTCCTAATTAGCCATCGGTATATTGTAGGAAATTAAATATTGCAATGCATTAAGTTCCAGTTTTTTAAGTTTTAAATATTTTTTTCCCTTAATTTCAACTGTGGTTAATAAAATTAATATTATTTTTTTAATATTAACTATCCAATGTCTATAAGAAATTAATTTTTAATTTAATTTAATAATAATGTATACTCTCTAAATTTGATTCAGTGAAATTTCGCTGATTTAGAGACTATAGTAACTTTTACAAATTTTTACAAAAATGTACTTTGATCATAGGAACTTTTACTCCAAAAATAGTAAAAATTGCCAAAAATAGACAGAAGTTTCTCTCAGTGGAAGTTTTACGTTGAAAATTGTGAAAGTTCTTTTTTTCTTGTATAATAAATGCAAAATATATAATTCTGCTATTCGAAATAAATATATTCAAATATGTTTCGAGAAATATTTTTTTACAAATTTCTCGGTATGCAGAAATTTGCAAAAAAAAAAAATTTATTCCTCTTTCTATATTTCGTTGATTTATATATCAAGGACTTTTGAATAATGGAGAATTGCAAAAAACATTCGAGTCCTCGAAACTTGGTATTGACAATCGTCTAACGTTCATGGCTTGACTCGTCCAACAAAACCGCTTGCCTATTATATTTTCTTGAGAACTTTGAATTGCTAAGTAATCCAATTAGAGAAGCGTAGTGACCTGTGCAGGTCAGCTCAAGTCTTCCAAGTACACTCTCACACTTTTATATGTATTGTATATATATATATATAAATAAAATTCATATTATACGTTATTTCACGATAAAATTGAAAAGTAGAAATTTAATCAAGATTAAAATTAAACGATTGATAATTTGCGCTCGAATGAAGGAAATAATTTTCCTGAGATCCACTTCAGAAGCAGTACCGCTATTAATTATCAACAAGAATCGGGAGCATTAATAAGATTTTATTAGTTTTGGAAAGGAAAAATGTCTTTGATTCTTGATTTAATTTTTCTTTCCTCTCGTTTTCAGTTTTTTTTTATTTCTTTTATATATGCACACTTGAAGTATATTCTTCATGGTTTATTTTATTCAGCAGGGAATATTTTCTGTTTTTGAAAATGAATATTTATTATTCAGATATGAATCCCACGTCGAAAAATTCCGTGGAGATTCCATGGAACCTTTTTGGAATTTACTTCCGATTCAGAAAAAATTTGTATCTTGAACAGTGTTGCCACAGGTCAGGGAAATCAGGGAATTCAGGGAAAAAACAGGGAAAGTAAAATTGGTCAGCGAAATCAGGGGAAAATCAGGGATTTTTATTAAAGTACTAAAAAAAAAATTGAATTTTGGAGAAGTTACAAATTATTGCAGAAATTCAATTATTTTCAAAAGTAATAAAATTCTTCGCAGAAATTCAATTATGTTCAAAAATGAAAAAAAATTCTCGTCAAAATTCAATTATCTTTAAAAATAATAAAATTCTTCTCTAAATTTGAATTATTTTCAAAAATTTTAATAAAATTTTTTGCAAAATTTCAATTATTTTCAAAAAATTTTCCTCAGTTCAATGATTTTCAATATTTACTGTTTTAACAAAATTTTTCAAAAGAATTCAATTATTTAAAAGAAAGGTTGATAAAATTCTAAGCAAACAATAAATTATTTTTATAAATAATAAAAATTTCACAGAAATTCAACTATTTACAAATTTTTTATAAATGTCTTCGTATTTTAATAAATTTTTTTAAAATAATGCCATTTTTCGAAGAATTTACTTAAAATTGTCTTAAAAATAATTGAAATCCTGTGAAGAATTTTATTAATTTTTGAAATTAGTTGAATTCTTGCAATGAATTTTTTCAAATTTTTTTTAAAATAATTGAAATAATGTAAAAAATTTTATTATTTTTGAAAATAATTGAATTCCTGCAACGAATTTTATTACCTTTTTTTTTAAATAATTGAATTCTTTTAAGAACTTTTATTAAAATACTAGATTTTGGAAATATTTGAAATTTCAGCAAAGAATTTCATTTAATTCGTGAAATGTAATTAAATTCTTGCGAAAAATTTAATAAAATAATTCCATTTTTCTAGGTATTTTCTTTAATTTGTAGGTATTATAAATAATTGAAATCCTCAGAAAAATTTTATAATTTATGAAAAAAATGGTATTCTTATAACGAATTTTATCAATTTTAAAAATTTTAATTTTTTTGCAAAAATATAATTTTTAAAATGGTCAAAAATAATGTTTTCAAAATTTTAATAATAGAGATTAAATTTAGATCCTAAATAATGCCAGAGAAAAATTACTTTAAAAGGATAAAAAAATGTCGTTTATTCGAAAATTCTTCAATTAATTATTTATTAGAAAATAGAAGCATGAAATAATTTTTTTTTTAAATTCAGTTAAACTTATTGAAAAAAATTAATTCTGTAGAATTGTTAGTTAAAAGTATGAAAAATTTATATTTTCAAAGATTTTAATTTTAAATCTTTTCAAAATTAATTTATTTCTAAAAATTTACGCTGTAATGCTTGTAATGTTCAATTATTATCTAAAATTTTAACTGAAATGCATTTTTTAATCAATATTTATTAGAAAATTCTACGAGAATTTAATTATATATTTCTTTATTTCTTTATTTTACAATCAATTAAATAGAAAAATAAATAATTTATTGAATAATTGAATGTTTCTCAAAATTGAATTCTTATAAAGAATTTTATCAATAAATTTTTAAATCATTAAATTATTTTTACGAATTTTAATAAAATTTTTTAAAATAATTACATTTTTTCGAGGAATTCGATTAAAATTAAATTAAAAATAATTGAAATTCTGCTATGAGTTTTATTATTTATGAAAATAATTGAAATTCCTAAAAAAATTTTATTATTTACGAAAATCATTGAATCTCTGTAAAAAAAATTGTACAGTTTATGAAAATAATGCGGAATTATTACGAAGAAATTTCTAACAAATTTGAAAATAATTATATTCTTTGTAACTAATTGAATACCTGTTATATTTTTATTATTTATGAAAATAATTAAATGTTTTTAAATAATGGAATTCTTTGGAAAAATTTTATTAAAATAGTAGATATTAAAAATCATTGAATTGAGGAAAATTTTTGAAAATAATTTGAAATTTTGCCAAAAAATTTATTAAATTTTTTGACAATAATTGAATATTAAACAATATTAACTTTTGAAAAATGTGTAAATGTTTCGATTGTTTAGTTGGAAATAAAAAGTTTTATAAATAGAGTTTTATAAACGGAAGCGGTTGCATAGAAAAATTTTTTAATTAATAAATGGAGAGTAAAATTTTTATTTTCATATTAAATGTGGTCAATATAAAGAAAAAAAAATGATTACTTCAAAAAGAGTGTCACTGTGAGTTCAATATTTTTTCAGGGCAATTGAAACTTTCCTTTTGCCTCATAAGTCATCTTATATCTATGTCACATTAGTTCGTCCTACCTCACGGTGCAATATCTTTATGCCCCTGTCTCATGCCTTGGCTGCACTGCTGAAGACATTTGTCATTGTCGTATAATCGTTGGGCGTTACGAGGTCGAATACGACTAGTCCGTGGCACAATATATAATACGAGTTATATATATATATATATATATATATATATATATATATATCATCGCTATTATATTTTATATATATTAGCGATGATCCTGCGGGAATCTAGGGGAAAGGGATTCATAAAGTAAATTACTATTTTCCTTGCGTGCGCCTTATATGAGGATTGAGGAGAGGGCCTGTTTCGCAACACCTTCCTTTTTCCTCTACACACTCCCCTCGTATCCTTATATCTCTCCCGTGACGACTCGAATGAACTATAGGGACCTTGTCAACGGTCAGATGAAAAAAGAAAACTTCCCTCGAGAGTAGGAGGGGGAGTAAAAAAAAAGAGGAAGTTATGAAAAACAAGTATTAAATAATAAAAATTTTTTTTCATGAAGTTTATACCTTTAACGGTTTGCATATTCTCTTATTCTTCTGCTCGGGGGAACTTTATAATATTTTTACAATTTTTCATTTCAAAACTTTTTTCATCAAACTTAAATGTCTTTCTCTCGCCATAACGTTGTTTCACATTTATTATTTTAAAATTGAATTTAGAAATAAAAATCTAATGGAATCTTTTTTTCATTATGGCATTTTTTGCTGAGGGTAAATATTTGAAATTGTTTATAATATATTTTTAAATATATAATATATTTTTAAATGTATAATATATTTTTTAACTTATTTAACTAATTATTCATTGTTTGTGGAAAGTAATTTCAGTTGGAAAATGTTTATTTTAATGATTCGTACTTTTCGTTTGTTTTAATTATTTTGTTTTTGTTTGTTTTTCAGAATTTATTTTGGCTTCTTGGTTCTTGAGGATAATTTGAAGAACAGGTGCAAACTTGGGGTAGATTTGGAAATATGACAATGATGATGACTTTTAGTTTGATGATCGACAAGAGTGCCGAGACAGCAGAATGAAGAATTCAAGGAACGCTTATTATACAACTTTACCGACGACTAAAAAGCTAAGTAACATTTTATTACATTTTAAAACTATCTATTTTTCAAAAATTATCATATTCAATCCGGTTCATTTTTTATTTTTTCATCCACGATATTAAATTGTTTTGTTTAAACCAATACTGACGATGATTATATTTCATTCAATGTTCTTCAATTCTTTTTGCAGTCATCAATTATAGTGAATTAGTGATGGATATAACCTTTTTAGCATTTTTTTTCTTTTTCAATTAATGTTCTAATCACTTTATTTAACACGACTATTATTACCTTATACGCCATCCGCCATCAAGCAGACAATCAAAATTTATTGAAAGAGACAAAAAAATGTTTTTTCTCTAATTTTTAATATTTCTTTCATTGGCAAATCATCTGATTTTAATTAAGGACTGAGCCTTACAGGATTCTAAAGGATAGAATATTTTATTTTAACTTTCAAGTAGTTTTAACTTTATCCGCCATTCAGCAGACAATTAAAATTTATTTAAAAAGTCAAAACAATGTTTTTCTTCTAATTTTTAATATTTCTGTCATCGTCAAATCACCTGATTTTTAGTAGGGACTGAGCCTCACAAGACCCTGAAGGATAGAATATTTTATTTCAAATTTAAAGTATATTATTTCATTATATTAATATATAATGAATATAATATATTATATTAATATTGTATTAATAAATCTATTCCTTTTTAATTTTTCCAGAAGCAACTGAGAAGGTTTAATAGGGGATCTTGTGTTCATTTGGATCATTCACTGCGTTTGGTTGGCTACTATTCCATTGGATTTATATGATCAGCAGGAGTGTTATTTCGAAGTGACAGATATTCTGTTGTTGGCATTTCATGGATTAAGTGAGTATAGTTTGTTAATTTAATTTCCGTCATAAAATAATAAAAAAAAGTATAAAACTTGTAATTTCATATTATTTGATTTCCAGATCCCTCCATCGGTGGTTACTACTTCGTCGCGTCGCGAAAATCAAAATCCCAGCCACAAGAAATTTGAGTCATGAGAACTCGGTCTTCTTACAACAAATTGTTGTTTTCGAAATTCTTATATTTCGATTAATTATTATAGAAGGGATCTCTGGGGACGAATGACTCGAAGATTATTGTCACTTATACTGGGATACGTCGTGTCTTTGCTGGAGGGAATCCACTGAAATTGTAAGCATTAATTGAATTTTTAGTATTTAGGTTAATTTTTTTTTTAATTGCATAAAGAGATTGTTATATTTGTAAAAGAATGTAAATTAAATATGGGACGTGCTACGAAGAAAGGTACGAAAGAAGCAAAACATTTTAGATTATATTCGTAGTTTTTTAAATCAAAAGTACAGAAAGGGGATCAGCTCTTAATATAAACTATTGTGTCTAAAATAATTAGTAAAAACTGATTTTAGGTTTACAGAATTAAGAAATTTTTAATAAAGGTGAAAGTAAGGTAAACATAACTTTAAAATAATTTGCTTCTTTTATATTACATACATTGTTGGTACATTTCTTCGCACGAACATTTTTCTCCTTAGCTACTTTTCTTTCTTATATATTAGAGTAAAATAAAAAAAAATTTTTCTTAATTTATTATTAATTTTACTATGATTTTTTTACTTTCAGGGCCAACCTAGATAAAGTTTAGAATCTGTGCGCGTTTTTAAACCGTCTTTCTTGATTTATATTTTGTTTAGTATATTTTTTGAAAAGTTGGTAATTATTTAAAGTGCTTTCTAATTAATCAGTGTTGCGAACATGTTACAATTTACAAGTGACTAGTTGATTCTATACTAAATTTTTTATCAAGTTTACTTATTTTTTTACAATTCACTACTTCAAAGATTAAAACACTTTTGTTTTCAATTGAAATATAAAAATTTACAATTCGCAAAATCAATCATTCAAATCCTAATGTATGGAAAATTAATTTGAAAACTATTGGCTAATTTTAAAACTCTGCAGAGTAGTAGTTAAAAAGCATAGTACTAAAAATAGTATAATCGTAATAAAAAGTTATAATATCTATTAAAATTTTGTTTTGAAATTTTGTTATGCTTCTGAAATAATTTTATTTGTTTTTCATTATTTATTGTTTCAAGACTAACGATTTTTAGAGATTCTAAAATATTCTTAAATATTTTCTATAAAATATTGATAGATAACAACATCGCAAGTAAATTGTTGCAACCCGACACTTAAATAATTTAATTATTGTTGTAGAATCAGTGCGCGTTTAAAAATATTTGAATAAATTTAGTGTGTGTGTTGTGCTCTATAAATTTGGAATTTTGGAAGGGTTCCAATCAGGCGACATCTATTTTCAACTGTGGTAAATATTTATTACATTTCTTACTCTCTAAATCTCAATTAGTAGAATTCGACTAATAAATAGAAAAATTTTACTAATTTTTAGTAGTTTTCGTGAACGACTTTTCCTCCTTTTTAATAAGTAGAATATTACTAATTTTTAGTAAAATTTTGCTAATGTTTAGTAGAACTTCACTAATTTAACGTTACTTATTTTACTAAATGAATTATTGAAACTGTTTTATCGACTGTTAATAAAACAGTTCTACTAATTGTTAGTAGAATTCTACTAAGCAATTAGTAAAATTTCAGCAATTGTTAGTGAAATTATTATAAAATCATCTGGTGGGCGACTATTCGTCATTTCATTAGTAACTTTCTACTAATTCTAATTGAGAGTGTAAATATAACCTACGTTCTAGCAGGGACTGAGTCATACTCAATCCTGAAGAATAGAGAATTTTATTTCAATTTTTAAGTAGTATAGCACCACCACCCGAATGCTATCAGACAATTGAAATTTGTTAAAAAATATATAAAAAATTTATTTCTTCAAAAAATAAAAATTCTAATCGTCTCAAAATCACCTGAGTTCTAGTAGGGACTGAGCCCTAAGCAATTCTGAAGAATAGAGAATTTTATTTCAATTTTTAATAGAAGCACCACCACCCGAATGCTATCAGACAATTGAAATTTGTTTAAAATGAAAATAAAAATTTATTTCTTCTAAAAATAAAAATTCTAGTCATCTCAAAATCACCTGAGTTCTAGTAGGGACTGAGCCCTAAGCAATCCTGAAGAATAGAGAATTTTATTTCAATTTTTAAGTAGTAGCACCACCACCCGAATGCTATCAGACAATTGAAATTTGTTTAAAATGAAAATAAAAATTTATTTCTTCTAAAAATAAAAATTCTAATCATCTCAAAATCACCTGAGTTCTAGTAGGGACTGAGCCCTACGCAATCCTGAAGAATAGAGAAATTTATTTCAATTTTTAAGTAGTAGCACCACCACCCGAATGCTATCAGACAATTGAAATTTGTTTAAAATGAAAATAAAAATTTATTTCTTCTAAATATAAAAATTCTAATCATCTCAAAATCACCTGAGTTCTAGTAGGGACTGAGCCCTAAGCAATCCTGAAGAATAGAGAATTTTATTTCAATTTTTAAGTAGTAGCACCACCACCCGAGTGCTATCAGACAATTGAAATTTGTTTAAAATGAAAATAAAAATTTATTTTTTCTAAAAATAAAAATTCTAATCATCTCAAAATCACCTGAGTTCTAGTAGGGACTGAGCCCTACGCAAACCTGAAGAATAGAGAATTTTATTTCAATTTTTAAGTAGTAGCACCACCACCCGAATGCTATCAGACAATTGAAATTTGTTAAAAAATGTATAAAAAATTTATTTCTTCTAAAAATAAAAATTCTAGTCATCTCAAAATCACCTGAGTTCTAGTAGGGACTGAGCCCTAAGCAATCCTGAAGAATAGAGAATTTTATTTCAATTTTTAAGTAGTAGCACCACCACCCGAATGCTATCAGACAATTGAAATTTGTTTAAAATGAAAATAAAAATTTATTTCTTCTAAATATAAAAATTCTAATCATCTCAAAATCACCTGAGTTCTAGTAGGGACTGAGCCCTAAGCAATCCTGAAGAATAGAGAATTTTATTTCAATTTTTAAGTAGTAGCACCACCACCCGAGTGCTATCAGACAATTGAAATTTGTTTAAAATGAAAATAAAAATTTATTTCTTCTAAAAATAAAAATTCTAGTCATCTCAAAATCACCTGAGTTCTAGTAGGGACTGAGCCCTAAGCAATCCTGAAGAATAGAGAATTTTATTTCAATTTTTAAGTAGTAGCACCACCACCCGAATGCTATCAGACAATTGAAATTTGTTAAAAAATGTATAAAAAATTTATTTCTCCTAAAAATAAAAATTCTAATCATCTCAAAATCACCTGAGCTCTAGTAGGGACTGAACCCTAAGCAATCCTGAAGAATAGAGAATTTTATTTCAATTTTTAAGTAGTAGCACCACCACCCGAATGCTATCAGACAATTGAAATTTGTTTAAAATGAAAATAAAAATTTATTTCTTCTAAAAATAAAAATTCTAGTCATCTCAGAATCACCTGAGTTCTAGTAGGGACTGAGCCCTAAGCAATCCTGAAGAATAGAGAATTTTATTTCAATTTTTAAGTAGTAGCACCACCACCCGAATGCTATCAGACAATTGAAATTTGTTTAAAATGAAAATAAAAATTTATTTCTTCTAGAAATAAAAATTCTAATTATCTGAAAATAACCTGAGTTCTAGTAGGGACTGAGCCCTACTTAATCCTGAAGAATAGAGAATTTGATTTCAAATTTTAAGTAGTAGCACCACCACCCGAATGCTATCAGACAATTGAAATTTGTTTAAAATGAAAATAAAAATTTATTTCTTCTAAAAATAAAAATTCTAGTCATCTCAAAATCACCTGAGTTCTAGTAGGGACTGAGCTCTAAGCAATCCTGTAGAATAATGAATTTTATTTTAATTTTTAAGTAGTAGCACCACCACCCGAATGCTATCAGACAATTGAAATTTGTTTAAAATGAAAATAAAAATTTATTTCTTCTAAAAATAAAAATTCTAGTCATCTCAAAATCACCTGAGTTCTAGTAGGG